TTTCATTGTAGAGTACATGTATATTTGTATCTGATTTACTGTATCAAGTTGATTGAATTTAAGAAAACATCAATTGAAAAATGTTATTTTTATTTCATATGATATGAATTCCCAATTCATATTAACAATTCAGTGATACTTAGTACTGTTGTATGGGACATACTGTTAACATCCAGGCCTGATAAAACCCCGATTTAAATCGGTTTCCCAAGTTTTTTAAATTTTTCCCTGATTTTTTCCCGATTAAAAAAAAAAATCAAAAAAAAAAATCCAGATTTTTTTTTTTTTTAAATATTTTTTTTACCAGATTTTTTTTTCTTCCCTATTTTATCCTGAATTTCTGATTTCCCTCTTATTTTCTCTATTCTTCCCTATTTTGCCCTATTTTTTCCTATTTTTTTACTCGAAAGGGGGAATGTTGTTAGATGTCATTCCCCCCCCCCCCCGAATCCTCTTCTTTGAGGGGAAAACAAAAAACCTATTTTTTTTTTAGTGCTCACTATCACCCCTGAACAACTGAAATAATTCATACCCCTTGTAAATTTGATGGATTTTGTTTTTTGCGTAACTCAAGAATGAAAGCTGGACTGGTTGAATTAGAGTCCTTTGGTGAATACTTTTAGATGTAAGCTTATGTCACATTCTCAAGAAACACAAATAGGGACAAATTATCACATTCTTTAAAAAATTACAAAAGTTAGAAAGTTAGTTGACAACTGTTCATTTTGGGTTTGCCCATGGGTTGTCTGTTACCTTCTTAGATTATCTAGCATCGTGCCTTGACTCTCTCTTTTCAAGATTTTCCCCTCAAATAATACGTGGTTTTCTATCCCTCATTCATGTATGTAGATGTATACAAGATGTTGAGCATCCTGCCACATAGAAAGCGTCCACCTAGCTCGACCACTTAGCCCATAACTGTAGCCTTGATTTCAGGTGCTTTCTTTCAAGGGAATGATCTTCATTACAAACCCATTGGAAGTGGTTTCAGTATCATTCATTATGCATTAAATTTATGGGTTTTTATTCTCGTGACCAGATTGCAACTGGTGAAGATTTTTTAGATAATAGACCATTTTCGTAATGCAATCAAATTCAATGCATAACAGTTATTTCATTCACCTCCTACACATAATTTTATTTCGATAGTCAGAATGTGAATTGCATATGGTACATTAATTGTTCCTCAAAAATAAAGTTGGTCAAACATGGAATGTATGCAATTCCCATTCTGACTATTGAAAATTGAAATGCAATTGTACGTATTAAACAGGTGAATGAAATAATTTGTAGGCACTTTACAACTATTTCTGCATGAAATTTGATTACATTACGAAAATGATCAAGTACTAATTGACACATGATTGAGAAAATTAGGAAAAGAGGAGCTTCATACTGATTTTTTTCTCCCTAAAACTAAACATGTACATGTATATGTAGACTGAGATCAGGGGCACGTAACATAAACTTTGCAATTGATCGTATGATTGATCGATCAATTTTTACAATTAGTGGATTGTACATCAAAGTCAATAGACCAGTTTACTACGTGTATTAAATACTTAATCTAATTTATTGCATACTTTTTAAACAAGGTTGTTTCTCGACAACCCCAAAGCCTGCCCAACATAGCAACACATAATGCATGCATCACAAATTCCAAGTATTGTAGTTCATTCAGTAATAACAGGTTAACAGAATAACCAGTAACTAGGTCACCAGGAAAGAAACATCCATAATCCTGAAGTAAACAGTGAACAAAATACACGGGGGCTTAGGGCGAACTTGCCCCCGAAATGCCCAAAAGAGCCCCCGAAAATCAGAAAAGAGCCCCCGTAAATTTGCATAGAGTGTTAGTAAAACCAGTCTATTCATAGGAACAAGGCCATTTCAGTGTACATGAAGAACCAGACTGGTTCTTTACACACAAAGTGTGATCTTGTGCCCTTGATTTTGATCCCTCTGTTCCTGAGGTGTGATTGGACAGTCTTGTCAGTTCGCCCAATGTCGAGCCATGGTGACCTAAAATGATTTAATTCTTGAGCTCCTCTTGGGGGATTACTAGCATCTTAAATCATGTTATATCTGGATTATGAAAGGTCAGTCAGAGATTCTTGAGCATAGTGATTTTACCATGGTCGCACTTCACATGTACAGTGTACATGTACAAACAAGCATGTGAAGGGGTTTGATTCAAGGTGTGTGAAATGTTTTGACGCTACATGTACATGAATGTCAAACATAATGTCAATAGGACCGCTCAAAACGGGACTAGGCTATTACTGTGAGTGCAGTCCACCAGTGCAATACAAACTGGGTCATGGCTAGAAAATTAAAAATCCTCTCTAGCTCGTATAAGGTGATTTCATTATTATCTATTTGCATTGTTTACATGGAAATAAATTATGAGGCAGTTGTTTATATGTTTGTCATCTTCAAATATCTTGATTGCTGATTGGGAGGGTTTCAAAGAATCCTGTACATGTACACTGTACATTTGTATCCTCCTTTATTACCATAATATATCAAAGCTTCAGACATGTAGGTCCTTATTTTTACACTATAATTTTGTAACAAAAAGAACCGTCTGTCCATTTTACATTTAAAAATAAGATCAAACTAATCCATTGATAGACAACATTATAAATCCAGGGGCTATGAACTAATACATGTAGCTGTCAACCATTTTCATTTTGGAGGAATGATTCCTAACTTTTTGCCTTCAAACTAGCAGCAAAACAAACCTATTCCTGAATTTTTTTGGAAAAAAATCTGTATGAAAAAATGTAAAATAGACACTATTCCTAATTTTGAACCTTTAAGATTCTTAATATTAGCTGCAGAAGGTTGGCAGGTATATTCAGAAATGACCAAGTAAGTGTTGAAGTCAGACTATCCCATGCCAAACCATAGCTGCATTAATGGAGTACTGGTCAATGCCCTGACACTACCCAGCCACTTAAGTCGCCACATTGAGATGCGCTGTTGCTGCGTTGTCGCCATGGGAATATTCTCTCCTCTCTTGCCTCCTTGATCCATACCCCCGTCCGTTCGTACCTTTACAAGGCAAGGCAGTCACTACAGGAGAAAGCATAGCCCTAATTCTCATTGCTCAGGCTTGCTTTGCGGGTTCTCACTCGGAATTATAATTTTTCGTAGACTGCGTGTAAGATTTCTTGAATTTTCAGCGGAGGGTGCTGATTAAAATACATGGATCATTCTCAATGAAGGCTTGTAGTTTCTGTCAAGACCCAGCACATTATCATTGAGATTGATAAATGTTAGCCTAGCCCTCCAATGCTTTACTGTTTAGTTTTTTACTTTTGATGAGAAATAAAAAGATTTTATTAAAGGCCATTTTGTATATTATTCTTTAGTGAGCTGGTTGTGAAGTTTGGGAAGAATGAAGAATGCAGATTTTGCGGACTACACTTACATGTACATGTAGGATTCAATACATGTATAGGTTACGTACATTACATGTACATGGATACTGCAGAAGTGATTTCTTTTTCTATCTCTCTCAATACCTAATATCATCTCATATTGGAGTTGAGACTAAGATTTCTCATGTCATCTTTCAATGAGATATGTCTGAATTATGTAGCCTTAATCCAGTCTCTGATTTAGGATATTAAAGAGAATGGCAAAAATATCAAGTTCTGCCTTGAAATTAGACTGGTTCATGCAAAGGTTTTTTTTCATGGAACGACAGGTGAACGTCCTTGGGCATGAAGGTATCAGGCTTTTATTTTATTGTGAGCAGAATCCAAGAGAAAGTCTCGTCCGAGTGATTAAATTGTGCGAGTCCGCCGATAAGCCATCTCCTAGTGACCTTGGCATTAGGGCTATCGATGTGGCTGTAGTACGAGGAGGTTCTGGGATCAATTTCCGCCCATGGCATGCTTGCGTCTGCGGGGAGATGTTCAGTCAACATGTGAAATTGTTACGTAGCCAGGAGGGTGATGAGCATGAGCGCCGTGTGCTGCCTGACTGATGTTATATTTGATTACTTCAGTGATTACCCTGGAAAAAAATCATTGTCAAGAACGTGTTTGCATTACAAAAGGCAAAGTTGATTTTTTTTTTTTCTTGATTAAGAAGAACACAATCAAGTACTTCTGCATAGCTTTGTATGAACAGGTACATCTGAACAGACTTGATAAAAATAAAAAGATGTTGTTTGTTTTTGTTGAGGGGGGGGGGGGGGGTTCTTTTGTGTACACCCTGTATGTATTTTTTCTTCTTTTTAACCCAACAGGATTATTTTGAAAGTAGTGGGGATGATTTGAATGTGTATTACATTTATTTAATTCTTGATGAAGGTAGTGTTTACATGAAAATGCACATACATGTACTGTATTTGAACATGTACAATTGTACATTTTACATGATGTACATAATGTCTACTTATTTTTTTCTGATAAAACTAACATTTTGTATCTGAGCCATTCTTATTTGCTTCATGTAATCTACATGTACATGCAATTGATGTATTTCATGTACATGTATTGCTATTTATTTGTCTTAACACAGGTAATTGGAGCAGTTAACACTTACATGTAATCCTACTTTTCCTCCTCCTACAATGTACACTATACCATGTACAGTGTACATGTATGTCTCCAATGTACTAATTTGATGACTTTATAATCAATAACATTTATTATGACTAATAGAAGACATACTGCTATTGCTCCATTAACAACTTTTACTGAACTTTACTTTAACAACTACTGCTTTTGGTACTCATACTGTTTCTGCTTCTGTAACTACACTGTATATAACAAATGCTACAATATACTTCTACAGCTATGGTGTTATTCCTGATATACTGTACATGTATCTGAATCAAATATTTCAGGCAATTTGTGAAGAACTTTTGCGCATAATCATCACATGAAATGAATGATTATGTTCTCTTTTGTTCCTACCCTCTTTCATAAACACAGACATGTCATGAAAAATGTTATATAAGTATTCTCTTTTTGTTCATTTAGATGGTGGAGTAGGTGTGGAGGAGACCCTGGCTGCTGAAACTTGAACCTAGGACACACCCCCTTCTACCAGCCGCCGCCCACCAATCATGTTTTCCTTCATGAGGGGGCGGGGCCTGCGGCTCCCCGGCTCCTCTTCAGCTAACACACAGGACAGTGCACTGGGACTGATGCATCTCAGGAAGCTCTATGTGGAGCTGTGCTGCACAGCTCAGCCCCTATCGCAGAAGGAGCATGAGGATAAGCTCTATATGATGTTACCCCTATTCTGCAAGGTTTGTCACTAGGCCTGTTTTCATCAGCTCGAGTTTGCCAATTAACCCGCTATTTTAACCATCCCGATCGCAAATTAGCCAGTTAATTTGCGTCTTCATCAGCCTGCAGTTGCAATAAGCGTGATTTTTGATCAAGAAAATATTCCAAAAATATCCCGTTATTTGGGAAATAGCGGGCTGATTTGTGCCCGTCCGAGCTAGTTTGTGATGAGCACATCGGTCTGGGGAAGTCACAATTTTTAACTTTGGGATGATATCCCGAGCCTGAAAATAGCAGGTTATTTGGCAAACTTGAGCTGATGAATACAGCCTACTATCCCCTATACCTTTCTTTGAATTAGACCATTTAAAAAGTACTGTGTATAAAGAAACTTTCTTTAATTGGAGAATAAACCTTATAGAACATACAATAATGATTATTTTAGTCAGTAAAAAAAGGGCCTTCCATAGTCCCAAGATAACTTGGTACATCCCCCCCCCCCCCAAAAAAAGAACACTAACAGCAGAAAACAGATTTACATTTTGAAACATATATCCCACTTGACATGTAATTATGGCAAACAATAAAATCCAATTTACATAGACAAACCTGCTGACAACTGAATTCTGTCATTCCCATTCTGTTTCCAGTATTAAGTAAAAGGTTAATTTCCAACTGTGTCACTGTATAACTCTGCATGATGTACATGTATTCTACAACTTTAACCTGCTGAATTCTAAACCTGCAAAAATTCTGGGTGGAATGTAGGGAAAAGACATGATATGTAACAAAATCAAATAAATTGAATATGATGAGTTGATCCAAATATGTGATCAAAATGAAGCCTTCATTAGTGTAACTGTAGTTATGATCTTTAAATAGATATTCTAGCTGGCATATTTGATTTCAGTCTTTATTCATGGAATGTAGATCCTATGGCTAGGGTTGCTCTTGTAATCTGAGATAGTTGTATCGGTAACTACGGATAATTGTTTTGTCTATTTGATTATTTCTGCACTCAAATAACCCTGTCGTCTTAGCCATCTACATGTACATGCACAGCACATGTATTTTTTGTTCATAGAATTGTACATGTAATGTGTTCTTTGTAACATCCTATCTTACAGGTGTTTGAAAACAGCCCTGCCAATGAAATGATAGACAAATTTGGAGATGTCTTGCAGTTCTCCAATCACATCGCTCGTTTGTTCGTCACTGAAGTCAGACGAAGAGCATCTGACCAATCAACAGGTAATCTCAATGCATTTTACTTCTTTAGGAGTCTATTTTTTTTATTACAGTGCGCTCCTTGAATATCCACATTTGTTGAAAGGCATCCTGTAATAAAATAGCTGCCTTTTTGTACAATAATTGCTCCATGGACAATCACTACACAGTCATTTTCTAACATGTACCAAAGTCCAGGGACCTGTTTTAAAAAGCATTTTTTTCAATGACAAATGACAAAGATCAGTGACAAATCTACTGATAACCAATCAGAAGCAAGGATTTCACTAGCTTATAACACAAACTGTCATTTGTCACTGATGACAAGTTATGTGAAACGCCCCCCAAATCTCAACCCTTGGAATCATTGAACACTACCCCTAACCATAACACTAACCCTAAACCTAAATGCACTGGCAACCCTAACCCTAGATCTTTGACAAAGTAAAGCCCAGAGCCATTTTCGCAAAAGCTTATTTCAAATCACCCTGTTCCTTTGAAGAGAAATCACTACATGTATCTCTACAGAAAATCACAACTTAGTCTAGCTAGGCCATTGATTCCTTTTTTTGTAGTAACCAGAATTTGCCATGGAAAAGTGGAACACACAAAACGAGCTTACATGGACAGTGTATACCAACAATTGTTTTCTTTCCTTCATTTACTTCATGTACTTTTAACTTTGTCAATATCACACTCTGACCACACTCCTGTGTTCACATGGCATTAAAGCTTTCACTCATGCAAATACATTAATGGTATTAAGAGTAATTTGTAAACACAAGACTGCTATGAGTAGAGACTGTTCATGATTAATTGACATGTAGTGGTCAATGATTAACACTCAGCCTGTGTATTAGGACATGCATGATCATGGGTGAGAAAAGAAATTGTGTGCTTAATAGTGACCTAATTATAAGCCAGTTCAGGGTTGCAGTCTGAGCATGAGCAGATAAAGGTCATTGCAGACCAAATTGTGAAATACACGGAGACAAAATACTGGAGGATATGTGCTCATGGAAGTTATGTAATCATTATTCATTTATGCACAAGCAGTGCACTCTCCATGATACACAGGTGGAAGTATTCTTTGAAAAGGGGAAACAAAGGCTATTTATGTACCACCTCCATCGTGGTTATTTCAAATGTACAAAGTGGGACCTCTTCATGTTTTGAAGTTCTGTGGATATTCGGGGTCATTTTGGATATGTGCTAACCGTGATCTGGTCTATTCATATGATATTGGTTGAATGATGATTGAAAATTTTACCTTCATATACATACATGTACCTCTCCACTAGGTCCACAGAAATAATACTCACAAGTATACAGTGTGTTTAAGTTTATATTTTGGTTGAGACATACATTGTATATAGGATGCCATTCTATGGAACCCCAAACAAAAAGTGTGAAATCATTTTTTCTTCTTTTGTGATTGGTCTCTTTGAAGACACCTTACATTATGATATCAAGGACAATTTGTAAACACAGACTGATGTCAATGGAGACCAGTCATGACTAACAGACAGGATTAAAGGTCAGTGATTAACACTCAGCCTGTGTATGAGTACATACATGTAGGTGATTAAAAGTATGGTACCTTACAGTGGCCTTCATGAGCCGATCACTTCCAAATAACCAATGTTCATCTCACATTTTACATTGTACATGTACATGTACACATACTGTATACAATGTCTCTCTACAAGAGTATGTAAAATGCATTTGAAGTTGATATTTTGGATAGACTAGGTATGTAAGATGCCAGCATGAAGCCCCAAACTAACAGAGTGAAATCATTTTTATCTTTTATGATTGTTTCCTTTGAAGACATCGTACATTATAAGATCAAGAGCAATTTGATTACACAGACTGATGTCAATATTTAGAGACTGTTCATGACTAAGAGGCATGTGTAATGGTCAGTGATTAACACTCGGTATGTTTATGAGTGTGATGATGAATGTTCCTATTAGCTGACATTTACATGTACATTTACATATTGTACATGTACATGTACATGTATGTTGTATTTATTCATGGTACATTGGTTTTGATGTTTTATCAATTATCCATGATTCACATGGTATCCTTTATCACTTAAATTATTCAAACATTTATTAATGATATTGATATAGTAATAATGACTGCTTTGAAAGACATACAGGGGTGAAGTTGTTTTTATTAGCTCAATTGTAACCTCCCCGAGAGCGTATAAAAACAATTATATACCTCACTTACGTAATCCAGCAATCTGATTGGTCGAAATTGCATTCATAAACTTTAACTGTTCCTGTAAAAACAGACCTATTTTCCCAATAACCATGGTTATTGGGAAAATAGGTCAGTCTCCATGGTTACCCCATAGGTTTACATGTTAAAAAATGGTTTGAGCGATCGAGGATACCGTACGTGTGCGAAGAATTGGTCGGTAATTTCAATACATTTGAATCTCGATCGATCTTACCGACAATTTTATCTTGCATTGTTGACATGAAGACGAAAATAAACTTCCAAAAACAAAAAAACAACATCTGCCGATAGATCTTGATCTAAGTTCGTGCCAATATGCATTGCAAAAGTAAAAGAAGGGCCTGTTTAATGGAGCAGCCGCGAAGCTTCCACCACGCGAAGCCGTTTTCAATCCATTTTAATGTATATATAAGAAAAAACTGCTAAGTATAGGAACAGAGCGCGATAGCCGAGCGGTTTAAGGCGGCGGATTTCGTTACATCACCTTTGGTACGCAAGAGATCGAATCCCATCTTCGACAAAAGTTTTTTTTTTTTTTTTTTTTTTGGCATATAAAAGTATTAATGACTGCTTTAATATTCGAGAAATAGTTGTTTTTATACGCTCTCGGGAAGGTTACAATTGGGCTATTGCCCTCGGCACGCCTCGGGGCAATAGCACAATTCTAACCTTCCCTTGAGCGTATAAAAACAACTATTTCTCTCAAAGCAGTCATTAATACTATACTATGTCTCAAAAATTAAAGCAGTCATTATTACTTTTATATACCGAAAAAAGAATCAACTTATGACACCACCTTGGCTTTTCTCTAGTTTTTCTGCACATGTATCAACACAAAATTATGGCATCTGCCATAGACTTTTGTCTCAGAAGGTGGATGTATAACAACATTCAAGAACAAAATGCAGCGGGGTTACAAGTTCCCCAGAAATGATTTCTACTCCACAAAATAGCAGATATTCTGTGCTTTTAAATGGGTTTACCCCAATTTATAACCTTAATGGTAACTTAAGATATGGTCGAATTGATGCAACAATGTCATAATTCGTAGTAGTAGTTTTTGTGTTGTAGCTGTAGCGACATACACATATGCGCACACAATTTCATTATGACAGTTTTCATTATGAATTTTATGTACCCTTTTGGTGTTCTTGCTGTTAGCAATTGCTGTTAGCAGAATTAATCAAGTCTTGCAATTGATCATCATCGAGAAGTTGAAATCTAGGAAGAGTTTCTTCAGTCATTTTTGCCTTGTTTGGAAACTATAAGTAGAATCTAGGCCGGATTTAGTACTACGATCGACATCAGAAAAAATAAAAAATAAAGCTAGCGACCAATTCGCACACACACAATGTATGGTACCCGTTCACAGGAATGGCTAAAACCACGACTGCAATTTCGATCAATCAGATGGCTGGATTTCTTAAGTGAGGTATATACATTATATAATATGGACTGGCCTTGAGGGAGATACAACATAATATTTCCCAAACTAGACTCATATTGCCCCGAGTCAAAGACGAGGGCAATATGGGTCTTGTGAGGGAAATATATGTGGTATCTCCTGAAAGTTAAGCCAGTCAATATTGTTGTATTATCTAAATCAGACATCTTGAGCAAATACATACATGACAATCTCATAGAACTGAACAAACTTTGTCAAACCAGCACTGTGCATCCACCTGCTTGACAAAATTTTGGATACACTGCAAACAGTGTACCCAATTTGGTGTGATTATTACGTCACAATAGAGTGCGCGCAAAGTGCGCAGGTTCTCGTACGCATAATAGATGCGCAATGAAAATGACAAAATACGGCGCGGTGAATATGGTCTTATATTTCATGCTTTTTTAACACGTAAAGTCCATAGGCTTTTTCATGAAAGGTAAATACGGTCTCATATTCCCCGATTAGCCCTTGTAGGATAACAAACGAGTGTAATATGATTTTGTAAAACCACTGCTCAGATGTCTGATACGGGTAATAATTACAATGATTGTAATGCTAATATGATATATAATATATTTTCAAGGACACGTTAAAGAACACAAAGACATGAGAACAAAAATAACAAAGCTACATGTACTGGAAAGAATTATTTCAGAAAATAGGTATTAAGGGCAATTTTAAAAGCAATCTACAGTTATCATCAATCATATGTTGCATTTGATTGTACTGTACAAGTACATACATGTTCATAGTAATTGGCTTCATTATCTAAACAAGTAATGGACAGCTACAATGAATCTGAGTATTTCTATGGGAATTCTGCCTCTATACCTCAAAGAATTTAAACCATTTATAAACTCAGTGATTAATAGTGATACATATTGATGTCATTAATCAGTTCAATTGTGTACTTGAAAAGTTGAAATTACTTTCCAAATGTAACTTTTATGGCTCTGGAGTAGATCATTAATCTATTCTATTGACATTTCTATGTACTGTACATGAAAATATTAAAGTCAAATTAATAATTATAAATTGCAATATGAAACCAGAAGAGGTATTCTTTACATACAGTTTTAAATGAGAAAGAGACTGGAAGTTTGCCAACACGCATCTACATAAAATACATATAAATCAAAAGGTTCCCAAAGTCATGAACAAACATGAAAAGTTGTGGAAAAAATAACTTCTTCTGCAAAACCATGGAAAGTCATGGAAATTGATTGTGGGTATTGAGTTTGAGTTTGAGTTTGAGTTTATTGATTTCACATTTCACATGCAGAAATAATATAGATAACAAAATATACATAAAAAACACATTGTTTCATAATTAAACGAAAATGATTATATTAATTGACAAGGGTGTGAGCCTTTCAGTTTGAACTGACAGTGTTGTATCAGTACTCTGCTTGGATGCTGCAAATCATACCAAAGTGGTACTTTCGGTCATGAAAAAATGCAAAAAAAGTTTATATGAAAAGTCATGGAATTCGGTTCTCAAATTTCTGTGGAACACTGATCAAGCTCATGTACTGTACATGCATGGAAAGGAAAATAGCAGTCTAAAAAAAAAAAAAAAGTGTTTGTAGTTTTCAGAACTGCCCTGTCTGGCAATAAACTTTCTGATCCTCCCCTGTACACAAATACATGTAGAATGTAGCTTGTAGCTTGTGAAAACAAGTACAAGTGTTTACGTAGTGAGCCTAATGTTTACTTAGCAAGATATATCTCAGAAGAGGTTCATGACTCGTCTAAAATTAAAAATCTGGATCAAAGCACTTGTATAACTTTCACTTTTGGTTCATACCTTGTAAGCAAAGACCAGTAGTATTCAGTGGTATCTGTTAAACATAGAATTTCAAGAATAGAAGCAGGATTTAAGAAATTATATAGACACCTGAAACTAATGAATCTGTAATATGCATACAGTGTATATACAGAAATGTGTAAATGGAGAAATTCATATGAAGAATTACACACAGATCATCAGCAGTATTCGTCATGGTTTCAGAATCATTTGAATGTCTCCATATTTATTCAATACAAAACTCAATATCTGATTCACATACCCGGTACATGTAAATCTATAAGATATTTTGGATAAGGATTTTTTGTACGACTATGGCCCGTTGAATATATCAAGTTTGTCTTTCAATCGTAGTATGAGGGTACAAGTATAATGATCTAATTAAAGGAGAACTCAATAACCAAAGCATGCCATATTTACACATGGTTCAGTACATGTGTATGAATGTTAATTATAACCAGATGTAAATGACATGTGGCAAAAATCACACCAACTCACACTTACATTAGAGGTGCTATTTAACCTCTTAAATGCCATGTTTAATACAAAAATAAATTATCCTGAAGATGATGTGAAGCAAGGTAATATCAGTGCAAAAAATTGGTGTGTAGTTTGTTAAAAAATTTTCACAAGTTATAATGATATTTGCATTTTATGCTCATTCATACTGCAGTGCAAACAAAATTGTTATTCCTCTGAAAAAAGAGCTTTTCCTCTTTGCAATTCTAGTCTATGATCATTTTTCAAAGCACTTTCAGGTAAGTTTGTTTTGTGTACATTGTCAGCCAAATTGACATACATATACATTTCAACTGCAGGTATTTTGTTTAAATTTGTTGAATTTAGGAGAGGAAGTCACTAATAAAAACTCCTTGTATCATTTGCACACCTGCAGAGGCAGCAAGCTGTGCCATCGCCAGCTACCTGGAGATCCAGAACTCAGAGGAGGCTAGCAACGGCTGGATGCTGCTCACCACCCTTAGTCTCCTAGCAACGGGAGGAGCTAGCATCGTCAACACCATGACGATGGCTGCCCTGCCCTCCACGCTCGTCAAGTGTCTCTATCTCTTCTTCGATCTGCCCGAGATACAGGTGCCCACGACGCCCACGCCGCCCGAGGGAGAGAACAAGGAGGCTGAGGTGAAGGACGGTTTGCTTGCACTGACGCCATCCAAGAAACGAGACTTGCTTCACAGAACGATGGTCCAGGTACAACATCTAAAAGTTCTTATGAAAGCAAGCCCAATATATGTTTGAGTATGAAGAAACATACAAATAAATAGAACCAAACAAGCATAAAGCTATTTTATGCATATGTCACTGTACTTTTGATGTGCATAATACTGTAACAGTTGATGAATTCATACACAAAATGCTTTTGATATGAAATGGGTTCATCTATGATTTTATGGTTTCTCACTAGATGCAGTACTGACTTTTCAAAGGAATATCACTTGGCCCTGTCTTTTGAAAAGTAGTTGTAATCAAAGTCATCACACAAGATTGTTTTGGTTAAAATTTGGAGACATAATTCGAAAACTTTACAATGTTAACTTTTCTTTTGACAAGTTCGTTTTAATTGAAGGTTATAACTTGAAAAACAAAATATTTAAAAGTTTAAATTTTCTTATCATATATGCAAAATACGCAGTTTATTTAACATTTATGCAAGCAGAAAATCGCAAACTCGTGTTTCATGAAGTCTCTATTCTTTGTATTTTCAAAAGATTAATCCACAACCGATTAAAGATCGAAAGGAACTGTAAAACAAAAAATCTATGCATTTTTGAAAACACTGTTATTCAAGAAAACGAAACATGTTTTATTTGAACTATGTTAAGATGCTACAATGTTATTTCAATTGATTGTGTATGATTGTTTGATTTGTTCAAAAGCATATATTTATCAATAAATCAATTTTACAAAAAAAAAAAGAAGAAAAAGTCATCTAACTGATCTCAACTCTCATCCAATCAATCGCAAACATACAGTCACCAGTCAACTATGTAGCATAGTAGATTGATATCCTTCTCAAGTTCAGTTACAATCTACATTGATGGATCATAAGTCTTTAGAAGACAACGTCGAGCTGATATCTAGACTCTGAATAGTTATTAAAAATCATGAAATTTGACCAATTTTGTACTTTCCCTTGTTCAGCTGCTGAGTCGATTATGCCACTTCACCCAGCCTGCGGAGGAGCTTGCCAAGAAGGATGACCTGACTCTCCTGTTCAGTGCTATCACCAGCTACTGTCCTCCCCACAACCTGCCCTGGAGGAAGGGGGCAGCAGAGGTCCTCACAACCATCTCCAGACATGGACTCACGCAGGAGGTGGTCGAATATATCCATAGTAAGTCATCGCTTAGGAAGTGAACAAAGATTTCCTGAGTATAGAGGGGACAAATGAAATGTGAAACCCTATATGAGATATTCAAGTATTTAAGAATTAAAAAATATAAGGCAGATATTTTTCATTAGGAAAGTGTGCTAGGAATTAAAATTCATATTTATGCTTTGGTTAATTTCAGTCTATTTTCAAAATTGATTTTCAATAATTATAAAGTGAAGAGGTTGTTTCATTTTCTGTAGGTTTTATAACTCCACTAAAACATAACAATAGCACTTATCTGTGTTCTAGAAATGACTGCCATTGGTTTAGCTCCTCAGAGATGCAAAACCAGCATTGAAGAGATGTTTTATAACATTTTTAACATTGCAACTAGTCCACAACGTGATCTTGCCCATCAACTTGTCTGTTTTTCACCCGAGGACCGTTTGGATTGTGTTCAAGGATGAATAATTTTCTTCAATTTTTAAACTTCGTTTGTCCATCTTATCCTCTATTACAGATAAGAACTGCTTGGGACTGTGTGTGGACAACATGCAATGCAATCAAGACCTCTCCCCGCTGGAGATTGTGGAGATGTGCTTTACTGTGTTCTGCTTCCTCAAAGATTCCAGCGACAAGTCTCACGTTTTACTTGACGATTTTAGAACGTGTCAGGGATACATGTTCCTCACAGACTTTGTGCTGAGGTGAGTTCACACTTGCTGCGTCGTTGTATTCACATAAGTCTTGTTTACACATGATGTGGTAAGCCAATGCAGTATACCGCTTGGCAAAAAAATGAGAGGCATATGGGGTGACAAAAAGAATCTGCTATTGACAAAGGCCCCTATTAAAGCGGACTCACTGATATTTTTGTTTTAAAGCCACACTGTCCTACACGTAGCTACTTGCTCCCTCTATATAGAAAACAATGCCTAATCGGTGACCATTGGTCCCCCATGATCCTCTTTTTCTTATGTCAGTTGAGAGCTTAGTTGATGAGATAACCACCTGTCCAGTGACCTTGCAAAGTGGTCTAATCCCTCCTATAAACTAGTACAGATAGCTTTAAAGGTAAAGACCAGTATTGGAAACGCCCCAATTTAAAAAAATTGAAGCTCTCATTACCAATCATGTGAAAGAATATGTTTTGACTAATACATGATGATAACAAAAATTGCGGGAAACCGCCTACTAATTCATATATTTGGTAGATTTGTTTCTCTCATGGACTGTGAGAGATATAGGGTAGTCCCATATACATCTTTCTGTGTATAGTGCTGTAACTTTACGAAGAATGGGCCAAATTTCTTATCATTTTGATGATTCCAGAACCTTGCAGATGCTAGATGCTAGATGATCAACCTTTTCTGATCAATTCCACAACGTTCCTTTCACAATGCAATCGCATGAACATAACTGGTCTTTACCTTCAAGGTAAAGTAGGTAAAAGGGGATTATCCAATCCAAAAGATATTTGATGTAGCGCCTTTTCCTTGCAGTTACAAAGCGCTGCACACACGCTCCGGTTTGCTACTAAATTTTCATATTCCCATAGGCTTTATACAGGGACCTCCTGGTTCCCGTAGGCAGTGACTTAATATGGTTTTAGGCAGTTTAGTGCATCGTGTGTGAATGAAGCCTAAGAGCACATCAAGGGTTCAGTGACACAAAGACGTAACTTCATATTTTGCCCAAATGAGTATTTGATATCAAAATGTTTAGTAACATGTGGGCTTTCCAGGACCCCATTAAAGTCAATGGCTAGTGAAACATAGACTTAACTCCTCAAGGCCCAAGTGCCCAGTGACACATAATCCACTTTTTCTCAAAATGGAGTTACGTCTTTGTGTCACTGACCCCTCGACATGATGTCAAGGTGTAACCTTTCACCTTATCTTTTCCCATCGTAGACTTGAGGCTATGTCAACGGAGGAGTCTCTGCATTCCTTGAGGAACCTTGTCTTGCTCATCTCATCATTGACATCCTGTGGGTTCCAGGAGTTGAGACCTAGCTCCATCGTCTACGATGCACCATTCCAGCAACCTGGCTTCAGCTTGCCTCAACCTACGGGCAAAGGTAAGAACTTTAAAGATATAGACCGGTAGTGGCAAAATTGCGGTTTAAAGGTTTTGGGTGCAAAATATCCATTCAATATTGTTAAAATATTGCTTCAGAGGTTCAGATGGCTATTCTCCAACCTAAATTCGCAAAAAAACAGAAATATATGCCCAAATTTTCAATGTTGAAGTGCATTCGCGATATCTATCCAGACCGGATCGATATGATAATTTACCAAATATATCAATTAGTAGTCGGTTTCCGGCAAACTTGTATCATCATGTATTAGTCGAAACGTATTCTTTCACATGATTGGTAATAAGAGCTTCCATTTCATTTTATGAGAGGGGGCGTTTCCAAAACTGGTCTATACAGGGAATAATTTTCCTGGTATCGCATCGCAATTTGCTATGCATTTTTGCATGACTGCTATACAAAATATCTTTTGTGTAGCAGTTTTCTTCCATAGAAATGTACAGAATTTCATTTGAAATATTTATCCATCGCCTGAAATTGCTAATCAAAAAATTTGAGGAAAATTATTCCCTGCTATACCTCTTATACCTTGTTGGTAAATTGATTTGTTGGCTTGTTGAATAATTGATTGATTGAATGATAGATTACTTTATTGGCATAGTATGATTCCCAAAGAAGCAAGTTGATGATGTTAGATACAAGTAAGCAACCAGTAACCTGGGCACTCAATTTCTATCTGGGCCTCATTGCATAAAACTTACCATTGATTGTAACTTTGCCATCAATAACAACTACCATGGTAACAGGGCTCAACAGCCAATCAAAATATAAACATTGATGGCAAAGTTACCATTAATGGTAAGTTTTGTGCAACGGGGTCCAAAAGGACTTTGTATTTTAAGGTTAATGTCTTTAATTTAAAACCAAGGGCCTTCCATTTATAGGGAGTACAGACCACCTTATCTTTTCTTCTGACCAGGGATGAACATTGTTTGGTAAATAAAGTGAATTAGATGTTGCCGTGAAGGGTAAACCTGTAGCAATAAGCAAGAGTAATCAAAGATAGTAGGGTATGTGTAACATTTGAAGATGCATGTGAACTGGTCTATTGTCCTATGATGTTATATGTGAGTTGAAGATAATCAACTATGCATACACAGGCAGCGACATTTCACCTTTGGCTCATGAAATTTTGATCTTTGCAAAATGAAATGAATTATAGATGGTTTTCATGGACATGAAACAGAGTTTTGACACTGACCATTCTTTAATTGATTGTATAGATCTTTCTTGGATAATCTTGTTGTTGTGTTATGCTTTTGGTTTGCAAGTGTGGTATTTTACTTTAGTAGTGAATAAGACATAGATGAGGAGATGAGTAGTCTATCATCTAATATTCATGCAGACATGTCTATTTCCTCATGGTTTGCTACACAATTCAGGGTCTTTTATTTTTATATTAGATTATAGTTTGGTTACAGTTGAGTTAATGTTTTAGTTTTGGTTTCACATCTTGTAGAAAAGTATTGTCCAGTTATATTTTTGCCTCATTATGGCATAAAGAAGCATTTGACTACTTCCAAGAATTGTGTTATTCTTTTAAGAAGACTCTGAAGCATTACTACATGTAACAATCAGTACTTCCTGAAGTGTGAAAAAATGAATATGACTCTCTTACTAACTACACATTTTATTCCATTTAATTTTGAATTTAAAAAAAAAACTGTTTCTGTTGTCAGCGTTTTCAAATAATTTTGGACAACTTTTTACAATTTTGACTACATTTAGCAGCATAGTGAAATCTGTTTCCATAGGCAGTGCATGGGAGACATGAAGAGTGATCTTTTATGATAAGTTTAGTTTAGTTTTGTATATTTTTTCATGAGAAACAAATAGAATGAAACCTGTATATAAAGACCGCTCAAGGGAAACATGTAATGTGGTCTTTATAGAGAGGTGGTTTTTATCTACAGGTTCTTTTGGAACAGCTTTCAATGAAAAACCATGTTCAAGGGAAACAAAATGTGTAGTCTTTATAGACATGGGGTCTTTCTATACAGGTGGTCCCTCAAGCAGGTTTGACTGTAGTTTTTTTGTTGATGTGTGGACAGGCGTCTTGTTATAGAGGTGACTACTATAAAATGGAGGTTTAAGTAAAGTAGTAGTACACATAACATGAATGCAAATAATGTTTTCTTTTGTGTCCTATTCTTACCAGGTAACAGTGTGAGGAATCTCCAAGCCTTTCAAGTCTTGCAGACTGTGTTCCTCAAGGTATGTAACATGAGATGAACCGTGACCTTGCTGGTACATTAGTGCCTGCCTGTCATGATAACCTGATAAGTTCCACCTGCACATCTCACACATCTTTGATAACGGTCTCCATTATGAATGGATGTAATGTTCTCGGGGAATAAAGTAATACAATGATTTAAAGGTGAAAAAAAAGGTTCTTCATAGGCTTGCATTGTGAGGAAAATGAGTGAGGAAAACTTTAAGGGGTACACCATGTGTAGTCCTTAGATGGAATGGGCTATTCTATCTTGGAGAGAAAGATGTTAAAGATGTTTTTGATTCTGAATCTGATGTGAAAGTTTCATTTCAGTGTAATTTTGAATGTAAGTCATCGAAGTACAAATAATGTTGGCAAAATATCTACATTTGTGATCATGTCTTATTAGCGTAAACCAATTTAGTTTTTTAAAGATATGTTTATTTGCTTGTAATGAAAGGCAGAATGCTAATTAGTACTGCATTTTAGTATTTTACAATACAATTTGAGATGAAACACAAAGGTTTCATGAGAAATGCTCATATTTATAATTCTACTTTCTTTATTATTGATTTAGTTTCAATTGAGAAATACTGATGTCTGCAGGAATGTACTGATTTTTATTTCATTGAATATTCAATTATCGTCATCATCATCATAATCATCATTACTCTTATAATTAAGATTTTTTATCATTGTATATGCACAAAAAAAAAAATTATGCTGTAATATTTAGGATGTCTTGAGATCAGCCTAGAACTTCTTTCCATTACTATAGTTACATTCATCTTTGTCATAATCATTATTTGTTTTATCATTGCACAGGCAACCACAGAATCATTATGTCGCATTGTTCTGGACGTTCTGACCTCGGTCTACAACTCGGACGTGGCTAACTACTTCATCCTGGAGCCTCAGAACACCCTGTCACAATTCATTGACCGGTTGACCACCAAGACACCGATGATTCAGACCAAGATCTTAGACCTGGTGGAGTTTGTTGTTTTTAATCTCAACTTTGTCCCATACAAGGAGCTCATTAGTATCAGCTTACTTATCAAGGCTGGCAGGTAAGATTATAGTGATAGATGTCTTGATCAATACATCAGTGATTGATCGATTGATTGATTGATTGATTGATTGATTGATTCACTCATTCATTCATCCATTGATCAATTGATTGCATAATTGAGTAATTGATAGTAATCATTGCTTGATTGTTTGCTTTTCAGCTAATTGATTAAATTATTAATCATATGTTTGGTTGATTGTATGCTTCTGATTCCTTTATGAATGTAATTATCTCCATTTATTTATGGAGAGTCAATGCTAACTGATCCCAATAGGGAATGGAAATAACATGATAGATTAAAAGAATGATGTTCATGAAGTAAGGGTTCACAAGAGAAGAAAAGTTAACATAAGTTGGATGAAAGTTCTTTTCTTCTTATTTTCTTGTCCTATTAAACAAGATCAACAGTTGGAATGTAATGAAAATCACTTTAAAAGAATTTTACTGTAGATTTGATGTGAACTTGTTTCATGAATCCTGGTCAGTCATTAATAAGAGCTGCAATACTGAGAGATGTACAGTTCACAACTAAATCATTTATTACCCTTGTAAATTTGATGGTTTTTGTGTATTTCATAACTCAAGAATGAAAGGTCGATATGTAGAATGTAAGCTTTGATATTTCGCAATATCAAGGAGCATTAAGTGGGACAGTGTTTGTTTTTTTACATAAGGAATTACAAAAAGTTTTTAACTGTATATCAACCATTCAACTTCTTTATCTCCCAGTTCTGTAGAATGCTGCATCAAGTCTGTCATCAGTCTGCTCAGGCTGGTCCGCCACAGTGCAATCTACAAAGATGTCTTCCGAGAGGTGGGGTTACTAGAGGTCATGGTCACCTGTCTGCATCGCTATGCAACCCTCCTCAAAGACAACCAATCAGAGAGCCACCACGGTTACACCTACAGTGAGTCAAAAGAATTGGTTGAAATATGAGTTCAATTTTATCTGTTGAGAACCAGATAGGCATTAACTCTGTATAACATGATATGAAGTAATGCCCTTCTGGCTCTCTGCCAATGATTTTTAACCTGGGATGACCCTTAAATCAGCACTGGTTTTTAACCTTTTTGGACCCACAAACTGCTCTAATCATTAAGTGTTTACACCTTCTTAGTTTCAAAATTTCTACAAGACATTTTTTGCTTAGAGCTTTAAGATTAATACCAGAAGTCCCCATTGTAAAACAGCCAACAGCTGAACTGGGCTTTTACTGTGAATACATAAATGAATAAATCATGTGAAGTGAAACCATTTTGACAGTCAAAGAAAAAAATGTATTTGGTTTGATTGTAGATTTTTATGATTTCTGAAGGGTCCAAGATTTTAGATTATATGAATATATAGTATTTTTACTTTTATGCAGACTAGTGGGTAAAATTCAAAACTAAGAATAAATGAATGATGTATTGTAGATTGCTTGACCTCTCTTCTCACTTGCTTAAAAAAAAAAAATCTGTGTCAAATGCCCATGTTATTTTATATGGATGGATGAAATTGAATTGAAAGTGAATTGAAATTGAATTGACATTGAATTGAAATTTGGAGTTTGGAATTGGAATTGGCTTTGGAATTGAAAGGATTGAATTGGGTTGAATGGAAATCGAATTGGAATCAAATTGGGATTTTGAATTGAATTGAAATTGAATTGAAATTGAAATTAATCCCAGTGTATTTCCTAATGAATTCATCTTGTTTCTCCTGTAAAGGTCCTAAAGCTGAAGTCCACATTCCAGAAGATCAACAGAATCTAGCCTTCCTTGTGATGGAGGCGTTCACACTTCTACTACATGATAACAATGCCAATGCAAGTAAGTTGTCATCTGATGGGGGTGTTCACATGTTGTGTTAAATTTTTCTTTCATTAATTCAATTTTCTACAACTCTTCTATTGTTGCAATGTTTATATGGATTTTGATTTGAATTGATTTGATTCATTTTTTTCTGTTTGATTTTCTTTTTCTTTTGCATTTTTACAAATATGTGACAAACAAACATTGCAAATTTACACATGAGAAAAGAATATATATAGAATAAAGTAAGGCTGGCTGTAACACATCAAACAGGATGTGATCATGTTTTAAAATGGTCCAATGTGTCGTCAGAAAGTAGTAATTAATTTTATAGCGTATGCACACTTTCAAAGACAAAAAAACTATATTGTGAGTAAATCTCTGATAAAAAAAATTGTCTTCTGTTTTGTCTGAGTATTGTCCGAGTTTTGGTTTCATATCAAATTCTTGTAAAGTCATGACTAAGAGCTAAAACTAGCCATTTTACCAAAACAAGCCTTATGATGAGGAAATTACATTGATGATAAATTATGAGGATTGCTTCTTGTAAAGCACTAGTATCTGCCTTTAATGGGCACTTATGATGTTTCCCATAAAAAAATATCATACAATTTCATTAAACTTCACTTCAAATCACCATTTATGATGTCTTTACTTTCCAACTGCCTTCCATCTTGCCTTTTTGCTGGGCACTTATGATGTTTCCCATAAAAAAAATATAAAATTTCATGCAACTTCACTTCAAATCACCATTTATTATTTCTTTACTTTCTAACTGCCTTCCATCTTGCCTTTGCTGGGCACTCATGATAGATGCCACAAAAATATCATAAAATTTCATTTAAAGGTAAAGGCCAGTTTTGGAAATGCCCCCCTCTCAAAAAATGAAATGGAAGCTCTTATTACCAACCATGTGAAAGAATATCTTTTGACTAATACGTGATCATACAAATTTTGCCGAGAAACCGCCTACTAGACAAGATAATTGATATATTTGGTAAATTATTATATCTATTTGGACCTGATAGATATAACGCATGTGTCGCGCACGTGTGGGGGTAGTCCCATATACATCTTGCTGTGTACAGTGCTTGTAGTTTTATCACGACTGGGCCAAATTTCTTATCATTTTGATGATTCCAGAACCTTGCAGTACACACCAATACTTATATGCTACATGATCAACCTTTTCTGATCGATTCCACAACATTTCTTTCAAATGCAATCGCATGACCATAACTGGATTTTATCTTTAACTTCACACTTCAAATCACCATTCATTATCTCTTTACTTTCCAACTGCCTTCAATCCTGCATTTGCTGGGCACCCATAAAAGTATCATAAAATTTCAAGTAATTTCACTTCAAATCACCATTTATTATTTCTTTACTTTGCAGCTGTATTCCGAGAGAGCGGAGGAGCACGCTGTGTTCACAACCTAGTGCCATACATCCAATGCAGACAGCAATCCTTAGCCATCGTTCAGCAGCTTGTTCTCTCCAAGGAAGGCGATGATGACATGGGGACGTTGCTAGGGGTGATGCAATCATCAGATATCAGAGCCATTACACTCAAGATCGACATCTTACAGGTAATTGCAGATACCGGTACCTTGTGAAACTGGTAAAAGCCTGAACCTCTAACTTTAAAAACGGAGTTTATATGATTGATTATGATGATGAAGATGATACATGTACTTCAATTCAATTCAGTTCAGTACATTTTAGTTCATTTCAATTCAATTCAATTCAATTTCATTCAAATTTATTTCCACTCAAACAGTTAAACATAAAATACAACTAAGGTAAAATGATATAGATCAATATTTCATGTCTGTCTGTTTTCCCTGGCACATTTACACAATAATGACTTTGTTTTCATCAAAGGTAGTACCCTGACTTTAGGTAGTACCCTGACTTTAGGTAGGCAGCCGTGTACATGATACTCTAACTGTTAAGGAATTTTGTCTCTCGAAGTACTGATGATAATACACGGGATGAATGAGAGGATTGATAATGTGCCTTCTTTCAGGACATAAGCACTGAGCTGAGATTTTGAATTTACAATAACATATGTCACATTATTGATGTTTATAAGTGATATCTATATACAAATTGTGGTGCATTTCAGTTATCATTGAAACACATTGTGCATTTACCAAATGTGATGGAAAATATGCATTTCATGCTATTAACATTTCTTGCAGTCCCTTGTGTATGTGCTTCGGGAGAGCAGTAGATCAAGGACGATGTTCCGTAAAGTGGGTGGGTTCCTCAACCTGATCTCAGTACTAGTGTCTGTGGAGGAATGCTTACAGGATCCTATCAAAGAACCTTGGAATGCAGGTGAGATTAGGATGGTTTTGGTGGTGGTGATGGTGGTAATGGTGGTGGTGGTGGTTTATTAGTGTAATGGTGGTGGTGACGATGTTCGGTAAAGTGGGTGGGTTCCTGAACCTGATCTCAGAAATAATGTCTGGAGAAATGCTTACAGGATCCTATTAAAGAACCTTGAAATGCAGGTGAGACTAGGTTGGTGGTAGTGATGGTTGTGGTGGGGTTAGGGCTGGAGTTGGTGTGATAAAGGTTTGGTGGTGGTTTGGTGGTTTTGGTGATGTGATGATTGTTTTGGTGGTAGTAGTGGTATGGTGGTAGTGGTGGTGCTGATGAGGCGAAGGCAATGACTTTGAGCGATGATGATGGGGATGATTGTGATAAGGATGGTAATGATGACGATGATGATGGCAATGGAGATTCTTTGTAAGAAATATACTACTGGTGGTTTTTATACAAGATATTGATGATTTTATGAATTTCGATGAACAGAGTAAAGAAGAAATTATGGTACGATACCATACAAATCAGTATATTACATAAATGTTGGATGGCAATAAGAATTTAAAATTCACATGGTTTATTTGCCCAGCCCCTAACCTATTTCAAGGAGCCAGTACTAATCATTTATTTTTTATCATGTTCATTTCATATGCAGTTCCCACGGACCAAATATTTGGGCTCATTCATGTAGTGTTTCAGGCACTGACAGCAGCAATGAGACAAGAACCAGCTAATGCCAAATTCTTTGCCACAGAGGTAAGTCAGGATCAGATGTAATCCAATGTGAACACAATAGAGAAGCCACTTATTGCACATGCTACTTGGAAACATATGGTCCATAAAGGCTTGTTCAGATACGCAGTAAACCGCTGTTTTTCTTTTTACATGTAAATGAAAGGCAACTGTCGCAGTTTTTCTGAGCCATATCTGAACAAGGCTTAAGAAAGTTGTCGGAAACTTCATATGATGCAGGCACAAATCTGGCCTCGTTAGATGGTGTATTGTATCTTGTATGTTGTTTTTGCATATTGTTCTTGTCGTAGGTAAAGAAAGCAGGGGAAAATATTAGTATGTCCTCTCAAATTCAAATTATTCAAGCTATAGATTTAATTGGATTTGCTAATGTTTAGCATTCACATGATTGATAGGATAGTCTTTCCAAACCACATAGAGAATTACTTTTTTTATAATATTAATTTATACTGGTATGTGAAGTTGAACACATATGATTAAATCCCCCCCCCCCTTCCCTTAAAAATATCACTTTATTTTGCCTCCGTCCACCATAGGTGGTACCAGATGCATTAACTTGGATTGTTTTAACATTACATTTTTTAAAGTTTCCTTTCAATTGAAACAACACTGTTTTGTTCAAAACACTACCGGTACTTCAAGTGCCTTCTAGTTCTCAAATAAACAACTTTTCTTCATTTTTTATCAAACAGATCCAATATGAGAGATTGACCAATGCAGTACGGTCATTAGGCTGTTTCTCCAAAGTGACCGAATTGACCGCCTATCCCGAAAATGGGCGTTCGTCTTCAGATTCATCCGAATCCTACTTCTGTGACCTTTTCAACATTAAAGGGTAAGAACGCAAACATTTGTGCAGTATTTGGTGAAAGATAAGCATGGTTGTAGCATGTTTCTGTATTCATTTCAGTTGAGGGAAGTACTTTATTTGCCTTCAATTTCCTCAGTTGATGTAGCAAGTATTCACCTGGGTTCATACATGTATAAGGTAATGTGCATGCCACATGTGGTGTTTGATTTAGTTTACTTCATATGATGATTCAGCAGTGATAATCATATATTACAAAGTGTTGAGTCATGCTTGATGTCCTTTTTACATTTAAATAAATGTTAATGAGTTTCAGTTACTGTTTATCAGATTTTGATATTTCATAATCCCGATGTCTTACTGCTCTCTATGTATTCTGTTTTTCAGAGACCTAAGTGCAATACCTGTATCCCTCCATTCAGCGTGCAAACTTCTGCGTTGTATCTATGATGTGGCCATAGACGCGTATGGGAGGTAAGTTCAGGGTTCGTACGGGTCATGGAAAACCTGGAAAGTCATGGAATTTTACTTTATTGCTTTTAAGGCCTTGAAAGTCATGGAAAATTATTTTTTCCATTGGAAAGTCATGGAAAGTCATGGAATATCAAAATTATGGACAACTATAGTATTTTCTCACTATACAAGTGAATAAATGGAGATATTTCAACCATTTTCTTCTCGTATTTTCTTTCATTCGTAACATACCGACTGATTGTACTTGTGAATGTGTTCACTATGATCGATGGATAAGCGCTGTGTACGTGGGTGTGTACGTGTACGATACGAACTACGTGTGTATGGTCAGTGTATGGCGGTACGGTCCACATCGTGCGCACATGGCTAGCTTGCGAGCGAGCTCGCTAGCGCTAGCTCAGTTCAGCAAGCTAGCGCACGTGTACGTGTGCAGTGTGTGTGTGCATATGATGATGGTGCCAACGCGACATGTGACACTCCAAGAACGAATGTAATGCCTCGATTGCACTTTGGCTTTGCATTAAATTGCGACCACTTAGACTACTACAATTTTTACACTTCTCCAATAAATGAGGAAAAAGTAAATTAGTAATATTTGTTTTTTAATTTTCATTATTTAAATAAAAAAGGAACAATACTGACGTGTCAACAAGGCAAATTGGCAGCGCTAGCTCGTTGACGATCTATATATCGACGCGACGGCATGTGTTTTGAAACTTTTGTGCATGTGTTGATTCTTCATGAAACGGAGTTGTTTATTTTCACAGACCTTGGAACTCGTCACGTGGATATTTTCACCATTACAAATTTTGTGGAAGTGATATTCAAAATGCCTGGAAATTGTCATTTTAAGGATGCTTGGTTAGAACACCCGGATTACCGTGGCTGGATTTTGAAAGAAAGTTCCGATCTGGGGACTGCTAGATGTGCTGTTTGTATGTGTAAATTCAGTGTCCGTAATATGGGCGAAGCAGCCGTCAAGAGCCACAAGAAGAGTGAAAAACACACAGCAAACCTCCAACAGCAACAACGTCGTAAGTGAGCATTTTTAATGTGAATTTTACCGATCCTTTATTGAGCATGAATCCAAATAATGACTGATAATAATTATATAAAAATGAAAGATTTGAGATTATTTAGCGATGCGATGTCACCTCGCAGGCATTGGTTACTGCTTACTGCGACCAGCCCGTTCGGGAGCGTCCCCGGCCCCGGGCCGGGCCGGCTAGGTTACTGCATGCAACAGCCCGAACGCTAACCCAGGGGGCTCCGCACTCACACGCCAGTGTTGTACCGGGCACTGTATGTGGACTGCAGAAAAAAAAAATAATAATAATTTACCTTAAAATTGACCCCAAAAATCATAAAACTAAATTTTGTACTTACAATTGGGTCCAACAGTTTGCTTGCCTTGAGAAGTATTTCCTCCTTTCTATTTCTTTAAAATATGTTTTTAAGGAATGAGTCAAAAATTAGTCCACTTGTCTTAGTGACTTACATCAATTGGCCAAAAGTTGCCGTGAATTTTTTTTTTTTTTCCTTCCCCATACTGTCAAACGGTTGTCAAAATAGGAAAACGTTTATGCTTTTAATGGTCGTTTGAACGGCAGTTAAACGTTTTGACTCGGCCCTAAATCTTACCAAATGATGATATTTATATTTTATTTATTTTAATAGACATTTTTTTCTTTTCTCCTAGATTCTACTCTCTCACTCAAGAGCTTCTTCAAGGCAAAAGGTGCAGAAAGTTCATCAGTATCTATCACGTCTACAGATGCAACAACCAGTACTTGTGCGCCATCAACCTCTAAAGTGACAACTCCCATTCCTGTTGCTGCAAGAGAGGAAACTTTAAAAGCTGAAATACTCTGGTGTCTGAAAGTGGTGGAGGATCATTTATCATTTCATTCTTGCCAGCACAACAGTGAGCTCTTTCAAAGAATGTTTCCGGACTCAGCTATTGCTAAGGGTTTCACGTTGTCAGAAACAAAATGTCGGTATATGACGGTGTTTGGTTTGGGCCCATATGTGCAAGACCTCCTTTATGACAACATAAAACAATCAAACCACTATGTGATACTGTTTGATGAAAGCCTCAACAAGAAGCTCCAGAAAAAGCAGATGGACTTCCTCATAAGAACATGGCAACACAATGAAGTTTGCACTCGCTACTTGACGTCTGTGTTCATCGGACATGGTTCAGCTGTTCACCTCAAGGAAGAACTGAATAAAGTTCTGCACACAGTTGGCTTGGAAAAATTACTGCAAATATCAATGGATGGTCCCAACGTTAATTGGAAGATGTATGATGACTTTACGCGAGAGTACACTGCTGACCTGACCAAATCCATACTGAATATAGGCTCATGCGGGCTCCATATAGTTAATGGTGCTTTTCTGACAGGTGCCAAGGCTGCTGACTGGGAGGTGGAAAGCTTTCTATCATCCTTATATTACCTGTTTTCTGATTCCCCTGCCAGAAGAGAGGATTATCAGAAGATAACTGGAGATCATACCATGCCACTTAAGTTTTGCAAGACCCGATGGCTGGAAAACCTTCCTGTTGCAGAGAGAGCAATCAGCATCTGGGAGAGTGTATGTGCGTATGTTAAAGCAGTAGAAGAGAAGAAAATCCCTCACCCAAAGAACAAGTCCTTTGAAACTGTTTCAAAATGTACTCATATAACTGATTTCTTAGCAAGACTGTACTTCTTCATATCTGTTGCAAAGCTGGTCAATCCTTTCCTAACAGACTATCAGACTGATGCACCAATGCTGCCCTTTTTAGCTGAAGACCTTACTAGAATGCTTGCATCCCTTATGCAGCGATTTTTAAAGCTGGACAGGAGTACCATTACTTCTCCTTACAAGATAATGCAGGTAGATGTTAGCAGTGAGGCCATTCAGCTGCCCTTGGCCAAGTTGGACATTGGATTCTACACTGAGAAGAAGCTGAAAGATCTGAAGGCGAAAAATATCATCAGTGAGCTGAAAGTTCTGGAATTTCGCACTCAAGCAAAGAAGTTTCTTGCTGCAATGACCCGGAAGCTCATTGAGCGATGTCCGCTTAAGTATGCACTTGTGAGAAATATAGGATGCTTGAGTCCAAAGAACATGGCAAAAGACAAAGAAAACTCCACTGCAAAGCTGAAGAGGGTGCTTAACACCCTTAGTGATGCCCACAGACTTAAGGATTCATGTGACGATATCCTAAGAGAATACTCAGAAGCATGTGATGAGGCATCAAGAAGTGCAGAGATGAGAGACTTTGATCCAAAGAAAGAGAGATTGGACTCTGTAATGTGCAAATTTCTGTCCGAGTCTCGCTATTCGACCCTCTTAAAGTTGGTCCGCATGTTGCTTGTCTTGTCCCATGGACAAGCCTCCATTGAGAGAGGTTTCTCAATCAACAACGAAGTTGAAGAGGACAATCTCCTGGGACACTCACTGATATCATTGAGGGCCATTTATGACCATATCAAGTATGTTGGAGGAATCAAGAATGTGACTATTGACAAATCAATCATGTTGGCTGCGTCTGCAGGCAGGCAGAAATACCACATCTATCTCGATGAACAGAGGCGTAAAAAGGAAAAGGAAAAGAAAGAAGGAAAGAGAAAAGGACTGATGGATGGTTTGGAAGAACTAAAGGCCAAACAAATGAGACTGCAAGCAGATGTGAAAAGTCTTCACACCTCAGCAGACAAGTATGCTGAGGAAGCAGAGTCACAAGGAAGATTGACTTGTATTTCCAAATCAAACAGCCTCCGACGTACAGCAAAGGAGAAGGCATCCCAGTTACAAGTAATTCAGAAACAGATTGATGAACAGCTGAATGCCATTAAGAATTATTAAAGAACTTGGACAGTTTGTTACCAATGCCACCAAATATTCAGACAGGTGCAATGTGTAGAGGGATTTCTTTCAAACAGCTACATGAAGATGTCTCAAGAAAAAACTCATTCAGAAATTATTGACCAGCTTAATGCTAGCGAAACAAGAATTCATCAGCTGATGTGAGTAGGCCTACTGTGTTTTGTTGGTGAAATCAAAATTGGTGATGGTATGTGTGTGAGTTTGTGTGTTGGTGTTGTTTTGTTTTCTTTTTTTTTGGGGGGGGGGGGTAGTTACCTTGTACATGCAAAGGAGAGCTATTGAAGGAATCATGGTGGTCCATGAAACCAGGAACAGGCAATTTGTATTCTTTAGAAGTGAAAATTGCCATTAAAAAATGGACAATTGTTGATATGAATACATGTATGTGTAATTGTAAGAATATTATATAGCAGTGCATATCGAATATGATGAAAAAATAACATGTAATTGTAACAGATGAAATAACTAGATAACAAAAGCTGCCTTTCTATTAGTAGACTTGAAACATGCACTTTGCTTCGCTTTGATTTGAGATCAAATTTTCAGTCTACCGTGTAAAAAAAATGTGTAAAAGTCATGGAAAGGTCATGGAATTCTGGCTAGAAAAGTCATGGAAAGTCATGGAATTAAATTTATGAGAAAGAGTATGAACCCTGTAAGTTACATAAACGCTCATTCAGGGTGTCTGGAGTTAACATTCAGGGGCACAGGGGCACTTGTACCCCTGTCACTGTTGTGCCCTGTATTGGTATTCTCTCTTTACATAGGGGAATTTTTATAGTGTGTTGGGATTTGTTTGGCAGAGGCTGAAATGATATTTGTTTTCATTGCATTGCATCTGTATGATATAGGATAATGAAAAATGTAATATATATCATATGTATACTAAGTATGAATATTATATATAAATATACGTTTGATAGGGATTAGCCAAGAGAATTATCAGGTTAGTGAAGGACAGGGTATCAAATCAAATATTAGGAGATTACCATACAGTAAATAAAGATTAATTTAAAGAAAAATGGATGCAATTGGTATCTTAATTGTATATGTTTACTTATCTGCCTTGCAGTAAATCAGCAGAGATGCCGATTCACTCTCCTGCCATCTGCCGTCACGTCCACGACGCGATCACCCCTCTTCCTACCTCTCCTCCGTCCCCCCGGCATCCCTTCTCCGCCCCCACCACGCCCTGCTCGGCAGTGTCACCGGTCCCTGGTCGCACCCCTAGGGGCTCGGTGGGGAGGCTGTCTGGTGTAGGGTGGGGTCAGGGTGCACCCATGCCGACACACCCTACCATCGTTCATCCTGGTGCTGTACTATCACTCATGGATCTGCTGCCCTCTATTGATTCTGATTGCATAGAGAAGGTTAGTCCCCAGTCGTAATCCCTAACTCTACGGTAAGATTGAATAATGACGAAAGGGATATATGAATTAGTTCTAAAAGATAAAAGTTATCAAAATGATAATTGTTCTTTCATCTTCTTCAACATTTCAAAATAGGAGATAATAGTGCTGTGTCACCTCAAAATCTGGGTAATGTCATTCTTGTTAGAAGAGTGTCATCATTCTGGAGCTGAAAATATAAAAATAAAATAAAATTGTTGTCTTGTATAGTGTTTATGTACTTCATGCCATGTCACTGCTGGTTATTGCTCATCAGCCAAATATATAACGCTCTAGCTTTTTTTTCTGATATAAAAGATTGCAGTGCTCAAGCTACATGTATTAATGCAGCGTCAGCATGAAAGTGTCTTCAATCCTGACCCATTTGACTGTAGAAAGTTCCTTGCTAAAAGATATTCTTACTGTAATTACATTTTTGTTTTTAGATCATCCTATCCCTTCAAACCCACCTGGGTGATGTGATCCAGGACCTGGTGAAGAGCGAACGTAACCAACAGATCATGTGTGAAGCGGGACTTCCTCAAAGACTGCTTCAGATTGGCTCTGTGGCACTGTCCAATGAAGGACATCCCCTTCACATGCCATTGCAACACATGCTGGAGAGACTGGCATCACAGGCTCTGGAACCTAAGGACTTGAGGTGAGCAGAGACCTGTTTCACAAAGCCTTTTTTCAATGACAAATGACAAAAATCAGTGACAAACCTGCTGATAACCAATCAGAAGCAAGGATTTCAGTAGCTTATAACAAAATCTGTCATTTTTCACTGATGACAAGTTTTGTGAAAGGGGTCCCTGGACTGTCTCTTCTGTCAGCAACTTGATTAAAGGAAATTTAAGTCCAAATAAGTCTCTTGTTAAAAGATCAAAGTATAATATTAAAGAACTGCACACATTTTGTTCTGATGAGAAGACAAACACAATTTGATATTAAAAATTGGCTGCTAAAGGAAAAAATGGGGCTTTTCATAGTAAAACTGATATAAAAATAACGGTAGTGGACAAAATATGCAGTTTTTTGGTATCATCTAAAACATTTGTCCTGTGCTGTACAGAGTTGTCCATGTTTGTGGAATGTGGAAACAACAAGCTTTCACTAGGTGCGGATGTGTCTATGAGCTTGTGAGTGCTGTATGAGTTATGTTTGATCTTGTCTTTTTTTAGGGATTTCATTCGTTTGGGGAACCCCCTGAACTGCAATCCTCTAAAGGGGAATGAAGACCATGACTCCAACGACGAGAATAGCCCCACCAAGTCCTGTGACTCACAGATGTCCACCACCTCGATCAGTCCTCAGACACCGAGCACAGGCATTGCCACCAATAGCAACAACCACCATCAAGCGAGTGCTGCGGGATCGGGCGCAACGGCCCAAGGGCAAGAAGTGCCACTGACCAGGGTCAAGTGCCTGGTGTCTATGACCACCCCTAGGGATGTGAGGCTGGCTACGAGTTCCCTGACGCCTGCATTTGTGGAGTTTGACATGAGTGCTGAAGGGTTCGGGTGCCTGTACCTACCCAGTATGGCACCCCAGGTGTCACCGGCGCAGAGTGTGGTGTCGGTTGGAATGGCAGGTGGAGGCGATGGGACCATCTCAAGTGGAATAGGATCAGGTAGGTTGGAGTTTTACTTTTAGTCTTGAAAACTTTCATTTCATCAACAGTTTGGGATTGAATTACATTAGAGTCATTGCCATTTCTGCCACAGCTAATAGCTTCAGTATTCTGTTTCCTAATGTACTCTTGAAGTGTTTTAGTAGGAAAAGATTTGAAGAATTTACCAAGTCTTTGTGGTTTACCTCAGAATATACTGTTGTTAATGAGTTCAGGATTTGGGAAGGATAACATTTTTGTTGAAAACAAAAAACAGATTTGGAAACATTTGGTTAATTTCCCCCTGAGTCTTTCATGTTTTATCTCGGAATATGCTGCAGCAAATTGGTTTGTATGTCGTAAAATGTCTGTTTGAAGCTTATAACCAAATATGAATATTTAAACTATTATTGTTCATCTGTATTTTCAGGAGAGCGGTTGTTCCCACCCCAGTCTGGGATGTCATTCTGCGTGTGGTTCTGCGTGGATCGCTACGGCACCTCCGAGACGGACATGCATCCCATCCGACTCATCACCATTGTACGGAGTGTAGGGAGTGGTGATAACCACCTAGCATGCTTCAGTATCGGCATCACGGCTCATGATAGGAACCTTGTTATCAGTACAGCTGAGGAACCTTTCCCAAAACCAGGTAAGATCTGTCTCGGTGTCATATCAATTTGTCAGCAGTGTCACATAACTAAGACAATAATCAGAGAAAAAGCAACAAGTACTTTAAAATAATTGTAAATTCATAGGTAGTAATAACAATATTCTGAGTGCAACACTTGGCTGCCCATGAAAGAAGAGAGCAAAAGAAATTGCCCTTCTTCTCTGTGATAATGAGATATACATGTAGGAGAGGTCTTTTAGTCAAGAGGTTTCACCATTTATATTGAGCCTTGAAGGCCAAAGGTTCAAGCCGTTGCTGGTCTGTTGTTTCCCTGAAAAAGGCATTTTATTGTCACTACTTCTCTCTACCCAAGTGTGTGAATGGGTATTGTGATTTGATCTAGCATTTTTGTGCCTGTGCAATGGCTGAAATGCTCCACAGGGATTGGAGAGCAGGCACTCTGACTGAGAGATTCTACTTTCATACAATGAAGGAGCTTTGTAAAACACAATTATTATCCATACAAGAGTAGAATGCTAACTAAGTGGGGAAGAAAATATTGTGTATTTCTACCCTCTTGTATTTGTGCATAGCTAGGCCCCGTCTTACAAAGAGTTGCAATTGATCCAAATCAATTGCAAGTCCTCCAATCAATTGTAAGTTAGCAATCTCCTATCTCTTATGTACATAGTTGCGATTGATATCAACTCTTTGTAATACAGGGCCCAGGAAACCATGCTAGAAACTGATAGGGAACCATTACCATTCTGTTCGATGTATTGTTTTTGTTGTTCAGGGTCAGTGGATGCATCGGACATCACAACCAATCATGCATCAGTCGGTATCAAGCTGTGGATTCCAGAGCTAGCCCAGGAAGGTCTATGGCATCACCTGGCAGTGACGTTCAACAAGGCCGTCATGAGGCACTGCTCAGCGACTGTCTATGTGGATGGTGCTCAGCTACCCATCAAAAAGGTATGGTGAATCTATACTAGTCGCAGACTTGGAAAGACTACTTTCATTTGGAAGTATATCATTCTCATTGATTGAAAATGGGCAACATGATGTACTAAATTTCAAGTATTATCCAGTAGGCATACCTGCCAACCACCCCGATTTAGGCGGAGTTCCTCCGCATTTTTCATACCAACTCCGAATTCCGAGTGCATGCCTCAAAACTCCGATTTTTAAAAATTTAAAAATATTTTTAAAACAAACGACTGTTGCATAAGACTAAAGCATAACACAGCACTGATAACCAGATCACGCCGACATCCGCGCTCGCGCTCATAGAAGATATACACAGCGCAGCCCGAACGTGATCGTTAGTTACGCACACTAATCTCTACGGAAAAATCCGTAGAGATCAGTGGTTCCGCAGTCATTATCCTTGTACTGCATGTACTAGTACATGGAAGCACGTGCGCTAGCTATATCGATAAAGTGTGTGCGGACGTTGTACTAATACATACACTACATGCAGCGTTGTATGTTGCATAGTAACTGCATGCGTATAGCCCACATGTATTTATATTACATGTGCAGTTGATACATGCACCGTGCATAAACACTGTATACATTGGCGTGTTTTCTTCAATGCTTGTGCGATGACTGCGATCGTGGAAGCTTGTTATTTACCGGACTTCCTCGGATTTATTTTGGATTACTACTACTATATTCTTCTTCTTCGTTGATTTCTCCATTTTTTGAAGGACAAAATGGGTAAGACTCGTGCTGTTCATAATCAGAAGTATAAGAAAGAATACGGGAAACAATTTCCAGTTGCAGAATCAGCACTCGGACTTCAACACGCATTTTGCATTGTGTGTGGGGCGAAAAGGTTGAAGGAAAAGGCCCATTTGCACCATTAAAATGGAGAGAAAAAAAATAGACCCTAAAGTCCTGTGTACCCCCCCCCCCCCCCCCAATCTACGGGCTACTACCCCAATCCTTCGGTGGTTCGCGACCTCGTAGTCCATCCAGAAAAATTTACTCCTAATTTCTCTTGTCTCAGGTTGGCAGGTATGAGTAGGTGTAATAATGAGGACAAGGTGCTCTATTATAGATATATTGACTGCTATGAGAGGCATCGCTGTTTCTATAGGCTCAAGGGGACATTACATCCTCCTACGCGCTTGAGGGGTCATCGGCAGAATGTAACGTCCCCGAGAGCGATGTCACTGTGCAATGACTTTATTTGTTATAAACACATTAGTGTGGTGACAACATCATAATTCCCACAGTTGCTAGTCAAATAACAAGTTTTATCTGATTTAAGTATCATCTGGAATTCAAAGGTATATATGTGTAATTTCGATATTAACTTATGTCTTGACATGCCCTCTTTCATAACTCCCTTATCCTCTCATACCAGATGCCATACATCCAGGTCAACCCCGGTGGCTCCACACCCAACCCAGCCGGCCTGACCTCCGTCTATGCCTACGTGGGCACCCCGCCCTCTCTCAAGGCACCGTCTAGGTTGCTATGGAGATTAGGCCCCACCCACCTGTTTGAGGAGACCCTGCCACCTGTCACTGTGATGGCTCTGTGTCAGCTGGGACCAACCTATGTGGGTAGCTTCCAAGCACCAAGACAAGAAGGTAGAAACCTCCTTTTGTTTAGATGCTGCTTATAAGTATCAGCTTGCATGATGATGTAGATATACAGTAGGCTTGCGGTTGCACTCCTGACGACGGGTAGTCAACCTGTTTGAAACGTCGAGCCACTCCCGCCACCCATCCTCTCCAACCGGGTTAGTTCTCCTTAGAACTATATAAAGCTAAGAAAGATAACCAACAGTCTTTTTCAAGACTATGCCAACAGTCCTTTTCAGGACTACACACACTCAAGAAAGAAAGATTTCCAAGAGTTCTTTTCAGGACTCCCCAATGCTCCCTCCTCTCTCACATGATGCAACTGCAAGCCTACTGTATATCTTTTTGTTTGTTAATGGACTCTGAAAAACTTGAAAATAGAGTAATTTGTTTGCACATACTGAAGGGATAAATGGATTTCTTTTCATCATGGAAATTTTTTTCTGCAGTTTTATCTTGATGGTCTGTTGTAGGTGTAATCTGCAGCCTGTTTACAGACATATCAACATTTCTAGCTTGACTCGCATGAAATATTTCACCCCAAAACAAGACATTTTCGATCAACCTTAGGCAAGCAGGAGCAAGGGTTTTGTTTGAATCTGATAAGAAATTAATTTTATTCGCCAAACATTCCTACAGTTTCTGTTGGTGGAACTACAGTGATCTATATTATCTTGCTTGCATTTCAAGATCAATACTACACAGCTACTCTGCTTATTCATATATTTTCACCAATAATGTTTGTTGCCTTCTAATTTATTAACCTATCCTGTCCTATCAATTCTAAATAATCATTCTGGCTTGAATTCCAATATCCACAGAGTTAAGCCAAGCCAAAGTGGACCTGAATGCTATCGTTATCCCAGAAGAGAAGATCGTCTTTGGTCTCCATGCCCATGCTCTCTCTGTGCTCACCGTCTCAAAGATAAGGAAGGCATTCAACAAGGTGGACAGCAAAGCAGTTGCCAAACAGGTATTTATCTTTTAGTTGTGTTACTTTCTTACCTGTGTGCAAAGGAAGCAAGCATATAGGGTTTCAAATCCCACAGTTTTAAGTCCCATTTGAAAGGAATTTACATGATTTATTGATTCAACATCCCTTTGTTAAAGAAAAATATACATGTAGGCGACAAAATCTGTATTGAATTTAAATTGAATCATAAATAATAGACAAGAACATGATTTAAATAGTGAATGGGTCTTCTGTTTTCATTTTGTACTACTACATCAGGGCCATGCATTATCACACACATCACAGTTTGGCAGGAATCTGATGACTTTCTGTTGATTCAAAGACACATCCATACTTTAATAGAGTTTTATTTGTCAACCTAAACCCAAACAGTTCACATGTATACTCTATTGTAAACAAATAATTGGACGTATTGATAGAGATGCATGTTTGTTTTGTTTGCTCCTTCCCTCTGTATTATTCTTGTAATCAATCTTTTGTATGTATATCATGTATATCATGTTTGTATGTTTAATATTTTGTTTTAATGGAGAATGAAATAAATTAAATGAAAGGAAATGAAGTGAAATGAAATGAAATGGATAAAGATGTAATTTCTTGTGTTCTTATGATCCTTTGTAGCTGACCCTGTCTGGTCATGATAATGCCACGCCCATCAGGATATTACATAACTCAGCCGGTCACCTGACAGGACCAGGAAGATCCTTTGGTGCAGTACTCATGGGGGAAATAGGTAAGAAGACTGACTCAAGATCAAATTTGTCATTGAATCGTAGAAAAAGTTTAGCTTAAATGGTCCTTTTAACTTGGGATCTTATTTGTTGTTACAATGCCTTCTTAAAATGTGTAATGTTCAGGATATTTAAACATACAGTTTATATTTGATAGTTCATGAAAGGAATTTTTTTTAAAAGAGTCTGTGTAGTAGTAAAATGTGTGTGTGTGTTGAATACATGTAGATAATCCATTCAATTTTCTTGTCTTAAAGTCATTTTAATTTCCTCTGTTGCATTTTTAGAGTGATAACGTTGATGTTTTCTTGGAGTTTGAGTATTTTCTCTAAGAGTTTTACATTGAAGTAGAAAAATTAGGGTATTACTTTAATCTTAAGTACGTTGAATTCCTGATATAAATTTAAATTATTTGTATGTGCCTTGAGCATCTCTAAAGATGGAGATGATGCGCTTTATAAATATTGTTATTACAGTTGAACCTGCTTTAGTGACCACCTGTCTACAAAGACCACTTTTTGCATTTCCCTTGGGCAGTCGCTGTAGACAGGTTTGACTGTATTATTATTATAGAACTTAACCACACTCCACCTTCCTCTCTACAGGTGTGAGGACATTCTGTCCCAAGCCCGTCGCCAGAACTCTTGCCAACATTGGAGGCTCCGCCCCTCTCCTGGGTCTGATCGCCATGGCAACGGATGTTGAGGGTCTGTATGCTGCTGTCAAGGCTCTCGTGTGCGTGGTCAAGAACAACAGTCCGGCAATAGAAGAGATGCAGAGAACCCATGGATACCAGGTACAGAGAACATTTTGAATTGAATCGAATTGACATTTATTTCCATCTCATGTCAATATATTTACAGAGATAAAAGATGGAATATCATAACAGATAACTATATCAAAATTGCATATAAATTGACATGATAACATTGAAAAAAAATAGAAAAAATATAATATAAAACATGGTACAAATGGGAAATGGTTCATCCTCAAAAGCCAATAAGGCTTGACAATTGAAAGCACCAGGTACACAAGTAATAATAACATACGCTGCTGGGAAAGGAAAAAAAGGAGATTGCATTTTGGTTTGAGAGATGTGGTCTTAAAATAGATTATGCATTATAAAGAGAGTGAAAATGATCAGTAAATTGATTCCAAGCCTCTGATTGGTTGAATCTTTCCCTTTGGGGACATGGCCTTCATTGTGGGATGTTGTAGGAGTAGAGGGAGAGAAGATTCTAATTTTTACCATCCATTGAATGGGATATAAAATATATTGTGTATTTGTATAGGTACATCATTATAGAGAGGATATAGTGGGAGGTAAAATGTATGCTGAGCAGAATGATTGCACTAAACCAGTGGATGTAACCATGGACCCCTTGCCGACTTTATTATTTACTCAATAAAACTTGCTTTAGTGACCACCTCTCTACAAAGACCACATTTATGTTTCCCTTGAAAATGGTTTCTCATTGAAACATGTACTAACGGAGCCTGTACAGAAAGGCCACCTGTCTATATAGACCACTTTTCTTGGCTGGTATTTATAGACAGGTTTCACTGTATGAGGTTCTTGTTATTGTATCTTGTTAGACAATTTGAAAGACTGAAACAGCATTGTTGTTTGAGGAGTAATATTCAAAGCGATGTTGTTTCCTCTTATCCAAAGATCTTAGCATACCTGCTGAAGAAGAAGAAGCATCTCCTAAACAGTCACATTCTCCATCTGACCTTCTCTCTGGTTGGTACGATCGATAGTGGGAGAGAGTCGACGGTCATCCCTCATCATACAGCATTTGAAGATCTGCTCTGTGACCTTGAGATCTGGCACAATGCCCCCAGTGAGATCCAGCGCTCCCTCTTTGAGCACTTCCACGAGCTCCTGACAGACTCCAGCGAGGCGGAGAAGAATCGACGGCTCCTTCGTCAGCTCCAGATGGTCAACAAGCTCTTACTCCTCCTCCAGGACTCATCACTGGTCAGCGGAACGGTCAAGGCTATCGCCAACGTCCTGGGTGTGCTTCTCCAAGGAGTGCCACACCCTCCTGCTCTTCTCATGTAAGCTAGTATATGAGTTGATAGTGATGAAGGAAGGGGTTTACACAGCATTTTGAATATTAAAGTTTTTCATTCTAGTAGAATGACTTAAATATTCCATACAGTAAGATGCATGTTTTATTGAATGTAATGTTAAGAAAATACTGAGCAATATTGAGTAATAATTGATGAAGATAAGAATTTGAAATTGCAGGGCTTAAATTAATCCAAGGCCACCAAGGCCATGGCCTTGGATGCCCCTTCGATTGGCTGCAATGCCCCTCTCATTGGCCATGGAGGTTTTTTGTGCCCTTTCCAATTCTTCCTATTTGTGCTGTAATATAGGAATGTGCCCTACAGAAAAGTGGCCTTGTCTTAAATATATTGAAATTTAAAGCCGGACATTGGAAGTGATTGATTAACATTGTGTGATAACAGTTTGAACTATAATTTGTGTAAATTTCTTTCAAGTTCACAATACTAATAGTGGAGTGTAATTTGTTATGGTCTCTTGTTCCATCTCCATTGATGGCTTTTTTAGACAGGTTTGAATTAATTGTAAGTAGAATGAAAGCAAAAGAAAATATTACAATTCGAATTGAATATGGTATTCTTGTCATTATACTCTAGCTTTGGTCAGTTCTTGGCGTCCACCCTCCCGTCCGTTGATGAGAAGTCCATCACACCCCAGGAGCTACAGGAGTGGTCAACGTGTGAATCAGAACCTTCTCTCAAGAGCTGGAAAGGTAATAGCAAAACAATTTACTTCTGTTTGTATTAACCCTTCAATATCGGTCAGAAGTTTTGTTAATGAAAGAGCTTAGTAAAATGCAGAATATTGTTCTATCTCAAATACTTGCATATGATGAATGTGTAGGATCTTATATTGTTCCCGTCATTGTAAAATAGCACTGTACTTTTCTTTACATACATGTATGTAAGGGCTTTTAAAAACAATTGTGTATAACATTGATTGATTAGACATAACTCAAATATCGGTGTTCATTTAGTTTACCCCTATTTTATTCTGAAGAAGGTGTAAGAAAGAAAGAAAAAAAATAGTTTCATAACCAGCTGCAGTTTTATTGTCTTATTTTTGTAGTAATGTTTACAATATCAAAGGATTTTTCTCCATTTTCAGTTGTTTCACATGCTTTTTTGCTATGTGTGTTGCCTTTAAACGGAATGACTCATTACTAACAAGTTATGACTTATCTATTTTTCTTGTTTAGATTCAGACAGCATGTCAGAAGACTCCACAGCACTTGTCTCAGCGCACACTGTGTGCCTGAGAAACACCTTACTAGAAACTCTACTGAGAATACTACATTATGTCAACTCGGGCAGCATAAGTGTTCCGTAAGTAGTACTGTAAATCTCTGTGTATAAGGCGCACTTTTTTGCCGCTGAAAAAAATTGAAAGTCGGGGGTGCGTCTTATACACAGGTACAGAAAAAAAAAAAAAAAAAAAAAAATTTATTTTAATTTTTTTATTTTCGATTTATGGCGCTATGCCTGGCAATGTCTCCCAGCTCAGTAATCAGTGTGTTGACTCACCACTCGGAAACTACAACAACACTCAAATTTGTCTGTCATCTTGGTTTGAAAATAATCTTTCTAATAGATCTCAATATGTAGTTTATAATAATAATTCCTCAAATTTTTTTTCTATAACAAATGGTGTACCACAAGGTTCTATCCTAGGTACTTGTTTTTATATTTACATTAATGATCTTACACATTTTTCTAAAAACGACATTGTTACTATTATTTGTGATAAGTTCACAAGCACAAATCAGCGCCTTTGACTGCACCTCGATGTGAAATGAAGGTCCTTTCCCGTGTGGGTTTTCGGCAACAAAACAACAACAACAACAACATTTTTTATTTTTTAAAATTAAATTATTTTGTTTTGCCCCCAAAATAGGGGTGCGCCTTATACACAGGTGCGCCTTATACACAGAGATTTACGGTATCTTTCATTTGCTTCATCACAGAAAGCACTATTCTACAAAGGGCCATGGCTATGTCAGGCAAACGTCTTACAAAACAAATTAAAAGTAGATTTCTATTTTGGTACCATTTGAAAGACTGTTATTTGTTAGGGGGGGGGGGCATAAATATTAGATTAGCAGTTCCTAGAAAGTACATGTACATAGAAAGTACATAAAAGTGATGTTTCTCCTGTAGTAGGAGAGATCCTTTAACCAACTGACTTTTCCCTCCATTTTCTCTCCAATGATAAGTTTGGTTCCCCTCTCTCTAGCTCTTTTTCATTGTCTATTTCTCTCTCTGACTCTGTCTTCATCTCGGTCTCTCTCTTTCTATTTTTCTCTGTTGTGAATCCATGCTCTCTGTTTCTTTATAATAAAAATGGTTTATTTATTTAAAAAATATGCATCGCAGCCCGGGGGCTGAATTGTACAATGTTATTACAAAAGTATTTACATGACAAAAATTACACTATATAGAATTGTAGTAATACAAGTACACAATATATGAAATTGTAAATAATTCATGAGCGTAATACGAAGGAGCACATGTGAGTTTAGTAAATAGCATTTGTCTCTTTCATGTTTTGATCGTTACTCATTCATCCCCATATTACAGGACATGTGATGAGGTGCAGCGAGTACTTGGTTTTGATTGGCTCCTCCTCTTCCTACAAGGTCACCTTCACCCGACGACGGCCATCATCGCCCTGCGTATCCTGATAGCGATGCTCAGCAACCAGACAACCATCAACAAGTTCAGAGAGGGCCAGTCGGGAGGCGGATGGTTGGATCAGACGGAGCCAGTCCTTCATAACAGAATGAAAGTTGTCTTAGGTTAGTGTTTTTATTTGACATCATCAAAACATGATTGTGATATCTGAATTCCCATTGGGCTCAGAGGCTGGACCAAATCCTCCCAGTTCTTCATAATCAAATGAAAGTTACAGTTTGTTTCATTGAGCTCAATCGTGATATCCCACTCACTTTCTTAATCAAATGAATGTCATATTAGGTTAGTTTTGTTCGTTCATCTTGATTACACATATTGTAGAATTTAATTGTAAACTTTTGTCCACAGGGAATCCATATTGAAATGTTGGTGGTCTGAATGCTGATTTTTGTATTATATTTCGTTTATTTATTTGAATAATTACCTGTCTAATGGATTATGATTGACCGGGACTTGTGCCTGCAAATTATCTTTTGTATTTCTCCAACATATGCTGATAACTGCAATACTTCTTGCTTCTTGTTTAACTGGTTAGGTTTCAACGTTGGTAAGAGCAGTAAGAAGCCCCAGACTCGAGAGATCAACCAGGAGGCATGTCTTCTACCAGGGTTTCTCATGCTACCGACCCTCTTACCAAGACATGCAGACGTACCAGAGATCTACTTCCTCTTGATCGCTCTAGCACTGGGACATCCTCCTAAACCTCTACCAGATAATTGTCAGGTTAGAGATTTGTCTGTTTTTTATTTAAATCTCGTAATTTAATAATAATAAGAATATACCGTGCTTATATAGTGCATATCAAAATATGTCTTAGAAAGAGTAAAAAGGAAAGGTGGATAGAGTAAGAAGAGAAGAAGAGTGAGATATGCTCAACATACTTCATCTCATTACCATTGGAAAGTATTTTTGAAAAGAAATGTTTTAAGACGCGTCTTAAAGGTACTATGTCCCTTTTGCAGCCAACCTCAAATTCTGTAGAACTTTGCAGGAATCATGTATGTCCTATCTGTGAAATTTAAACGTTAGCAGTGTCCTCATATTCAAATTATGCAAGGAAACCCATTTACTTGCTAGACTTCACTGTCAGACACTATTGAATGACTGACTGGCTTTTTTTCTTCTTTGATAATAACATACATGAAGAGTTGTAAAGGGTACATGAGCATTTGTCTACATCAATAACCCACTTTTTGTGATGGCCAAGATTAAACTGATTGAATCTTTGCGCAGCATAAAACGTATGACCATTCGGTACAATTGCCTGAAAATCAAGACTATTACTTTTGGGCTCTATAGCCCTAAAGTCGATTTGATAACTAATAGTCGTTATTTTCCCACTTGAAGACATTTTCGAGCCCCACCTTTTTTAGGGAAGTTCTAAATTAGTATTATCTTTCAAAAGCAGTTGGAATTTAACTTTTTCATTTTTTTGGCCTGCAAATGGGACATAGTACCTTTAAAGTTGTCAACAGTACCACAATTTAATGTTCTACATGTTACTAGGTATGCTGAAATCTAACATCTAAAGTATATTCTTGATATTTATATGATCCAAGTTAAAGGCAGTCAGCTTTATACAATCATTTGGATAAATGTACATGCTAAAAAAATAATGATGTAGTAAGCACCGTCCTGGAAACAAATATGGTGGACTTGCCCGAACTTGATTAAGGTTCAATTGCAAGCATGCGGGTGTGAAGCATTGATGTTGATTAGATTGGATTTGATTTATTGATTTCTATATCATATTCCAAACATACATATTTTAAACATACATAATGTCCATCAGTTTGATATAATTTACGTTTCAAAGTACAGTACATGATACTCATACTGTATAGAACATAGACAATACATGTGAGAACATTACTCACTTTTACAATTAACATGTTCTCTCAACAAATTTCTGTTCATTTCTCAGTTGGATCTGAACTCGATGTGGCAGTACATCTTTGGTGTTCCAGCCAGCCAATCGGCCAGTGGAACCCTCTCTACCAACCTCTGTCCTGATGCGGTCATGATACTGTTATCGCAAGTCAGAGTCATGCTAAATCAGGTGAGTGTAGGGTGTTAGTGTTTGGTGTCAAGTAGAAACACCTACATGTACTTAGCTCACTTCAGAGTGATGGTCAGTGTGAAGTGTTTAGTAGAGAAAAAAGGCGTTCAGTGTACTATTATTACAGATTAGAGTTATGCTCAATCAGGTGAGTGTAGGGTGTTAGTGTTTGGTGGAAAGTATAATCAATTCAGTCCTAGTAGCTCATATCAGAGCGATGGTTAGTGTAAAGTGTTTGGTATGAAGTAGTGTTCAGTGTTACTTAGAAACAGTGTATATACTGTTATCTCAAATTAGATTCATGCATAACCAGGTGAGTGTAAGGTTTTAGAGTTTGGTGTCAAGTAGAAACACCTCTTTAGCTCACTTCAGAGTGACTGTTGGTGTTAGTGTTAGTAGAGAAATAAAGTGTTCAGTGTAAAGACGAATGGTCTAGATTCTATTATCAAAGATTAGAGTTATGCTCAGTCAGGTGAGTGTAAGATCTTAGTGTTTGGTGTAAACTAGAAACACCTCCTATTACACTGTAGCTCTCTTTAGAGTAATTGTTTGTGTAAAGTGTTTAGATCAGAAATCAAAATTTCAGTGTACAGAAGAATGGTCTAGATACTATTATTAAAAGTCAGCTCTTTTACCTGCTACTATTCCTTTAGTTGTAGAATGTTGCTGTTGATATTCTTATTCTCATTACAACCTCTACCTTTTGCTCATTTTCCTCCAGGCATACGATGATGAAGATGAGAAGACTAGCTGGTTACAGGAGTACCCAGTGACGTTGGTCCAGTTCTTACTCTATCTCTACCACAACGTCACAGAGTTCAAACCAATCTGTATGAGTGGACCTTTCTTATGTGGACTGGCGTCAACACTCTTCCCATACCCTACCACGCACGGCGATCAGGTATGATATCCCTGTACAAGACCTCCCCCTCTGCTTCCCCTTCCCACCCCTTCCCACCCCTCTCCTCTCCTCTCCTCTGTGTTACAGAGTTAAAGCCGAACTATTTGAGTGCACCCTTCCTGTATGGTCTGGCATTAACTTTCTTTCCATACTCCAACACACTGGATGATATGTACATGTTTGATATCCCGCTTCCCTTCCCTCCCCTTCCCTCTCCTGCCCCCCTGCACCCCTGCTGCTTTTTCTATGAGAATAGAATGTAGTCTGTAGCTGGTCATGTGGTATGTGAGAATCTAGTTTGTATTATAGAAAAGAGGTCTTTCAATATTCATCTTGCCTGTGAGCTATGAATGATAGTATTTATTGTGTATCTTGGCTTAGAGTTCTAACTTACCATGTGTTATTTACCCAATTTATCTTTTAAGTTTTTATAGGAATTTTTGCATGAGTTTTGTGGCTATTTATCTGATATTCTTTTGTCATCATAACACAATTGAATAGAAATTGTGTGAATCGATATAATATTTTGTGTCATCTTTATTCTTTTGCATGCAATTGTGTTGTATCTGTGATTAAATGTGCTCTGTAAAAAGGTGGGGGAACATCTTGAGCTCTTTGATTACTAATTTGGCAACGATTCTGATACAGAAGTTTTATATGGGCTCTGCCTGAACTTTTAACATTTATTAATGATTGGGCCATTTAAAAAATAATTGAAAGCAAGAGGGTGGTCTTACTGCATGATTATTAACATTTGGATGTCACTCTACTTCCATGCCTGCTCATCAATTTCATCTGGGCCCTGTTGCATAAAACTTACCACTGGTGGTAAATGCATACCCCAACCAGACTGTGTATATGGCATCTGCAAGAATCTTCAGTATTGAAGGACGCAGATTATCTTGAAGAAGAGAGAAGAACTTTGCCATCAACATCAACTACCATGGCAACACAACACAACAGCCAATCAAATCAAGGTTTTAATGGAAGTTGCCATTAATGGCTTAGTGCCAAGTTTTATGCTATAGGCCCAGGTCTTTTTTTCTTCCTCTCAATGTCATTGTCTTTGGTCATTTCTTATTTTCTTTATGTCATATTTCATTTGAAGCTATATTTTTCTCCCACTCCTCTGCATGTGTATTGCATGTTTGTTGGCTTCGACTTATCCCCCATCCATCTGCATCCTTAAATTCCTAAAGATGACTACTATTCAAGAGGAGAATACGTTACTGGTAGGCAGCTAATTTCAGTTTTGTTGTATGTAGTACTGTCAACATTCATGTCTAAATGCTAATACATTTCTTAGAATTTTTGTAGATTTTATAAAAGATATAAAAGCTACATGTTTATAAAGGTATAGGACTTGTCATTATCTTTATATTGGGACACACATGCATTTCACTTTGCAGTTGAATCACAAATCCTATTGAAGTGTCACTGCATGTTTGAGCAGTTTGTGAATTTGTCATAAAAGGGATTAAAGGGATTAAAGCGAAGAAGTTTCCATAGATCATTTTATTCTTGTCATTTTCAAATTGATTTCACTCTTTCGGAATTGTTTGAAACAAGTATTGTGTTGGATTAAATTTAAATGGAAATCCAACCCAAATAGAAAACTACTCTAAAAGAAAGCAGAAAAATTGGAGAAGCAAACTGATGAAAGTTTCAATTAAACCTGACTAAATATAAGAAAGTTAAGGATTTTTGAAAAATTGTAATCACTATACATATGGGCACTTCAAATTGGCTGAAGCGGTATTGTCAGTGTGATGTAGTGTTGGACTAAGCAGTATCCGCCTGTCCCTTGTAAGACATATTGTTTTCCATCCGTTGTATGTATGCCTATCATAGCTGGATGATATGGGAGACCTTGCCTCTCCACTGGATGACATACAGTATCTACCAGACCTGGATATACCTGGCCTTGGTCTCAAGATTGATAATGGAACCAGCCAAGGTGAGAACAACATGCTTTATACCATTTATCAATCCTGCTTGTATCCTCTGTGTGCCACTTCAGGGCTCTGTTTCATAAAAACTTGATATCAATAACAAGTTACAATAACTGTTATAAGCTACTGAAATCGTAGAATTTTATTTGCAGATAGCAAATTAATCATAGGAATTTAGCATTTTTGATTGATAACAAGTTTCATGAAACAGGGTCCAGGTAGGTGAAGATGCATCACTGCGGCAACACCAAATCAGACATACTGGCTCTTGCATTATTTGGTTCAAAGGCCACTGCTCTAACCCCGAGATGTAGCAGCTATTGAACATTCACTGAGTGTTGTTTTAATGTTTTGTGGGTGATTTTGATTGAGGAAGGCCTATATTTGAAGAATCACTTCAGTGAACAATGCTTTCATTGAGACATGCCATATAACTTTGTGCCATATTGTTGTGAATGCCTCAGTGGAAGTTATATGTGGGTGATATGATTTCTAACCCTGCTGCTGAATATTGTCCACAGGACAGGAATCCCGGGAGATTGAGATACATTGAGATATATGGTGAAGATAGGCCATATTTTATTTTATTTTGGCCACAGTGCTCACCAAACATTCTGCCCCTACCATCACTAACAATTGTTTTTTCCCTATATCAGCTAACCTGACTGGCCATCCAGCCAAGCGTTACGTGATGGACTTCATCAGAGTGATTGTGGTAGACAGCCTGTCCTTGCCAATGCCAAACCGCAGTCCAACAGTCCTTGACATCATATTAGAAGTAAGTGCATTTACTTGTTTGAGTTTTTTAAGCTATTTCATGTTCTGAGCTTAGATTCAAATTTGTGGTTGATACACATTAAATGATTATTGTGGTTTTGAAAGCAAGTATACCTTGATTTTATTTTTGAGCTCCCTAAATGTATGTTCATTACTCCAATGTCTACTTGATGATATCACTTTATTTAAAGGGAAAGGGTGTTTTTAAAGCTAAGTGTGTCATACTATGTCCGTTCATAGTTCAGAGTTGTTACATATGGCGGGTGGTCCATTGTGAAGTATAGAATGTCCTTTGGCAAGGCATTAATCTACATTTGCCACTCCATACCCAGGAGATAAATTGGGACCTGTTAGGATGATGAGAGCATTTGTGTAAGTAATTGCCCATGCCCTCACGGCGACCATATAGTAGGAATACTCCCCAGGGAGTGGAGATGGTGCACATTGTACGTGAATGAATCCTGTGACCAGGTTAATAATATCTGAAAAGAGGTTAGAGACGGTATTTCGTATTAAGCGCTGTATAAATCCAGATTATTATTATCGTTTTGCTTATGGACCTCTACCAGACCTTTGATTACTACAAATTTTGTCATGCTGTAACTTTCCTTTGAATCGTTTTTTCCTTAGTCGTCTCCTGAGAGAGCCACACCTTGCCAGATCAATGAGTTCCAGACAGCCATCCTAGCCAACCTGATGGAGCGTCTGCTAGCCGGCGACGCCCTCCTCGGTAAGGAGAGCGCCCTACCCATAGCCCATGGGGGCTCCTACAACAACCTCGTCTCAAACATCTTCTACTTCTGCTCAAGATTGGTGGACAAGCTATGGCTAGGTGAGTGCCAACCGGTTGTACTACTTGAATTTAGTTACATGAAGAGTGATCATAGAATGCTCCTGTTTGTTGCTTCCAAATAGCCCAAGGAGACTCACACAGCAACAATAACCCTCCAAACAGTTTTGATTGATCCAAATTGATCACAACTCAAACTGATTTCAAAATCAGTTGCAACTCCTAATACAAGGTGAATTTAAATGTTTGATTGATTTATCAACTCTGTGAGAGATGGGGACCAGATCTGTGCAATTGAAAAGAAGAAAAATATATATATGTTCACATACAATCCTGTGTCATCTCATTTCAATAGTGATTCTTTTGAATGTCTTACATTTCTTCATCTCTCTCTCTCTCTCTCTCTCTCTCTCTCTCTTTCTCTCTCTTTGCAGGTGTATTCTCCCGGAAGTCCAAGGAAGTGTTTGAGTTCATTGCCCAGCTCATAGGACAGGCTAAGAAGAGATGTAAGAAACTAAAATATGTTCTTTACTTCTTTATCTACCCTTTTCTCTCATGTATGTTTTGAAATCACTTGCCAGTATGGTCTTTTGCTAGTACATGTATATCCTGGAATATCATACCTTGGTATGTTGATGTTAGGAAAATACTTGTCAATTTCCTTGTTCCATGTGTATAATGTTATTATGTAATATATCATTTGTAGCACAATTAATTATAAGGTACATGATTGTATCTTCGTTATGACACTATCATGGGAACATATATTAGTATTCTAAACCAGCTGAATTTAACATTTGTTAGGGAGCCTTAGATAATTATTGCTGTTCTGAGATGTCTTGACGTGTCATAGTCGATGGGTTTAGTACTTGACTTGAAATGCAAAGGTCGTGGGTTCGATCCCTGACACGACACTAATGTCCTTTGGCAAGGCATCAATCAACATTTGCCACTCAATACCCAAGAGAGAAATGGGAACCCGGTAGGATGACGAAAGCATTTGTGTTAGTAATTGCCTATGTCCTCACGGTGACCATATGGTAGGAATTCTCTCCAGGGAGTGGAGATCGTGCATGTTGTGCGTGAATGAATCTGATGACTTATTATTGTGCATGTCTTTTTTCAGCACATGGGATCCAGTTGGATAACATCTATCACTGCTTGAATAGGACTGTCCTGTATCAGCTGTCAAGACCTCTAGAATCTCTTTCTGGTAAGAAATTCATCTACGCGTTATCTGTACTGCTACAGGGAAACCTGTCTATAAAGACCACCCAAAGGAGACAAGAAAAGTTGTCTTTATTTACAGGTTCCTTTAGTAAATGTTCCAATGAGAAACCATTATCAAGGGGAAGAAATAAAATTTGGTCTTTGCAGACAGGTGGTCACGAACGCAGGTTTGACAGTACCATGATTGACACCTTCTACACTACACTTTAAAGACCAGAGACTGCCCCTTGCATTAAGCTTTCACAAATTTCACAAATAGTCCAGATTCACAAAAGTTTCATGCATGGAAGTAGTCTTAACAAACAAAATCAGAGAATATCAATGATGGTAAAGCCTTTATTTTTTTATTATCTGGGAGTCAATTGTGTCAATATTTTTATTTGTATTAGAAAACTCATTACATCAAACCATTTTTAACTGTTTATCTTTAATCAATTCCAGATATTTTTCAACTGGTTTGGTTGTTAGTGTTGAATGTCTATGAGAATTTCAAATGAAACCACTGAAAATGAATGATCAATCGATATAGAGATTCCGGTCTTCAGGCTTTTGCCTGATTTTAGGCCCTGACAACTTCCCATTTCAGGCTTTATATTGTACAGCACATATGGGGCTTTTAATGTTCTGGCTTCTTTTCAGGCCCAGTGAGTAAAACTGACAGGCATCCCTGTAGATAATGTTCTAAGCTTTATAATATCATTTTCTTTTTAACAAATATCTTGTATTTTATGGGAATATCAGAATATCTTTAATTAATAATGTTTTTGTTTTTTCTTGTGATATTCCAGACCAGGTATCCCTTCTGGAATCTCTGAGACATATCACAGAGAACAGGACGTTGCTGTTTGGACCTGTCAACTACGAGTCTGAATTTATAGGATGTCTATGCCACTGTCTCTTTGTACTTACCAATGCTAGCAAGTAAGTCCATAGATGTGGTGATGATGATGGTGCTTATGGTGATGATGATATTGATGATGGTGATGATGATATTGATGATGGTGATGATGATATTGATGATGGTGATGATGATATTGATGATGATGATGGTGGTGATGATGGTGGTGATGATGGTGATGGTGATGGTGATGATGATGATGATGATAGTAATGGTGATGATGATATTGATGATGGTGATGATAATGATGACTTTGTTTATGATGGTGATGATGATGATGATATTGATGATGATGGTGATGATGATAATGATGATGATGATGATGGTGATGATGATATTGATGATGGTGATGATGATGATGAAAATGATCATGATGGTGATGATATTATTGATGGTGTTAAAGATTTTGATGATGTTGATAATGATGACAGCAAATTAATTCTCTTTTGTGTTATTTGAATATTGTATACATGTAGTTTGTTCATTAAAAAAAAATGTGTTCCTAATTCATTATGCTTGCTCTCTCTCTCTCTCTCTGAAACTAGTGGTGATGGTTCAGCGGCACCTAGCAGCCTTGGTGAAGTGAGGCGGAACACGACATGGCATGTGAACCCTATGATCGAAGGCAACAAGAAAGGACAGCGTAAGATAGAGGATGAGAACTCAAAAGGCTCAGTCCAGGAGGGTCAGCTACTGGTCAGAAAAGCTGGCCGTAGGGTCTGGGAAGATCTCATCATGGCTAAGAAATCAGTAAGTTCACTTAGCTTATTTCTGCCAACAAATTCTGTTATTAAACTTCATTTAAATTCCGTGTCAGGTATGGCTATTGACTTGTAAAGGAGAGGATACAGAGCATTTTTTGTCTTCCAGTTTATTGAGTCATTTCCATGAATCCAGCAAACATGACTCGTGGTCATGTCACTCCCTAGTTTGGAGAGAAGATGAGTGGTTTAAATCAACATAATTCATTTCTTTTTCTGACCTTTTTTGGTAGGTTTAATCATTCTTGAGACCATCATCTGCTCATCTGTTCAGACCTTGTGGAAATATTGGAAAATACATGTTTAATGTGACCGCTATTCATATGATTATTATGTATCCTTTTCCTCTTGTATTTTGCAGGTCATTGAGGAGATCTTCAAAGTCACGCTGCCCAACTCGTAAGTTTACATCTGGCAAATTATATTATCCTTCTTCATCTCTTCTCTTCTTTCAATAGAAAGATAGTCTGAACAAAATAGGATTTAAACAAATAGTTGTTTCATGTTATGTCAGGTCATGCCAATCAATGTGCAGTATCACCATCAAATGTGTTAATTAACCAGTTGTCTACCGGAACCAACTGGACCCTGTGTTATGCCTATGAGAAAGGGAGAATTCAGGAGTGAACAGGTTAATAGTTTTGTGGCATTGATAATAAGAGGCAGTTGATTTGTTATGAAATCCTAAGTCTTACTGTTGCTTTCCTTCTTCAGGTCCGCTGGAACCAGGAATACAGTGACTGTGGATCTCAAGGTGGCCAGGTAATAATTCATCCAAGCTCCCAATTATTTTAATGTCTCTTCATTTTTCATAGTTAGACGGCTATATGTTATGATGTTTAACTCCATTTTAGTATATATCTTGATGTCCACTTATTGCTTTATTATTTAATGTTGCTTCTGCCATGTCATTTATTCATTCATATCAAAACAACAGATTTATGACAAGTGCTTTATTACAAGTTTTAAGATTGTCAGAGTACATAGTTCATTGGTTCTGAAACTGTAATTTCCATCTGACTTTCCAGTTCTTGACCCATTGTATTCGTATGGGAACTGGAACTGCCTTTTCCAAATATACCCATGGCCAGTACTGCCCCCTATGGCAAAATACCGTAGTTACGGTAGTGAGAATTTCTTGCTATAATGTTTTCCTCTGTATCTCCTCCACTCTCCTTATGGTTTAGGGCTGCTATGGGCGATGCTGCAAGTAAGATGTGGAATAACTACCTGACGGCGGAGAAGAAGCTATCGACCAGAGAGCAAGCTCAAACTAACCAGTCTGTGAGTAAAAAGGAAACTTATTTTTTTAACCCTTCAAAATGGACCCTGTGAAGAATGGGTCTTAATATCTTGAATAAAACATTCATATTAAAAGTCATGAATACTTGTCTTCTTGGCTGGGTATGTGTTGATTACGGTATGTGACAAGGACATGTATGTGCTGCAATCACACTACAAGATTAGGGCCCTGTTTTATAAAACTGTTTATCAATAACAAATACTAAATTTCTACGACAAATTTGCTCTCAGCCAATGAAATGCCACTATTTCAATAGCTTATAACAGTTATTGTAACTTGATATTGATAGCAAGTTTTATGAAACAGTCAACTGGGCCCTTTCCTACAAAGAGTTGATATTAAACGCAACTTATTTGGGATTGCTATCAATTGCAAGTATTTACATACCAGATAGGAGATTGCAAACTTGCGATTGATAAGAGGGCTTGCGGTGACTTGGTGTAGATGTAAATCAATCTAGTAATTGCATAGAAATGTGACTACTTGCAGAAATCGTATCGATGATTATTATAAATGAAAAATCTATCATTATCAATACATTTGTAAGCTAGTAATTGAGCAGGTTATATTGGAATATACAACATTCATAAGACTTATATCATTATGATTTCATACTTATTTTGTATTTTTTCCATTGTTTTTAATTGCTCAGAGACTAGCCAGTAAGGTGATTGGTGGACTTCAGATGTTGCCTTCACTCAAGAGCAAACGAGAGAGCGCCACCTTCAGGTTCAGTCTCAACTTCATGCAGGTAAATAATACTCTTTCTCTCTAACTTTCTCTCAAATCCAAACTTCTTTGTACCCAACAAACAGCCACCTTTTTCAAGTTTCAAGTTTAAGTTCTCAAGATTATTTATTTCTCCTCAAGAGATTAAACAGACAAATGTATGACAATACATAAGATGAATTATAAAAAGTGAGGAAGGCAGTGGCCAAAAAGGAAATAAACCTTGTTAGAGCCCAACCCGAAAACAAGATATAATATGTAACATAAAAACACATAAAAAAGGAACACAAGATCAGATAAGAAATGAAATACCTATTATTTAAACCTAATAAACAAACTTACAAAAGAGCCTAATATTGAATCTAATATTTAGATAATAAAAGAACAAGGTTATTAAGAACCCAAGTTGCTTCTGTGGGTACACTGAAGGGACATTCACGCACTTGATGGGGAATGTCTTTTCTACCTTGCCAAGCGATGGAATTAATTTTTAAAAAAGAAGAAGAGGAGGAAAAAGTTTGTATAACCAGAAACTTTCAACTAGAGACTTTGTGGTTTCTGATTTCACACTAAGCTTATATTTTTATGTTAAAAGTATTCGCTGACAACAGGGACACAGTCAGTTCTTATGTTATTCTAACAAGAATTAACCTAGGCTACAGTATATGTTCACACGTGGCTTATCAGGTCATTTTTGCGTGTTGTTAAATTCATGTCTCCACAACAATTCATGAATTTTGCACAAATATAACCTGTATGAAAAAAAAAACTCATACAGTATTCCTATTTTAGTTCATGCTCTGTGTATGATGCACTGAAGTGTATGAATGGTACATGTTTTTTGTTATTTCAAGTTGGAAATGTTAACTAATTAATTGTTAAAAACAGACCAAGAGGGAGAGAAAAACACAAGCCAAAGGGAATGTTGGTTGATGATGGTAAAATGGTTCTGGAAGCATTGTTTGTCAATCAAACCCTTGGCATTTTGTTTTGCTTTTGGATGACTTAAACTCAAAATGTTAAAAAATAAAGGAATGAAAGTGAAACAAGTTTCTAAAGTGTTCAAAGTCCTAATTGATTAAAATTGAGAAGTCACGGAAGTCCAAACCACTTAACCCGAAAAAAGGAAGACCCTAGATACCTCTTTAGAATCCTGAAAAAGTCATTGAAACTTGTGGGGTTTGGGGAGTTCTAGTACATGTATGTATGACATCGGTTTGTTCTTGTCAAGCATTTGAGAGCAATTTTCTGGGTATTGTTCATTGTGTCAAAGGTTAGAGTACTCTGTACATGTATATATATATATATATATATGTTTGCCAGTGAAATCATATGAATTGTCATGGCTTTTCCTTTTCATATGAAACCAAGATTCGTTTTGTGTATTTATGAATGTAGGAGGCTGCTATGTGGACACACACCCATGTATTTATTGTGAGAGAGCTGATGGAGCTACAACAGAAGCAACATGAACAGGTCAGTGCCTAGTCAGGCCCAAGATGGGAACAGGGTTTTAGGAATCGATTCCGTCGTTCATGCAGTCATTGTTAAATCTACTTATTCTACGTCTTAACCTGTTTGAATTGATTTAACTTTGGTATAAAACACAATTTCCATACACTCTAGACTAAGTAAGTCTGGGCATGGTATTCAGTGGGTTAAAGACAAATGTGACCTCTGACCCCATGCATAAACAAGTAGCATATAAATCGCTTTATCAGCTCACCAATAATTCATTTCAAAGTAATTTCAGTGTACTGGAGGATGAGGTTAATGTTAAATTGTCAGTATGGAGATATTAATGGATGTTCTCAAGTTCTAATGGTTCAGCTGTTACGACTACCTTTGCAGAGCCAGATGCACTTGATGCGCTTCATGAAGGAGAAGTGAGAACAGCTGGAACATGAGTTGATGAGGGAGAGAGAGAGAAGGGGGGGGGGGAGGGATTACCCCTTCCTCCCTAGGGTTCCTACTGGAATAGTGAAATGTAGAACCTGACGAATTACAATACAAATCTATTGCAACTATTGTTACAAACAAACACGACCCGTTTAAAATCAATGAATATCGGAGTGGAAATATTATTGCATGTTCACATTTATATATAACTTTATATTTTATATTTTTACTATGAACTTGAACGAATTTTGAATTTATATCTTGTAATGTCTGATTTCACATGTATTTATTGTAATGTAATTTTTTTATCAATTTGTAAAAAGTCACACAATTCAGCCTTCGGGCTGCGAGATGATTTTCAATAAAACAAACAAACCATTTATATACTATATATATATATATATATATATATATATATATTTTTTTTTTTTTTCTTTTTTTCTACACATTTTTGCACTCTCACATAGCCAGGGACACTTGGTGCACTTCATTAAAGAGAACAGCATGATAACATGAGATTGATGAGAGAGAGAGACAGAAAAAAAGAAAGAGAGAGATTGTGTTTATGGGGACCTACATGTACCTATGTATAGGATGTTTTTTAATGTAATGTATTTCTAAAAACAACTTTACACCCATACAGAGTCAGAGGCACTTGATGCGGTTCATGAAGGAGAAGTGGGAGCAGCTGGAACACGAGCTGATGAGAGAGAGGGGGTTATGGGGACCTCCCTATGGTTGCTACCTGGATAAGTGGATGCTTGATATGACTGAAGGCCCGTCGAGGATGAGGAAGAAGATGATCCGCAATCCAGACTTCTACATGGACTATCCGTATCTGGCAGAGAATGAAATGATTCTCAATGTAAGTGCAGATATATTTATTCTGTGTTTTTTAGTTGTCTGTAGTAGGCTTTTTGTTAGACTATCGAGTGCCCGTTACATGCAATATATTTAGAAATGTGTTTAATTCTATCCTGATATTAATTTTTTTTTAGTGTAATGAAAACTCGTTGGGACTATGAAAAAACAATTATATTATGCAATTCATTTTAAAGTTATGTTGCAGTACTTAGTACCCTTTTTAGCAAACAAATAATCCTATTCATTATCAAAAGTCAGAATACTGAATCTGTTTAAATTATGAGTTTTATAATTAACATTGTTTTGACAGAGGGATGTGGGAAATGTTTTTCTCCATGACTGTCATTGTATCATACAGACAGGGTGATCATAATTACCAACTTTTGGTTTTTACGTTTCTAAAATGCTATTGATTATTCATTGATTTTGTTGACCTTTCTATCTTCTAGAAGCCATCTAAAGGCAGGAAGGCCATAAGCTTTGACAGTAAGAAGTACAGCCAATGTAAACAGACCAAGAACCTGCTGGAATCAGCGCCAGGTATCAGCCCTGGAGAGGGCAGCCTCTCAGATCTTAACATGGAGAGCGATAATAACCAGGAGGAGATGATGGATGTGGATGATACAAGACCAGGTACGGGTTGCTATGACAATGACACCCATGGTGATGGTGTTCATCTTCTTATCTGTGAACCTTCAAATTATAGTCCTATATTCAAACCTATGTACAAAGACTGCTCATGGGATACAAGAAGAGCCTCTTGTTTTGGGGTTGTTTTTATGTGGGGGGGGGGGGGGGGGGGGGTCTGTTTGTTGACAACATTGATCTCAAGAAAAACATGCCCTTAAGAAAGAAGGAGAGCATTTTGTTTAATTTGACTTTTTATTGTGTTGGTCGCTATGTCATGTTTAACTGAACTACAGTTTACATATTACCCAAGAAGAGTTTATGTAAATTCTTGAATTTCCTGATTCATCATTTTTTTTAATCCACTAAATCTTTAGAAATCAAGACTTGATGCAAGTCTAAATTATATTTGTAAACAAATTATTTTAAAAAAGAAATTGAAAAAACTAATAGTGGTTTCTTTTTGTTGATAGATGTGCGAGCTTCTTCCATAATGACACGGCAGACCAGTACCCGTAACAACCAGGATGATGACGATGACACGCCCGACAACGAAAATCCAAACGACAAACCCCTGGAAGAGCAGAAGACTGATAACCAGATGGTCCTACGTCTGTTGGAGCAGGGAGAAAAGGTTTGTCTCTCTTTGTGATTATGTATATATCTCTTGTTTGAGTTCATTTATAGTAACTTTATACTCTTGTTTTTCTTTGCAGAGAGTAGTCTTTGTGTAGTGAATCTTTTGGCCTGATATTGACAAATCAAAATATTGTAATGGTCAGTATAGTGGATGACACTGTTTGCTTAGATGGACAATGGAGCAGTGAAGTGCTTGGGGTTTAAAGCCTAGCTCTTGAAAATCAATTAACAGTGCTTCTTGTAACTTAGTGGCAAACTAATGGTAAGGCAAGTGATTTTTGTACAAAATCTTGCCTGATGTGCACAATGTTGAAGATGTTAATAAGATGTAAACATACTCCAAATTGTCCCATAGGTTGCTGTGATACTGTAGATTTTTATTCCAGTTGTTTTGATATTTGTAAACCATTTCCTCTAAAGTCATTTGATGTTGCTATTTGCATGCTATGCACAGCATATCATACGTGTGCTAAATGAATAAATTTCCCTGCTGTTACTCTGTAGATCCGTCACATCTTCAGGTGTGCCAGAATCCAAGGCTTGGACACGATGGAGGGACTTTTACTGTTCTGCAAAGATCACTTCTACATCGTAGATGGCTTTACACTGCTCAGCTCCAGAGAGATATGTGACATTGACTCAGTACCAGACCAGTAAGTTAAGGGGAATTGTTGTGGTTGTGGTAGTGGTAGTGGTGATGATTGGTGGTGGTAGTGATGATGACTGTGGTTTTGGTGGTGGTGGTGTTAGTGGTGATGGTGAAGATGATGATAATTGAGGATTGTGATAAATGATTATTAATGTTGTTGGTGGTGGTGTCATGGTGATGGTAGTGGGGGTAGTGATGATGGAAGTGATGGTGATGATGTTTGATGATGGACCTGAAGATTATTATGATGGTGGTGATGATAATGATTATCATCATCATCAGTGTAATGATCAACATGATGATGAATAGTGAATGGGGCAGGAGCTATGACGATAACTGATAATTGTGAAAGTATTTGGAATTGTTATGCAATACTTTAAAAGCGACTGCAGGAGGAAAACAAATGAAACCTTTCTAATTCTCCTTTGATAAATTTTCATCACCTTTCATACCACCATTACAGACATCAAGACCCCATCATTCCAAGGGCCTCCAGAGGGCAGCGTTCATTTGGCAAGAGAATGTGCAGCAAATTCGCTTATGAAGAAATCCGAGAAGTCCTCAAGAGGAGATATCTTCTGCAGGTAAATTGGCAACATTATGAGACTGATGATGATGATTACATTGATGATAAACTTTGTTAAAAGATGTAAGCTGAGTAATTACACATTGTAATAGGATTATGTCAAAATGTAGTATTGATCTTGAATTGAATTTTTTCATAAAAAGTAGTGATGCTTTTTGTATTTTAGTTGGGGCATTAGCTTAGCGTGTAGTTCGTATACCTTTAGAATTATATCACTAAGGATATGAGTTAATGGACTTGTAGCAAGAAATGTGCATATTAAATCGTTTGAAGAAGGATTATTTGAGAGCATTTAAAATTTTAATTTTAATGCTGGATTTACAATAACGTGCTGAGTATTAATCCTGAGATAACTGAAACCTCTGCCTGTACTATGGAATATGTATATTACACCAAGATCAAATTGGATTCCATTGGTTTAAGAAAACATCACTATTATTTTGTTGCAGCCTATTGCCATTGAAGTATTCTCATCTGATGGGAGGAACCATCTCCTAGCATTCCCCAGGAAAGTCAAGAACAAGGTTTACCAAAGGTGAGACACAATCTGCAAAACCTGTCCTTTCTCAAGGAAAATTACTATTACTGTAGTGGAAAAGAATGTAAACAGTGAATAATTTTTGCTGATAGGCAGGAGGAAGGCCATTGGTTGAAGGAAGCATGAAATTTTGATGCATCTCATGTGATACCATGAGACAAGTTGTGGAAGTATGTGACAAGATGATGATATTACAGACTGTGGACTGCGCAACCTTATTAGCATGTCCCTCCCCTCAGTATGGAAAAATGCATGATGATGATAAGGCCTAAAAAAAAAGATCTTGTATTGCCCTTTGCGACCCACAAGTCTTGAAATCTACGGTCGGCTTTTAAAAAAGTTTTTTTTTTTACCCTTTTTTTAGAAGAAAAAATGTTTTATTAATAAAAACATGTATTAAAGCTTTAAAAACTTAGAAATATCAGCAAAAAAAAGATTTCCAACCGACTGACCCATGTTTTGGCACCAAAAGGGCAATACAACATCTTTTTTGTTTGTTAGGCCTAATGATACATGTAGGAATGGCTTCTAAGCTCTCATTGTCTGTCACATTGTGACACTCATGGCATTATAGTGGCTGCTCCTTGTCTGTTTATATATATATATAATCACAGTGTACCAAAAAACTCATGTATTATCCTTGTTATCACGATGATGTGTGTTTTTATTCAGATTCAATGCTGAAGCAACCAGGTTAACAGATGATGCTGTGCAATCAGTAGCAGGACAGAGTAAGAGGGCACAGGTAGAAGGAGGGTACGTATCCCAGAAAATCATATTCTGACTATTTTATTCAAGATCATATTATTCACCATACAAACACATAAGATGGCTGGTTTGTCATTGTTTGTCTAGATGTTTTGATGATTTAGTTATTATGTATGCTATTGAATGGCTATTTGCATTATATTTCTTTTTGAAGAACAGTGGCCCGCGAAAGCACCATTTCACAAACTTTTCTTTTTAATGTAAAATAATTTCTATTTTAGTGGCACACAATTTGATACAGCAGTGTAATGAACATGATTGATACCATGTATTGAATATCAACCTGGAATTTTGGTGTTGTGTCAGAGAATGTGGAGAGAAATTATTGTACAATTCATAAATATTTTGATTTTTCTCAATTTCAGACCAAATTTCCTGGGAAGCATCATTGGCATGAAGTCTGTCACTCAGAGATGGGAGGTAAGAATACATTTGAAATCAAATCATATCTTTATTCCAAATAAGATATTAGGAAAATACGAGTATGCATATTTTTGTAGAGAACATAACTAGGTTCTGGTATCTATATGTATTTAGATTTACAGTTTAACAATATTCTTTTCAAACTTCATAATATTATGTCACCTTAAAATGCTTAAAATTTTTAAGATACAAAGGTAATGTATACAGGCAACGTCACTTGCCCTACACCCATTGTATGTTGTATTGATTTTCCCAGCTTGGGTCTCGGGTGGGGGGGGGGGGGGTCATGCTGTGTTATGCTAGATATATCACTGATAGGTAAGAGTGCTGATTCAAGATTATGTTAATTTGGATTTAATCACAAAAGACAAGTAACATTAAATATTGCAGCACTGACCCATCAATAAATACTTGCTCACATTTTGAAACGTTTGTTTGTGTTTGTAGCGAGGAGAAATCAGCAATTTCCAGTACTTGATGGCATTGAACACGTTAGCTGGTAGATCCTACAACGACCTCATGCAATATCCTATCTTCCCATGGATACTGGCAGACTATGAGTCGGAGGTAAGCTTTATCAATGATACCTTGTTACCATGGCAATATGAGCACGCCTTCCAAAACAATGTGTGTGTACATGCTTAAAATGAACAGGTAGATTGGATAGGAGTTGGGCCTTGTCTTTCTAGGAGCCCACTTTTGATTTTCTGCCACTCGTGAGGAGACAACATGAAGCAAATTATTTTGAGAAGCTTAAGGGTATGGGTGGTGCTTTATTTATCCTTTAGACATTTTCAGGATGTCTCTTTGAGATTGAAAATGCACAAGTATGAGAAGTCATAAATGTTATTTATTATTGGTGGACATGTTTCAGAGATGAGTATTTTATTTGGAGGTGAAAAGTTTAAAATCTCAAATGAAAATATGAGATATAGTAACATACAGGTAATAAAAACATGATGTAGAAGCAGCAGCATCTGTTTCAAAGATGGTTTGATTAACATTTCAGTGACACATAGGCAAAGATATACAATGTATATTAGTATTACATTTAAGTCTATAATAATTTGTCTGGTATTCACTGTAAGCGAAGAGTTAAAAAACATCATTTTGCCGAGTTTGAAGGGTCTTTCTTTGTTTCTTGTGGTCATGTGTAGGAATTGGACCTGACGGATTCTAGGACATTCCGGGACTTGAGTAAACCAATGGGAGCTCAGACGTGGGAGAGACTGGCTCAGTTCAGGAAGAGATTCGAAGACTGGGCAGACTTACAAGGTAAGCCAGAGGTCAAAGGTTAAAGGTCAACGACTGTGACCCATGACAAATATTATACCTTTTATTTCCAACTCACAATCCACATCTGACCAAGGAAGTCAAACAAATAGTTTTTACTTTTCTTTAATAATTTAATGATATCATATTTGTCAGTGATTGTTTCAGAATTACAAACCAGTTTTTCGTCTATATTGAAAGATTTATTTATTCATGGAAAAGATACAAATCTAGTAAGAGACGTGGGCAAAATCATTCATTTGTTGTTAACCTGCAAAGTGGTACACGTGCTACATTATATTAGCTTTTAACAAGGTAGTAGCTCATTATTCTGAGTTGGGGAAAATTGCCTTTGCTTATTATTTAATTTAGATTACCAGTATGCAAGGTGAATTGATAGAACAAATATAATTATACATGGTGAGGCAGAGGATGGGAAAGTACTATCAAAAAAATATCTGTATCTGTCTGTCCAAGTACAAGTTTCTAGTGATATTAAAGCTACTATGTGGGTAATTAAATGTATTGAATAATAATAATAATAAATACTCAGTTTTTATATAGCGCTTATTACAATCAATAAGCGCTTCCAAATTTGGAGGTTATTACCTCCGGCTTTAGCTGTGCTGCCATTATGGGGCTCTAGCATATCAAATCCTTGATTTAAGGAATGCTTTGTTTTTAAATTGTGATATCTCTAGCCAGTCCAATGAGATTATATCCTTCATGTATTATATTATTGATATGTTTTTTTCCATGATACGTTTTGAGGAATCAGGAATGTGTCTAGAAATGCTGTGATTAGCAATCACTAATCAAATATCAATGTACCTGTGTGTTGGGAGTAGTCATGCATTTTTTGTAGAAACTTTTTGCGATGTGTTTGACCTCACGACAGGGGATAGGAATGACCGAATTATGTGATTTAGAAGTGACCCTCCCCCTCTCTCTCCATAACTGGGTGCACCAGTCCTTTTCAGGTCTCATCTAATGAATGAATACCCCTCTTATTTTCTCTACCTCTATCCATACATTACCAAATAGTCCTCCATAGGACAAAACTGAAAGGATACCTCTCTCTTACTCACTCTCTTTTCTATCCCCTTTCAAACCCAGCAGTCCTTTTCAGGACTACCCACATGGTGAAACTGCAAACTTATGAATTTAGAGTTGTAAACAAAAAAAGTCAGTTAATTATTTGCATTTTAGATGTAAACTCTTCATGGGAATTAAAGAGCTGTTCAATTTCTGGTCATGAAATATAAAAAATTTTCATTCTTAAAAGAACAACATGAAACTTTATCATGTTTTCTTTACCTGATCTTCCTCATATGATTCTTACAAATATTGAAATACAGTTTCATGTATGTAAAATAAAAACTATTATCATTTCTCTCATATGTTACTAAATTATTTATTGTGCAGGCTAAGAAGGATACCTTCATTAACATTCTAGATAATTATATCATCATTACTGGGTGTTTTTTTTTTCATTCAGTACATGATTCAGAAGAAAAAAATTAGCCCCAAAGTGCCAAATTATATCAGGGAATAAGAAGTAAAAACAAACAAATATTTTTCTCATTCATAATCATACAAAAATTGAAATCTCTTCAACCTTTTTAATAGAAATGCAGATGTACTTTTGAGTTGAATATCTCAGACCTTTTATGATTATAAATTACGTTACAATACCAGTGGAAGTTACGACCATAACCTGTCAACTGTCTTCGCCCATAACATTTGTTTTTGCCCCCTCCTTAATCCATTGCATCCTTAAAAAATCCCTAGGTTAATCCAGTTCATGAGTGCTCTTTAACAACCTTGATTATGCAATAATCCCTCTTCCTTTATTACTGCTTTGTTATCTCATAAGCATGTACTAGACCGTCGTGCTGGGTTTTAGGTAAGCATTTGATTTCACTAGCCTTCACTACAAAAAACATACAGATTTGAAGTTCTCTCTTCACGTTAGCTTTCAAGAGATCTTGATTAACCCCTAGACGTACAAGTGTATTCAAAGTTTAGAAATCATGAAAATCAAGTCATATCAAAGGAACTACTAACAAATGAGTATTTGCATGATGGACAAAGTCTTTGACTGTTGAAAGAAACCAATTATCACACTTTGTACCCGCCTGCATTTGTTCCTGGTGTAGGGTTTATATTTGTTTATAGACACCCCCGGAAGAATTCCCATTTTTGGGTGCAGGTGCTTCTTCTTTGCTTACCCCCCTTTTCATCCCCTTTCCACTGGAGATACTCCATTCTACCACACCATCCTAACCTGGGGGAATCCCCTTATAAAGAGCCTTTCTTTTCCCTTGAGTGGTCTGGTTGTACAGCTATATCTTTATATTAACAGTTTGAAATTTCAAATGGGTCGTGATGTGAGGGGTTTATGGATGTTTTGAGTTTGAAGTGGTGGGTTAGTGCAGAAACAGAATTTGTATCAGTTTCAATTTGAGTTTCCCACTTTCTTACTTGTTAAGAAAAGTGTAAATGCAATTGAGTTCCTATTTTAAATCTTTGGGCAAGCATAATCATAAATATGTTGTATATCCACCAATACAGATGAACATCCATGATAGGATGATGTATGTCCGCTCATTTTCATTGTCAAATTGGCTAGTTGTATCATAATACATAATACATGTACCTTTAATGGTTAGGAAAATTGTGTTTATTTATTCATTTGGTATTATTTCAACGGAGTAACCCTGTCAGTATTTAAATATGGTTATATCGTTAACATCACAGGAGACATACATGTACCAACAATGTATTAGTTACATGGGGAAATGATAATCAGGATGCTTTTCCAGGAAATTTAAGCCCCCCAAAACAAGAAATGAAATTAAGGCCTTAAATCTAAGGCTGATAACTCTTTCGGGACAATCATTCCACATTTTGTGGTTTGACTTGATAAATTTTAATTCAGAGCCCATATGAATACTGTCCTGAAAGGTTGAATTTGGATCAAAGTGTAATGTTGCTGTGTAATTTTCACTCGCCATCTCAACACAAGAATGTACAAGTTACTAAATGAGAAATAACATTTATATATTTATTCTGATTAATACATTGCACATAATACATTTGAAAATGAGTGAAATGTCATTGTTTGAACCATTACATTCATATCAACAACATGCTCACTAGTTCTAGAATACATGTTGAATTGTATGTTGTGCTCAATATGTGCAAACACATGAATGTGAATAAAATTCACTCATCCATGATAGTAGTAAGGTTAGAGGAAAACATATGGTAGATTGATACATATATACATGTACATTGTCAGCTTAATCCATGATTTCATGATTCACCAATAAACAAAAATATATTAAAAATCATACCATTACGTTCATTTAATCAGCTGGGAGAGCTAGTAAGATCTGTACACATATTACCATATGAAATGTTACGATGTACATTGGTGCATTTTAAACAATTCAGCATTATGTGCAAAACTTACATTGAATGTATGCACTACATAATCATTCTTTAATTCACTCTCACTTATCAAACTCGAAAGGTTATTCACAATATATGTTTTTATCTAACATCAGTTAATATTCTGTTATTCTCCTGTTGTTTATTTGTAGTAATGGGGGTTACGGGTAATTGTTATTTACTCCAATAGGGCAAATAGTTGTACAAGAAACTGCCAGATAATCTTGAGAATGTTTATGCCAAATTCAAATCTATTTTGTGTATTAGACCAATAAAGCTTTGAGTTAGAAATTAAAATGTGAGCAATGTCACAGTTATTGCTAATACAAGTGGTGGAAAAGCATCGTTTTGTCCATTTACTCCAGCAGTTAACTATAATTGTCTTTTATAAATTATTAAGTAACTTCAGGGTACCATAGCCATGCTTGGTAAAGTCATTTTTAAACCAATGCCAAGTATGAATTTAGAGTATTTATGAGCATTTATAAGTCTGCACTCCTGATTTATTTTATTGGCAATAAGTACCTCTTATACATGTACCTATATAAATTAATGTATCTAGCAATGGATGATATGGTTGGTTTTCATGAAACAATAATAATATCGTTCATATCCTATATGAGTGATGTGCATGGCGCTTAGACATTGTCACCATGGTTATAGCTGAGCCACCAAAGTAACTAGCGCACAAGCATATCGGGTACCCATTTACACCCGGGTGGAGAGTGGCAAATGTAGATTAACATCTTACCAAAGGACGTTTGTGCAGGGTTGAGATTTGAATTTTGTACCTTGTGATCTACAGTCCGGCGACTTATCCACTAGACCACAACACCTCTATTAACAAAATTAAAAAACAGCCCATATACATGTAGGGCTGTTGCTTTAGAGCTGATATTTAGGGATCCTAATTTCTGGTGGCAGACACATTTTGCATAAGGCCCCTTCATTTATTTTGTTGATTTATGCACTATTTTTTCCAAAGTCCCTTTCAATCCTCTTTGAATTTGGTGGAGGTTTTAATTTGTTCCCCTTTTTCAGTTTTTACCCAATGAACCTTCTGCATGGCAATGAAGTTAAATATATCACTTAAGTTATTTACAACAATGTCAGTGATTAAAAAATGATTTTTGTAATGATGGTTATAGTGGAAGTTACTTGTACATTTATGATGGTTAGTGTCTCAACTATTTATTGAGGTTCACATATTGATAGTCATTATAATCATCTATGGTTTTTATGCCAGAATTACATGAATTTTGTTTCATTAGGAACACATACAGTACAAAGAGTGGGGACATTTGAAGGGGAAATATATTCATAGCATCTTTGTCTTACCTAATTCATCTAGATCTTACCTAATTTGAAATCTTTGATATGTATATATGACAGGATAAGTGTTTTGTGTGCATTAATTGCCTTTTTGTTTCAAATGTCATGTGAGAAACTCTATCAACTCATTAATATTTCCTCTGTTTACAAACTGAACAAGGAAATGTGCTTCCTCATTTTTAATCATGTAGAATATAATTACAGTGTGTTTCTCCATTTATGTGAAACTTAAATGCACATTAATCAACTGTAAACTGTAGCAGCGTTATAATTTAAAAACTAATCATCTATCACAGTGCTACCTGCACATGTAATTGTTAAAGCTGATTTATATATTCTCTTTACTCAAATATTTGAAGACACAAATTGCTATTAACAAACACTGAGTTTCATGGTCGTGATTCAAATCTAATATTTGCATGAATTGGCCAAGCTCCAAATTACACATAATTGCTAAACAACATTTGAATTTGATCTTGCTGTTTTTTCCACTGTGTATAACAAAACTTCTGTGCTATCTGCACAGTATTCTATCGTGTGTGTCTTTAAATTAAAACTGATTCTCTTTGTGTGAATTAATAGAAGGACAATAGTCGCGTGTTATAATAACAGTTTGTATTATTTTAATAAGGAAAAGCAGCAACAAAATAATTTGAATTTGCAGATTAGATCCCGCATTTAGTTGCAAGTCCTTGTATGAAAGGTTGAAAAATACAGGATGGACATGTGCAATAGTTCAGTGATCAGAGCTGTTGGGCCTGATTGGTAATGATTTGGAAAGTAAAACAAAATCAACAAAATGAAAACTATAAATCTCATCATTGATAGGTTCAACCTGTCATATTTAGCTTACATGCAGGTTGGTACCCAAACGAGTCATTTATATATTTTTCTACACCGTATCTCCTTAGATCAACATTTATGTAAAGTTCCTAAATTAAATTGAATTTGTCTACATGTATATGTAACATAGGGATGGAAGAACATTGTACCATTAGAAGGTTAAGTCTGTGAAGTTGTGTCTGTCTAGATATGAGGGACAATTAAGGTCTAAGAAGCTTGGATAAAGAATTGGACATTTCTGAAAATGACCAAAAAATGATGAAATTCATCCTAATTTTATCTTATTGTAATCCAATAAGAGTTCTCTAGAAGGAAATAATAATTTTTATGTCATCTGATGCTGATTACAAATCAATGTATATTTCTTTTTGCTCTGTAGATGACACGCCCCCATGTTACTACAGCACGCACTATTCCTCTGCCATGATTGTAGCATCGTACCTCATCCGTATGGAGCCATTCACTCAGCACTTCCTCAGGTTACAGGTAAGTAGACGGTGGTGGTGGTGGTGGCGGTGGTGGCGGCGGTGGTGGCGGCGACAGTGGTGGCGGTGACGACGACAACAACGTTGATGATGATTAGTGTGATGATGGTGGTGGTGGTGGTGGTGGTGGTTGTGAAGTTTGTGGTGGTGGTGATGATGGTGATGAAGATAATGGTGGTGTTGTTGTTGTTGTTGATGGTGGATGTATTGATGGTTCTGGTGGTGGCAAAAACAGGGATGCCAACCGTTACAGTTTTTGCCGTATTTGTTCCGGTTTTATTGCTCTTGTTACGGCGTTACGGTAAACAACCAAACGGTTACGGGAAACGATAAATAAGTACATTATAGCTTTAGAAGGTCCATGATTATTGCGTATGCTGCCTATCTACACATAGCCTCTGTACACAACGCTGCATGTCGCGCACCATTTACTCAAAAGTTTAGTGAATTTGACTACACTGGATTGGCACTTTCACCCTCTACATGCTAATTGCGCACATGGTCCGTCGGCCGCCATCTTGTTTAATTCCGAAACAACGCTGCCGCTGTCATTATTGTTCTGATGCTAGGTGTGCTACGAGCGATTGTGCGTTTTGGGGGGAGCATGATGGTGAATGATTGTGTGCGTGGTGATTCAGCAGGTGCATTGCAAGTGCGGTACGGTGCGTGATGTACATGAACGCCAGGCCTAGCGGCTTGGGCTGGTACTGGCGGTACGGTGTGCGTGTAGTGTGCATTAGTGTGTACGGTACGTGTTCTGCCATTGTTACTGTGGATTCGAATTTGCCGTTCGACGCTTGAACAAGGTGTTTTCTTTCTGAATATTATCATGGATTCACTGAAAAGAGCGAGTACCCGAGGAGGAGATCCTATGACTGCAAACAGATTTTTTTAAACGTTTTGATGCACATCTTTATTTTGAACTTAAAAATGGTAGGTTTGAAATGCAATAAGAGTGATTGGGTGTTTGTGTACGTTTTGCTCGAAAATATGCTGCGTCGTTTTGCGTTCCGGAAAGACCCCCATTTGTTACCGTCCTATAGGGTTGGCATCTCTGCGATAATGATGCGGATCAAGATGATGATGGTGATGATGATAGTATCACAACTTTTTTATAATTGATATAACTACTGGTACTACAGTCACCTTAAGAAAAACCAATTTTTCCACTTTTCTCGTCCTGCAGGGTGGCCATTTTGATCTAGCTGACCGGATGTTCCACAGTATCAAAGACAGCTGGCTGTCTGCATCCAAGCATAACACAGCGGATGTGAAGGAGCTCATCCCAGAGTTCTTCTACTTGCCAGAGTTTCTCACCAACGAGAACCACTTTGATTTAGGTGAGTGACACTCAAAACATAACCTTCAGCCTTCAATGTCAGACTTATGTAGTCCTTGAGGAATAACCAAGTTGTTTCTTCCTCATCTTCTTCTGCTTTAGAGTTTCTATCCCTTTAACAAAAAGGATCAAGGCTTATATCCTTGTGCTAACATTTCCTGTTTTTAAAAGCATATAGCATCATTGTGGTGTCAGTTCTAATTTCTAAATAAACAAAAATACAAACAGGTACATAAAAGTGGTAAAAATATAAATATGTTTTATCAATTATCAGTTATCTATGATTGTTGAATTTCTCTTGTACAAATCCAATTCTCTGATTTGATAATACGTGACAAAATCCTTCAGTTATCATAAGATGATGTTGCCACTCTCATGGGTCACCTAATTTCTTGCTGCAACGTACCAACCAACTAATGTTTCAGATTTGATAAGGAAAGAAAATTGCTGTTTCTCCCAGTGTCTCTCCTATGAAGATCTCTCCTATGAAGATTCTTAACATTTAGATTTTAGATTTCTTGCACCAAGATTAGATGTATATGCTATTAGTGTGTATGCTTTTTATTGCTTTAAAGCCTACATGTATCTGCACTATTTTGGCAAGGAGGGATTAGACCTCCCTGCTTGGTCACTGATAGGTGACCATGGGGGACCAGTGGTCACCGATTAGGCATTGTTGGCTATATAGAGGGCGCAAGTAGCTACAAGTAGTGCAGAGAGGCTTTAAGGTTAAATGATCTAGATCTTTGACGAAATGATGACAGAATTTGTTTATTAAATGCCTTTTCCACTTTCATGGGTCTTTTTTTTTTTTTTGACAGGTGTGAAGCAGAGTGGCATCGAGCTAGGTGATATCATCCTACCCCCCTGGGCTAAGGGAGATCCTAAAGAGTTCATACGCCTCCACAGAGAGGTAATAGAATGTAATCCTTGTAGCATCATGATGCTGTTCAGAATTAGAAGCATTTGTGAAAGTTTGATTCTTTATCACCAGTACCTATAATAATAATAATAATAATAATAATAATAACTAGAAATTTAATTCGTCATGGGGACGAATTAGGTGGTCTGTCTTCAATTTTTATGATCATTGAAAGGTCAAAATGAAAAAAAAGTGAAGAAAAAAATTGTTGGAGACGCCCGGACTCGAACCAGGGAGCTCGAGGACGGAAGTCAAGTGCCTTACCGATATACCAAAACGTTTCCCGTAGCAATTACACGTAAACGGAAAATGAAATTCTCAAATCCCACTTTGCAAGTGAAATATGAGCATGATACCGGCATCTGATCGAAAAATAAAGGGCACACTTGTGATAGCTCATTGTCTCAGCTACAACATACTCAAAGCTCAGCGTTAACGAAGATAAAACGACGGAGATATTGCTCGCGAAAGACAAGAATGTAGAATCCAGTTTTGAGAAAAAGTCATGTCCCGTAGAGAATACACGCAAAATGTGAAAATTGACATGCCTCCTTTAATCGCAAAAATACGCCATGATGCCATTGTCAAAATGAAAAATACGTCGACACTTTATTTCTAGAGATTTGTCTCAGCTAGAACATATCAAAATTTGGATGAAAATTGATCAATATTTACAGAGATACAGTCAATTTTCCAGAAATATGCTGACGTCATAATATGCAAATTGAAATTTTGAGTTCGGAGGCGATTATAATGACGTCCTGAGTTAATTGAGGGTCAAATGAGATATGAAATCATATCTCCGACTTATAATCTATCCAAATATGAAAAAGAATTGGGGGTATCTATCCATTCTGAAGAGCTACAATGGAATTTGTATAGGCATGTTTTTGCCCATATATGCTTTGTATTACAAGAGCTCGCACGCACGGACATTTACCTTGAACGGAGGCCATCATGATGACGTCATGAGTTAATTGAGGGTTCGAACGGACATTTACCTTAAACCGACGCTCATTTCGTTATTAATGGTCATAAAGAGATAAACAAGGTATCAAATTGCTCGGAATAAAATGGGCAATACTATGATAGACCAAAAAAGGCGATTCTAGGTTGTGTACGACCATTACGAACACAAACGTGCGCGCAAATTTATGACGCAAAATTTTCGAAATGCTTGAAATGGCCTAAAACGTACTCTAATTTGATCAAAAAGTGATTTTGAGCATTTTTTATTTTTGCGCGCACCGACGCGCGGGCGTACGCGTACGCGCGCGTTTATTGACCTTAAGTTGACCGGACGGATATTGACCTCAATCGTTATAAATATGAATGAGAAATGAGTTACGTTTATGAAGATATGATCATGAGTTGTATTTTAGAGTACTTCACAAAATGGCGCCTGGATGACGTCACGATATTTTGATGAACTTGAAAATGTTCCTGTCACGTCTTGAGATGATGACCTATGACTGTGTCAAATTTAAAAGAAATTGGACGGTTCAATTTTGAGTAATCGTGCACACAAAAAAGTGGTCACAAATTTATTTTAATTGAATTGTGTTTTTGTACAAATTCAATTAAAATACTAGAATTTAATTCGTCACGTAGACGAATAAGGTGGTCTGTCTAAGTCTTATGAGAGATTTGAGAATGGGACAAGTTATATAGACATGTAAACAATGATGATCATGATGAACATGGTGATGATCATGATAGTAAAGGTGATGATGATGATGATAATGATAATGTTATATGACGATAAAAACGATAAAGTTAATGATGATGATGAGCAAAAGCATGATCCTGACAACTGATTAAAAAAATTGAGGGAATATTTAGATAGCAAATAGTCTCACCTACAACATACTAAAATTTGGAAGAAAACTATTGAATTACAATCGAGATCCTGGTCAAAACACCTTGTCATGCAGATTCATGTTTTGAAAAAAGTGACCTCCCGTAGACATAACACGTAAATATGACAAATTATGCATTGTCACCTTTAATCGAATATTTAACTATGATGACGTCATCTAAATGAAAAATAAATGATATATTTTGATAGAAAAATATCTCAGCTACAACATATTAAAATCTGGGAGAAGATCAATCACCGATAAGTGAGATAATCACCAATAAACAAAGACAAAAATGACGTCATCAACAAAATACATTTGTTTGAGTTTGGATGCCAATATGATGACTTTATTTCACTTTGTACGAGTCAGGGTGGTATGAAATCATATCTCCAACTCATGCTTTCTCCAACCATGATATAAAAATTGGGGGTCAATGGACTATTTGAAGAGCTATTTCGATTTATAAAGTAGCATGTTTTTAATCAAATTTGCATTATATTGCCCATAGCAGCACGCGCGGAATTTGAACTTTGACGCGCGCTCACGGCCTTATGAAAGGTCAAGAGTGACTGAAATTAATGTAAATTGTCATTTACGGTAAGAGGAATCTAAATCATGTAAACAAATTGAATTTGACCTTTTCCGCGCGTTGTGAGCGCGCGCCCTGCGCGCGGGGACAAGTACGGACGGAAAATTTTGAAATGCTTCAAATGACCTGATTCGTACTCTCCTTTAGTAGTTAAGTGATTTTGAGCAATTTAAAATTTTGACGCGCACATACGCGCGCGCCATGACCGTTATGTGACCTTTGATGACATGACCTGTTGACCCTTGATCTGAAGTATATGTGATATGAATATGAATGAACTTTGAGTACGCATCATGAAGATATGATGGATAATGTGATTACACAAAATGGCGCCTGGATGACGTCACGATAACATGATGACCTTGAAAATGTTCCTGTCACGTGTCATGACAATGACCTATGACTGTGTCAAAATTGATAGAAATTAACACAACCGATCTTGAGTTAACCGATAAACAAAAAACGGGAAGAAATAAAAATAAATAATAATAATAATAAATAAAGAAAGAAAATTCTGACGAAAACAATAGGTGATCTGTCGTTGACAGACCACCTAATAATAATAATAATAATAATAATGATAAAAAAACTGTGCTTATAAATCGCTTACCACTGAAGTCTCTAAGTGCCATAACAAACAAGATATAATGATAAACAATTACACATTAAACAAAACAAAAAATTACAAATAAACTTTCAATTTAGAATACATATGAAATATATATCAATGAGAACAGAGTGTGTAAATCATCAAAAGCAATTTTGAATATATGTCACATACTATTCGCTCACATACTTATTAAATGTGAAGTCACTAGTTATTTCACTTCAGCCACTGTATGAATATGTACAATATTCCATTGTCACTTTTTTAATGAAAAACATTCCCGAAACAGTTTGAATTAAAATTTGTAAACAAAATATTTACTACAGTCAAACCTGTCTATAGCAACCACCCACTATCCACAAAAATGGTCTTTGTAGTGGTTCCTTTAGTACATGTTTCAATGAGAAACCATTTTCAAGCCAAAAAATTTCAAACCAAAAATGTGGTCTTTGTAGACAGGTGGTCACTAAAGCAGGTTTGACTGTATAACATTGAACCATGAGGGCACATCATAACACAATATTAAATGCTGTGATTTCCCACAGGCTTTAGAGTGTGACTATGTGAGCGCTCACCTCCATGAGTGGATCGATCTCATCTTCGGTTACAAGCAGCAAGGCAAGGAAGCTGAGGAGGCCCACAATGTCTTCCACTATCTCTTCTACGAAGGCAACGTGGATATCTACAGCATCGATGATCCTCTCAAGAAGAATGCTTTCATCGGAGTCATCAATAACTTTGGACAGGTCCCCAAGCAGGTGAGAAACTCTTCATCTGTCATTTGCTCTGACTTTGTTTCCACCTGGCTTTATTTTTTCAACAATACAGGATTTGGGTTAAGATCATGGTTAGCATTCAGGTTGTGCTTGGGTTTTAGGGTTTTAAGGTAGGTCATTGATAATGCTGTCAAGAAGAATGCTGTCATTGGAATCGTCAATAACGATCATCAATAACTTTGGACAGCTGAGCAAGCAGCTAAATTGATCTGACATTTGCTCTGGTAACATTTACTCAGATGTCATTAGCTCTGAACGTTCTGTCTTCAGAGATGTAGGATTGGGATAAGGGTGAAGATTAGGGTTAGGGTTACAGATGGATTTAAATGTTAGTGTAGGGTTGGGGTTAGGTATGGTGTAGGGAACATGGATATCTTCAGCATTGATGATTCTTTTGCAAAAAGTGCTGTCTGTGGAGACATCAACAATTTTGTTTAACCAGAGTGAATTTCTCTCGTGATTTCATCCTCTGTAGCTGTTCAAGAAGCCTCACTTACAGAAGCGAGTGAGTAACCGGGTAGGAGACAATGCTGGTAACTCCATCGCTATCTCAAGGCTCTTCTTCCACAACCTGGACACACTCAGACCATCATTACAACCACTCAAAGGTAAGCATACAGTGTAGATAGAATATGTACATCTGAGCAGCATTTTAAGAAACCGTCATAAGTACAAGTTTGACAACAACCCATTGCTATTATATTTAACTCACATTACAAATGAGGGTTTGGTGAAATGCCCTGCTTTCCTTTAAATTTAAATAATGTCCAAAACGCCCTGAAAGGGCATGTGCTGCATAATTAGCTTTGGTACAAATAATCCCCAAATATCCACAGATCTTTTAAACATGGAGATGTCCCACTTTGTGCATTTTAGAATAATCACTGCCACAATCATGGATGTGCTTCATGAATACATTTTGTTTGTCCTCAAGGGAAAAATATTTCCACTTGCTTTCCATAGAATGTACTGTCAATGCCTATTAAAGTGAATAATGATTACACAACTCTCATGAACATGTATCCAATATATGCATCTCGCTTGGTTTTACAATTTTGATACAAATGACCTTTACTTGCCCATGCGCATATTGTATCTACAAACTGGTCTATTGATGTGTATCTTGACCATCCAATAATGCAATGTCATCATTATTAATTCTTATTCCAGAGCTGAAGGGTGCTGTTGGTCAGATCCGTCAGGTGGACAAGTCCATCCTGGCCGTAGAGCAGAACAAGACCCTCATCCCTCCGGCCTACAACCGCTACCTTGCATTCGGCTACGCTGACTACAGCCTACGCATAGGCAGCTACGACTCGGACAAGGCAACGACGGTCGCTGAGGGCAATGGATGCGGAGAGGTGCTGTGTGCGGTCTGTCCCAACAGCAAGACACTGATCACTGGAGGCAGTAGCACTGTGAGTTTTCAAGTTGATTCTCTTGGTCTATAATTGAAAGAGCTAAAGAAAGGAGTCATCAGCCGTTGATTACTGATTTTTTTTTTAATTCCCCGACAAGTACTGAGCCACCTTTGTCCTGTAGGTATTTCGTAAACTTGTAGTAACTTTTTCAATACCATTTTTTACCAATTTTTTTATACCATCCATTTCTGATGAAGATTTGTGTAATTCTTTGTAAATCAGTGAGAAGTATTACTATAATTTGGCCCATTCCATCCTTGTCATTATAATCTTACACAGATAGATAAACATTGTGTAATAATTATCAAGTCATAGATAGAAAATGATATTTCATGCATTCATTCTGGCAAGTATTTGTCACCAACCCTAGCAATGGTAAGAGACAGTGATGTCATAAGACAGACAGCTCTTTTTATCCACCTATAGCAGCTTTTTTATGCCTCCGTTACGAAGTAGCCGGAGGCATTATGTTTTCGGGTTGTCCGTCCGTCCGTACGTCCGTACGTACGTACGTACGTACGTCTGTACGTACGTACGTCCCGTTCTCGTGATCGCGTTATCTGAAGAACTGGTTGATGGATTCCTGCCAAACTTTGGTCATGTATGTATCTTGTAGAGCCGATGAACTGATTAGATTTTGGGGTTACGAGCTCAAAGGTCAAAGGTCACAGGGCTCATTATGTATGCAAAACGAGCTCGTGATCGCGTTATCTGAAGAACTGGTTGATGGATTCCTGCCAAACTTTGGTCATGTATGTATCTTGTAGAGCCGATGAACTGATTAGATTTTGGGGTCACGAGGTCAAAGGTCAAAGGCAGAGATGCCAACCCTCCCGATAATTCACCCCAACTCCCGACCTTACGATTTCCATCCTTATCCTCCCGATTTATTTAAAAAAAAAAAAAAAAAAAATTTTTTTTTTTTTTTTTTTTTTTTTTTTTTTTTAATTATGATTTTTTTTTTGTTATTGGCGCTTATCAGTATATATATCTGTGAATTGTATGAGAAATATCGTCTGTTAACTTTAGCATGTAGTATTTCCACTATGTTAAAAGACAAAGTAACAAAAGATTGTTTCAGCATATGGATTGCCGTAACCAATGCGTGGATATAGACACAGAATCCAAATGGCGGAAAATCAGCAAAAGAAGACCAAGAAATGGTCCGAAACAAAAAGACCGAAACAGTATCAAGTACCCGTGTATTCGGAAGTCTGAAAGGAATTCATCATGCATTTTGTACAATTTGTATGTTATTTTAAAAAAAAGTGGGAATTATTTAACTAAATACACATGTAAAATGCTGCAAAATAAGGCTCAGATTGCACCAGAGAGCATCTAGAACCCCAGAGCTTCCAGGGCCCTAAGGCGGGCCCTGGACCCCGGCCACATGGGTCGGGCGCTACGCGCTCGAGATGTGCGCTACGCGCACATTATTTGGTGTCGGTTACAAATCCTCCCTATTTCTGTTTTCCAAAAGTTGGCATCTCTGCAAAGGTCACAGGGCTCATTATGTATGCAAAACGAGCTCGTGATCGCTTTATCTGAAGAACTGGTTGATGGATTCCTGCCAAACTTTGGTCATGTATGTATCTTGTAGAGCCGATGAACTGATTAGATTTTGGGGTCACGAGGTCAAAGGTCAAAGGTCACAGGGCTCATTATGTATGCAAAACGAGCTCGTGATCGCGTTATCTGAAGAACTGGTTGATGGATTCCTGCCAAACTTTGGTCATGTATGTATCTTGTAGAGCCGATGAACTGATTAGATTTTAGGGTCACGAGGTCAAAGGTCAAAGGTCACAGGGCTCATTATGTATGCAAAAACGAGCTCGTGATCGCGTTATCTAAAGAACCGATTGATGGATTGCTGCCAAACTTAGGTCATGTATGTTACTTGCAAAGCCGAAAAACTGATTAGATTTTGAGGTCACGAGGTCAAAGGTCAAAGGCCACAGGGCTCATTATGTATGCAAAACGAGCTTGTGATCGCGTTATCTGAAGAACCGATTGATGGATTGCTGCCAAACTTAGGTCATGTATGTTACTTGCAGAGCCGATGAACTGATTAGATGTAGGGGTCACAAGGTCAAAGGTCAAAGGCCACAGGGCACATTATATATGCAAAAACAGCTCGTGATCGCGTTATCTCAAGAACCGATTGATGGATTCCTGCCAACTTAGGTCATGTATGTTTCTTGCAAGGCCAATGAACTGAGTAGATTCTTGGTTCATAAGGTCAAAGGTCATGGGCTCATTATGTATGCAAAAATAGCTTGTAATCACAATATTCTGAGAACCTGTTAATGGATTACAATTGAACTTGAATTCGAAAAATTTCTTCTGTTTTGGTTTGTAAAATTGCTCTATGACGGAGGCATCATTTTCGCCTGCGCGCAGTCGAAGTTCCATCTAGTTTACTTTCTCTTTCAATTAGTGTTGTATGCCCAGAAGGTCACTTACATACAAAAGGTCTCTAGACCTGTACAAGTGACCTTGCTTGGCTTATATGACACTTTGTACGTTATAGTACATTCCAAGTATTGTTTACAAGAAATACATTATCATTCTTGTTTGCGCTATCACAGGTTGTGAATGTATGGCAGCTTGAGATGGGCAAAGAGAGATCAAAACAGATGACGCTCAAACAGGTATTGTAAGGTTTCATTCACGCAGACTATATTTAGCTTAGCAATGATTACATCATCTTGACCAAAGATGAAAATATATTATCATCAGCAGCAGAGAGGTTGTGAAAATTTTCTTTACCACGGTTTAGCCTCGAGATTAAATAGACCAAACAGTTTTCACATATTTACACCACTGATTATTTTATTAACAGAATATATTTAGACCAACAATATATATACACACATGGAGATCAAAATTTTAAAGAGATTGCTGTCAGTAATTATAATGATAATGAAAAAAAAAAAATCATATTGTTTGTATCTAGAGACATGTAGAAGGCCAGTCATAGTTCAAGAAGATGTGAAAATTTACCAAATTAATTAAAAAAACATGTGATACAGATTGATACAGATATAATCATATCAATAATAATTGTAATTAAGATGCTTTTACAGATTAAAATAACTCAGAAAAAGTGCATATGGCAATTAGTAAGGTCCCCATTTCTCTCCTGGGTATGGAGTAGCAATGTAGATTAATGCCTTGCCAAAGGACATAGGTGCTGTGTCAGGGATCAAACCCATAACCTTTGCATATCAAGCCATGTGCTTAAACCACTTGAATACAACACCTTATTCTTAGTTTTGACCCCTAAACTTGTCTTTGTATTGGTTAGGCATTGTATGGCCACATGGGAGCTGTGACATGCATTGCTGCTTCCACATCATACAACATCATCGTCAGTGGATCACGTGACCAATCCTGCCTCATGTGGGATCTCATACGACTGACCTTCGTCCGACAGATGAGGGCGCTAGGAGCCCCAGTCACGGCAGTCTGCATCAATGAGCTATCGGTGAGTATGAGATCGATAGAGTTAATTGGTTCATTGCAGTTCAGTGTGAATCAGAAAAGATTCAATGCAAAAAAAATTGATTATTGTCCTGGTGAGAGCTAATTTATTCAAGCCCACAGTGATAGAATTGTATTCTTCTTAAAGCCCATCTGCACTAGTTTGGCCAGGAGGGATTAGACCTCCCTGAAAGGACACTGACAGGTGGTTATCTCATCAAATCAGCTGTCAATTAACCTAAGAAAGGGGGTCATGGGGGACCAACAAGCACCGCTTAGACATTGTTTGCTATTTAGAGGGTGCAAGTAGCTATAAGTAGTGCAGTCCAGCTTTAAAATCACCTATCAAGATACACTTTGCAACCTATATTATGCCAAAAATAGTATAAACTTAGGAGTTGATTTCATATTCTTTCTTAACCATTCCTGTTGTATGTATACTTGATTATCTTTTGTTTGGGCTAGGGCTACAGAGGCAATAATGAGCAAAAATCCACCAAGAGATTTGAGATAGATTTCTGCATTCTAACTATCTCCATGTACAGTTAACAACTAAATTATTTTTTACCTTTACCAAGATTTGTATTTTTTGGGGTATGTGAAAATTGATTTGGCCTGATTTATATTTCTTGAGAATTTGACGTATTAAATCTTACTTCTAAAAGTGTTCAACAAAGACCCTAATTCAACCAGTCCACCTTTCGTTCTTGAGTTACAAAAACACATAAAAACATAGAATAAACCAGGCAGCATGAATAATTCAGTTGTGAACTGTATATATTTGAACTTTGTTGAAGAAATCAGTGATCATTATGTCTTTGATCCCATTCATGTGTTTTTGTGCAGGGTGACATCGCAATCTGTGCTGGAGTATATCTGTACGTTTGGAGTATCAACGGAGACATGATTGCCAGTGTGAACACATCAACAGGAAGGGAGCAGCAGATTCTATGTTGTGCAATGTCTGAAGTAAGTTCTCTCCTACATCTTTAGGAGAGCACCCAAATGTTTTCTGTGATAGTGGTAGCACCATCTTGAATTCACAGTATTAATTCAAAATGGAAGTATTTTTTTGTAACCCAGGATCTGTTCATGTAGGAGCAGCTTGGCATGTATTAAATCATTCGCTATTGGTTCTGATTGCAGACTGTTATGTATGACATTTACTAGCCCTTTTTCATGATAATTTCATATCCCAATGCATTCTCTCCTACCCCCCCCTTCCTTTCTTTCTTCTAACATGGTTTCCGTTTACATATGTTGTTAGCATGCTATTTCCATTTTTTTTTTTACTGGGCAATTCACCTGCAAGTTTTGTAAACACTAAAAGCAGAGTTTATAGTACAGAAATTCATTCCAAATTTGAATACAGTATATATATAGGAGTCTTTTGAATTCGTTCATCATAGTAACTCCAATGGATGATTCTTTTCTTTGTATCTTTATCTAGCTGGTTGAATGGGACACACTAAATGTTGTTATCACAGGATCCAGTGATGGTGTAGTCAGGGTGAGTACTTCTACATCTCTATCTAGGGCATTAATCTTCATTTGCCACACTTGACCTAGGTGAGGTAAATGGGTACCTGGCAGGATTTAATTCCTTGAAATGCTAGAGGGCTTAAATGGCAGCTAGGCTAAAGCCAGGGTGATAATTAATGCGCCTCGGAATAGAATTTCTAGATAGACGGCGCTATAGAAATGCCTATAATTATTATTATTATTTATCTGATAATTATCTAACTAAAGTTGAATTTAACTCTAGGATAATTATCCTCTTATGTAATTAAGATGTGGTTAATGTTGTAGTCCTCTGAGCAGCCTCTCCCACTGATTCTCATCATTGAGAAATGGATTTTGATTCCTTAGAAATGTTTTGTTGACGATATGAAAATATTTTTTTGAGAAGACTGGTCATTTACCTGTTAAAAACTAGTCAAGAAAAAGAAAATCCAGAGGATGTTTTAATTCTAATTTATGAGTTAAATACATGCTGCTTTAAGAGTACTTACTTCTGTACCATACATGTACATGTTGTTCATACCTATGGAAAATTCTTTTGTACAACCTGTAATTTACAGATGCTGTAACTTGGATTATCAAGGGTACAGTCACTAATTACCGGTTGTATGCATTTGAGACCTGTAGCTCCAATTAGTGTTTTCTTTGTGGGTTCTGGTCAAAAGAACATGCTGTATCTTTTGTGCAAATGTTCTCTAATGTTTTCCAATCTTTTCACCCTAGATGTGGAGTGTTGAGTATGTCCAGGTGCCTGATGAAACCAACGGCAGAGGTGAGAATGGCACCCTAACAAACACACTGGTAGACTCCAAGGAGAAGGCCATCGAGGGTGTTGACCAGTCAGAGGACAGTCCCTCGGAGGAGGACAGTCAAAGTGTGGAGAGTGCAGGGTCCACACCTAGGAGGGACAACACGGACAAATCCTTGACCGACTCGCTGTCCGAAGACTTCCGGGATACTCTCTCAGTCAACAGCAACGTGTCCAGCGGACGTAGCTCCCCCGTCGTCAGGGACGATAAGGAAGAGAAGGACGGGAGCGCATCACAGAGGCTGAAGCCACCAGCGTCACTTCCCGTTGCCCCGCCCAGGAAACGGAAGCTGGAGAAGATGGGGTCGTCGGCTAGCCTCTTGAGCAACAAAGATGGTGCGGAAGATGAGAGGACTCGGAACCAGGATGTTGAGAATGATAAGAGCAGAGATGAGCTGAGTAAGCAGTCAAGCAGCGATGCTACTAGCCTGAGCAGCAGTGTCGGTAGCACGCCTACGGTACCTGATGGATCATTGTTAACGGTTGGAGACGAGGCCCTGGGTGATGTTCCTCTCAGCCCTTCCAAGGGGTACATCATGGTGACGGAGAACGACCTGAAAGGATTTGACGAGGATGAGCTGGATAAGGAGGAACGGTCGGCATCCCATCGGAACAAGCTCAAACCTGGTAAATTAGCATTTCATCCACTATGACGTTCATGAGATATATTGTTGCCCCTGTTTTGTCCACAACAGATATATATGTTATTATAGGGATGGATAAAAAACACTGTTGATTAATACAATCTTTGTATTGTCATCATTTCTGTTGCGTATTCTTTAAATTGCTGAGGCAAATCTTGAATTGCTGTATTGTGATTGTTCATTGAAACAGACTTTTTGAAAAATTAGAAAGGGTGATCGTTTAAAGTGTAAAAAATGTAAGATGAATTTGTTGCCTTGTAAAACAAATTGATTGTTCCTTCCTGCGAAATGTTGATATAAGAGTATACTTTTTAAATCCTTTTAATGCATTACCTGTAGATGTGAAACCACACTGGAAGCTCACTGAATTGGTTAATTAGCAAACTGATTAAAACAATACAGTTGATAGGGAATAATTTGCTTTTTTACCTACCTATAGAAGATGATCTTTTACTGATTGTGTAATCATTCCCTGTGTCTTTCATTGTTTAGGTTTCAAATGGCAGCGTCAGCTGGTGTTCCGCAGTAAGCTCACCATGCACACAGCGTTTGAGAGGAAGGATAACTCCCAGCCTGCTGCTGTCACTGCCGTTGCTATTTCAAGGTAAGCTTGAGGAGTTAGTGTAGGTGACCACTATAGGGAGGTGGTCTTTATAGGGAGATGGCCTTTATAGGGAGGTGGCCTTTATAGGGAGGTGGTCTTTATAGGGAGGTGGCCTTTATAGGGAGGTGGTCTTTATAGGGAGGTGGCCTTTATAGGGAGGTGGCCTTTATAGGGAGGTGGCCTTTATAGGGAGTTGGCCTTTATAGGGAGGTGGCCTTTATAGGGAGGTGGCCTTTATAGGGAGTTGGCCTTTATAGGGAGGTGGCCTTTATAGGGAGGTGGCTGCTATAGGGAGGTGGCTGCTATAGACAGGTGGTCTTTATAGGGAGGTGGCTGCTATAGACAGGTGGTCTTTATAGGGAGGTGGTCCTTATAGGGAGGTGGTCTTTATAGAGAGGTGACCGGTGTAATAGGTTAGACTACTTTCTTTCATTCAGTCATGAAACGTGACACTGGTAGAGCAGTCTACGGTAAATGTACAGCGCTATCCTGGTTATGGTACAGCCCATTTTGGCATGGTCTGAGCTACATTGTGTGAAAAATGCAATTCCTGCAATGCATTTTTATGCTTCAATTACCCCATAGCTTCAAGTCTGAATTGAGCATATTTCATGCTGATAGCATACTTTGTCAAATGTTTCTTTCTGTTACTATTTCTGTTGAAATCGAAGTACAGGCAGCGCGGTCCTTATGTAGAACTCAAACCTTATTTTTGTATGTGATTGTAGTATATTGAATTGAAATGGAATTCATTAAAAGTAATTGTTTCATATTAAATTGATTGTGATTCCATTTCATGCAAATTTATGTGACATACATATAGTAAGGGGAGGCATAAGATATAGTTCATATGGCTGTGGCATGAAATTATATATTTTGTACAAAATGATCTAATTCCAGTTGTTATGAATATGATGATTAATCTATTCCCATCCCATCCATATTAACCAGGGATCACATGAAGGTGTTTGTTGGTGATGACCGTGGCCGAGTCTTTTCCTGGTCAGTGGTAGACCAGCCTGGCAAGGCCGCCGCTGACCACTGGGTCAAGGACGAGAGTGGAGATAATTGCCAGTCCTGTTCCTGCCGCTTCACTCTGACTGAGAGAAGACATCACTGCAGGAACTGTGGAAAACTCTTCTGCCAAAGGTAGGTCCTGTAATAGAATACTAAAACCTGAATCCTGAATCCGATAATCGGGGTAATGATATATCTGTACAGCACTTTGAGAAGGCCTGCGGTCCTGAAATGGGCTTTAAAAGAACAAACTATTATTATTAATACCAAAGGACAAGGTAGAATGACCTGAAGAGTTCTTGTATTGTAAGAAACATCACTGTAGGAACTGTGGAAAACTCTTCTGATGTACTTCTGATGTCATACTGATGTCATCAATTATTTATAAATGTATTTTCCATGTATCATTACACATTGTGACTCATGATTTTATCTCTACATCTATCTTCAGGTGCAGCCGCTATGAATCTGACATCCCGCGACTGCGTATCAACCGGCCTGTTCGGGTCTGTGGAGTGTGCTACGTACAGCTCAAAGCGCCCCTGTCAGTCATGGATGGGAACTCACACAAGAGTTGACCTGCCATCGGCTCCCAAGCTTAAAGTAACGTTTGGAGAATCGATTCTCAAGTGACTGTTTGGACGCTACCTGTGTGATTTGTATGTGTGTGTCTCAATCCTTCTTTAAGTGTGTGGATGTGGATGTGTTTACACTTGACCTAGGTTCATACCGATATGTTAAGGTGTGGACAAATCTAGGACTCTCTCTGTCTCTCTAAATGATATGCAAATAAATGCAGATGCATTTAGTAAGAATACAGAGTGAAGAATATTTAAAATACAACCAACGTCAAGCCATAGGGTAGATGTCCATCATGCAGAAGAGAGAGAGAGAGAGAAAGAGACGGGAAGAACCACCAGTTTGATTGGGAAGTTGATTCAGACACTAGTTATTGTTGGCAGTCAGTCACACAGAAAATAATGCAATCTGGTCCATACCAGTTTAATCCAGTTTTAACCAACTTTGACCAGATCACGTTTCTCATCTGTCAACATTCTAGTGACTTGCTTGGAGATGAGAGGCCTGTGCTCATGAGCAGAAGATATCAATGTTTTGTGGCCCTGTAAACTCTCTCCCAATCTGATTGATTACACAGCCATGGTATGGCATAATACTACTTGTGCAATTCTTTGGCAAAGATTAATTCTGTAAAAAAAAAAATACAATTCTATTGTCAGAGAGCCACAGACCAAAGACAAGAAGACCTGGAAAACCTTCAGATAATCTTTAAGTCAGCATTTTGGTTCATCAATATGTCGATGTCACAATACATTTATGCATGTTGATATAGATGTAGGGTCGCTCACTGTATCATGTGCAATGATTTGTCACGTCCATCCGTAGAGATTGGGTTAGCCAGTTGTAGAGGTACAGCATCGTCAGGTCACATTCTTTAGAGCAAATGATGTCATTAATCCATTGACTACTGGAACCCTATAGCTCCTGTATTAAACCTATGGGAACGAAAGTATTCATTAGTTGATGGGTTAATTATGCTGATCCTGTTTTTTCCTTCTTTTGGTATAAACATACATGAATAAGAATACAATGGAACCTGTCTACTAAGGTCACCTAAGAGAATAATAATTTGGGGGTACGCAACAAGAGTCCTATCTCGTACCCCTGGGAAACGTGTCCGACATGGACAGTTGTAGCAACCACTCTGAAGATCAAGATTTAATTTAGGAGCTTTGAATATATCTTGATCTAAGGAGACATAAACAAACCTAAGAGAAACAAATGTAGTGGCACTGGCCACTATAGGCAGGTCTTACTCTATATGAAATGGCATTGCCCTCTATTGAGACAGATTGTTCTTTGTCTGTTTGACAAAGCCAGTAGGACATTAAAGTAATATCATTAAATACATAGTTAATGTCCTTCTGACCCTTACCAGACAGTAGAGACCTAACATGCGTTTTAAGTGTGATTGAACCTAGAGGTCCATATGCTTCTTATAAAGTGAAATCTGAGATTGGGTCTAAAGTCACATTTAACCAAAGGAAATATTGGACCTTGGACTTCCTTCCTTTGGTCATTTTCTTTTAGGAGAGTATGGGTCAAAAGATTTTTCATGCACAGTACTTGTCAGCTCTCAACTACAATATATTTCTCTAGAGGCGTTCATTCTATCCCCATGCCCGTATATCGAACATGTACTGTACATGTAGTTAATACAGTCAAACCTGTCCATTAAGACCACCCTAGGGAAAATGCGGCCACTGTAGACAGGTGGTCTTTCTAGACAGGTTCTACAACACACATTTGTTTGTTGAGGGGAGACAAAGTACATGGCCACTACAGACAGGTGGTTATTAAGAGGTGGCCGCTAAGACAGGGTTGACTGTACAAGTAAAAACAATTCTTTAAAAAAATAGATTTGTATTCAAGAAATGGACGTGATCATGTTCACTTTCCGTATTATTTTGACTCTTGCCATTACTCTACGATCCGCTTCAGATCGTGTCCTACCATATAATATGCAATTCTAAATGATTTGAACCTATGCGTAAATATAGACTACTGAAGGGCAAAGAGGTGATAAATAGTGAAGCTTTGAGTTTGATGTTGATTGAGTGGGAGAGCTAGATTAGACCAGGGCCCGTTTCACAAGACTTGTCATCAGTGACAAATGACAGTCTTTGTTGTAAGCTACTGATAATCAAGGTGATATCAATCGTAACGATGTATAAAGAGATAAGAGACTGTAACTTGCAATTGATTGTAGGACTTGCGATTGATTTGGATCAATCGCAACTCTATATAAAATGAATGAATTTTTCAGCCAATATCACATGGTGATATCTGAATGCTTTTGCCAAACTGATATAGAAAAACAAAGTATAACAGGAGGTGGCGAAATTCAACATGATAGTTCTGATGCTATTTAGTGTGTCTTTTCCAACATTTCATATTTGATCTATGCCCATTTCAATCTCAAGAAAATGGTTTGGAAAATCACAAATAATACCTTTAACTGTATTTCGCCTATTGACTATAAGACGCAAGTAATGTGTGATTTATATCCAATATATTTGAGAAATATTGTGACAATTCTAACGTCTTTAGTGGTTTTGGCACCTTGTTTGTTTTCTAGCTTGACGACAGTACTTCGAACCAAGGAATGCGTCTTTATATCAAATGCCAACAAGTCAACAAGTGCAATTTAATTTCAGAATTCTTGTAATAATATCTTCCTGTCTTGTGGATATATAGTAGCTTTTGAAGATTATATGAACATCATACTTCAGTTCATATTTGTACAAAGTTTTGCACCAATATGATTTACTTTTGTTCCATTTTTATTTTTACATCAGTTTTGTATTTTTTTTCCTTTCTTACTTTTCAAAGGCATATTCATACCTGAGCATATACAGTACTACTTGCTCTCAGATTAAGTTTGCAACATGAAAATGTCACAGTCATGTTACAACTTCTGCGTGATAACGTCTGCAATTGCTTGGTAAAATTGTATGGTTGCAATTTGTGTGCTAGTAAGGTTGCCAGACATTTGGCACAAGTCAAACAATTTTTATCATTCTATCCCATCTTGCTTTTGGGCTTTTTCCCCCTGTAATTGCACAGGCATTTAATACCGCAAGGCACTAGCCTGAGGCTCTATGCCCGGTGTCTTTTTTTTTATCCAGACACAGAAATAATATGCACCTGGAAAACATATAAAAAATTGGTCCCTGCATATATTCATGGATGACATCCAAATATAGCGGGAAATGAGGTTAATCTGTGAAAATTTTTAACTAGGGTTTCAAAGATGTTTTCCTGGGCAACTAATGATGGTGTAATACAAGCACTGCTTGGAGTTGTAGGTGATAGGAACTTTAAGGTTTAGAGACAGAGACGAAGAAAAGCTTTTGGTCTTAGGGTTGAGACAAAAACTGACCATCAAAAACCTGAGACCGAGACTGGATTTATTTGCTTAAACACTGTTTACAAAATTATAAAGAAAAAGAAATCTGCAGGTTATAAATTTGAAATGAGACTATTTTTTACTGGTTCACATCATGGACTTTAAGGTCATTCATTCAATGAGGAATAGAAACACAGGAGTTAATGTCCTTTTTACTGTTTGCTGATGGTATTTATGATAAAACTAGTGTGTCAGAACATAGTCTACTATTCTTGAAACTAGTCAATCCATCCACTTTTTTGGTTTTATTTTTTGTCACCAGTTGGATAAGGTTGAGCTGAAATGGTGATGGTGAAAAAAATGACTTTACAATGCACGTCAGAAATCATTGAAAGGTATCTCCTTTTTACCAACTTTCAAATGTTTGGATTCATTTTGTAAGATAAGAAGACTATAAACAACAGGATATTCATGGCCTGCTGTTTATATCCTTTAATAGATGCTATGACTTTGACCCGTTACTTGGGAAGAAATATTCCTTTTTTTTTTTAATCGCTGCTTAAGTTTTGAAGAAAAACAAAACGCAGTGTTATGATATCAAAGTGCAAAGATTTGTGCCATTGTAAAAATTAATTAGGAGTATAATGTAAATGTCAGCATCAATCAAACTTTCTTTTGATTTACTGCTTCAATGCCAAATGATTCTAAGAAGATAAAATGATGATGAATTAAAAAGTGATCATCTTGTGCCATAGAAGCCACACAGAGATTCCCAAATATGTAATACTGTGGTGGTGTTGTTTTTTAAATCATTTTATTTTGCGTTTATAAAAAAGAAGGATTAATTGTTCCAACTACCATGTAGGGTAGTGAGCAATGCACATTGCTGAATAAATAAAGATGTGTGCAGAGCCAGAAGGTCGTTAGCGTTCATCATTTTACTTACAGTTAACGTCCTTTTTTCACAAAGCAGAAAAATCATTATTTGTAGGACTTTGAGAAAGATATAGTAGGAGACATAAACTGAAGGATGAATTTGATTATACAGACTAGACTTTAGTTGATATCACTTGCAATAGCACCATGTTTTTAGTCGAGAATTAGTTCAATGATGTATCCTAAGGTACTTTCTGAGTGAAAGATGAAGATTTTGAATCATGGCTTCTTCCTAATTTACGTTTGCAAGTATATTTTTGTTGAGGGGAAAATTAAATTTCCTTCGTTTCAAAAAGCATATCTATCGAAGCAATACTACGTTTAAGCTTGTGTGTATGACATTTTGTGTATTCGTACGGTGTACAATGTATATTCCCACGGCTGCATTTAAGTACCATGTGCTATTCACTGGCCTATTCTCTGCTAGGTTGGTGGTGTATAGGAGACAATCATTGTTGTACCTCAAGGGTATGTACCACCACCTTATTTGTTCAGAGCCAGAAGGGGTTAACTCTGTGTTAAAGTATACAGGTTAACGCCCTTCTGGTTCCAAACAGACGATTGGGAAAGCAAGTGTTAAGGTGGCCATGGGAAAAGGCCACAATCTGTGATCGTGTAACATAACTTGTAACATTTGTAATATAACCAGATGCATTTTTTTATTTCTCCTCAAAGCCTTTCCTTTTTTATTCATTTTTTTTATGTTACCCGATGTACCTGTTGATCCTTATTGATTTTGCATCGACCATTGTACATATTTCTGTGATAGTAAGATGTTTGTTTATATCTATATATATTTGAAGAGAAAGTATCCATTTTTTCATATCATTTTTGAGCCACCAGCAACCTTGGATTATTTGTAATGTATGTCAGAACGTAATTTGGTGGTATATTTGGTATTGTGCAAATAATGAGTTCATGATTATCATGACTGAGAGAGAAATATATATGATTATATTCTATGGTTAGTATTTATTAGAATAGTAGATATTTTCTAATTGTTTTACTTGGAAAATGGCTTTCAAGTTATTGCCTCCACAGACTTGCCATGCAGATTATGATTTCTGTCTATTTGATATTCTGCTGATGGTAAAATCAGTTTAATTAGGCTTCTTACAGCTAGAGGTACACCTGACCTATCTCATTCCCATCCCATATCTGCTTACCACAGATTCCTCTTTCCTCTTGGGAAGACAAAATCCTGGCACAAATCACGCAATCTCAACTTCTTTCATCCATGCTCTCGATAGAAATGTATTCACATTTGATCTTCACCAATACAAAAATGATTGCACAAACCACTGTATATGTTCTTGTCAGGGTTCTGATGTAGTCCTGTAGATTAAATTGATTTCTTGACTTGCTCAAATATGTTAGATATTATATTCTACCGATTATCAAGTCTTTCAAGAACTGTTACGTATAGTTTCACATACAACCACAATTTAGAACAGACTAGAAACAGGCTTAAAACGAACATACTACATATACATGTATGTCACTATAATTAAATTACTGCTGACATGTATATATGTACACAAATAAAGATAGTTAATATTTAAAATAAGCATCGTAAAGGAGATCAAATAAACAGAAACATAAAGTGAAGCATCAATGTGATGCATAGAGGGAGTCAAAAGAGAAGATGATTCTCATCTTTAGTGAAAATCATTTACGTTACATTAAACAAATGATAGGGAATTTTTTTTTAATTTGTACACTGCATTGGAAAGAAAAACAGAGAGAATGCGTGTGATAGAAAATAAACCATAAAGTTAAATACCCAAACCAAACATTAAAATGAACATGATAGATATTGTATCATATTCAGCTAAGCCAAGAAACATCACACTTACAAACAAACAATCAAGAATTAAAACTTATGTACGATTTCGGGTATATGAAATTGAAATTAAACCATATTCAAACACCTATATGTATCAATCCCCTTTATGATAAGTAGGTGATACTATACATTTTCATTATAAAAAAAAGTAACTAACAAGCATTTTTTTTAGTGTTGATTCCATCATTGTTTTGATTATGCACTTTCATTTTTAAAACCTCCACACCACACACTTAGGAGCACAATTGAAACGAGCTAAAATATTTGCTTATACAGATGTACATGTCTGACTTCTCTAAGAATAAAACTTTACATGTATAGTTAATATAATACTGTGGTATTCTAGAGAATGCACATTCCCTTTCCCAACTAGAAAAATATTTTCTTCATAAAGTTTTACACTTCTCAAGTTTAGATTCATAATACATCTGTACGTACCATGCTTTTTTGATACCGTCTACTTAGAGTCTTACTATAACCTAGCAGTATTACTGTCTATGCCCCGCTCTTGTTTATTTATCATTACGTGTAAAATATATATTTATAAATTCAAACAATATTAGTAGATTAAATGAAGGATACAAGTGCACAAAGAAATCTGCTGGTGAAGGAGGCTGTGGATATTTACCATGGCCTCAAAATTCCATATTTTGCTGATAATTTTTATTTTTATTCATGTTCCTGCAAAATCTCTTTATTTCATCGAAATGTGTCACAAGTTCTGATTATCATTCCTTGCAATGTAGTGTCAAATACTGCCTAGTATTTTCTCCAGACGAGGAGATAAGAAATGTAAGCTATTTCTATTGTATATCTCTTGTTGCTCATTTTGATTATGGTCTTTGTTTGTGTAATCTCAAACACGAGGTAATACAAGTATCTAAAGTTATGAATCCCCATGTTCATTGTGTATTAGGGGTTGTACACCACACATGCCACAGTTATTATGCACAAGTTGCAATTTCTTGGCAGTGTGACTAAGTAAAGCTGTCATGTTTGTATAGATAATATTGGTACCTGTACATAATTGTGCTTGTAAATAGAATATAAATGATATATTGTTTGGTGGTAAGGTATAATTGTTGTAATAACAAAGATATATACTCTACTTGAAATAAGGTTATCATTGTGTCCAAAGACCTGGTTTTATGAAGAAGAAAAAATGAAGTAATATTGATTTGTTTGTGATGATGATTCTTTTGTGATAATGGCATACGTTTAATTGGCATTAATATAAGTATGGCTTATGGATGTATGTTGATGAATTATGTATGTAATATTGTATAGAATGGATTTAAAGTTTTATGTGCAGATGTTGCTACAATAAAAATGGATTAAATGACCGAAATGGTTCTCAAAAATAATTGAGCTTTAGTCGTGTTTTATATTTGTTTTTAACATTCTTGTATTGGTAAACTTTTTGTAAGATGTCAGTAATAAGTTAATTATATAGATGAATCACAATGAATGAAATCTGTCATAATATTTGTTTATTAAAAAAAAGTGGGGTAAAAAATATGAGTGGATTCAGGAATCTATGAATCTCTGACAAGCTACACTAAAAACAGTTATCATTTTCAGGCACCCCCCCCCCCCCCCTCCTCCAATAGTTCCACAACTTTTGATGTTTAATTTCCCAAACCTTTAATAATAATAACAATAATACTATTAGGTTCTTGTATAGTGCTCATTCTGTATCTATCAGACTTGACTCTCCTGGAGCTCCCGATTATTACCCTGGCTTTAGCATGGCTGCCACCCGGTCTAGCATTTCAAGGAATTAATTCCTGCCAGGTACCCATTTACATCACCTGGGTTGGGTGGGACAAATGTAGATCAATGTCTTGCTAAAGGATATGTATTCCTTCCAGAAACATCACGTGATTTCATCAAAAAGTGTATAAAATACCGTGCCATGTATACTACATGCTCATACTACGATTAGCACATAATTATGTGACTTTGATCCAGCAGAGGCACAATATTGAAAGGGTTACAAAATCATAATAAAACAAACCATAATACTATACAGAACATAAATAAAAATCCAATTTGTAGATACTCTGTAGACAAAAATATTTTTAAAAGTACCTCTACAGATTGAAGGTGATGATGATCGTGGTGGTGATGAGGATAAGGATGAGGATGAGGATGAAGAAAGATTTACAACAACTGAATTTGCCAAAATAATGGTGGAAAATGAAGTTTTTTATGATACTGAGATAAAATTGATCACAAGATTACAATGAAGACTTAACAATCGTTTAAAACGCAATAATTTTACTTGCTGACTTTTACATGTACATGTGCTTTAGCGATGCATACATTTAATATACCATAATAAAATCGTGTTTCGTATAAAATAGGGCCTTGTGAATTTTTAACGCGCACATATCCGAAACATTCGATCAGGGCGCAACATCAATGAATATATAAGTTACATATACAAAAATCATTCTAAAAAAACGGTTATAACTGCTAATTGTAGTAGTTTAAAATCATCGAGACGAAAGCAAATGAAATACTGAAATGAAAATTGAAATCATAAAGTTACGAATACAAGAACTAAAACAAATGCCACGACGACGTCAACATGCCAACGCACAATTTCCATAAAATTTGAAAACCAACTGAATACAATTCTATGAAGTCGTACTTGAAGGCATACCTGGAAAGTTCACAATTAACATCATTATCATCATAATAAATTATGGAATAGTATGCGCAAGATGGCTCTAATTAATATTATGATGCGACTGGCACACGCTTAGGCTTACATGATAACTCGACCAGCCGTCAGAACACAAACTTTAAAAAAAAAAAATCACAATAACCAGCCCGCCATCATTCTTCCGATTGCATGTCTCGAAATAGAACTACGACCCCCCCCCCCCGACCTTCCATTATGATATTAAATGTGAGTATTCTGTGAAGCTCCTTTGCATCATATTCTCTATTTCCTCGTCATGAATAAATTGTGCAATAATTAAATATCCAATCTAACCCAATCCGAGAATTTATAGAGCTCCAATATCTAGTTACCCGTAATCAAAGGGATCTGCCGCTATGTATAAGGACCGCTATTAAGACCGCTGTTCATTCTGTCAAGCGTTATGGATAGCGGTCCTCATGAATAATTGTCCTTATGAATAGTGGTCCTTATGGATAGCAAGCTCGACCCTAATCAAAGGCGCCGATGACTCTGAAAAAAAAACGACTGAGTATCTTAATGATTAACCTGGGAAAGACTGGGGAAGTGATTAGTTGTAAGCAATATGGAATGGGTATGTATTTAGTTGGGTTTTGAAAGTTGATAACCGGTCACAGGAGCGAAGATATTAAGGAAGATTATTCCACAATTAACCTGAGTGCAGAAGCAGTGTATGATCTCTCGTCCAGTCTAGTGTTCGAGGACTCTCAAGCAGGTATAGACCTGCATGATCATCGTAAATTTGCTCGAGGGTTATAGGGGGACAGCCTGTCTGAAAGCTACACAAGGGCAGATAATTGCCTTTCAAACAAATTTGTTTTTAATTCTTTATTTTACATATGAATATATAAATGAATACATAGATGAATAAATTTGTAAATAGAAAAAACAAAAATTGCGCCTAGAAATACAATAAAAATGATAATAAGGTATTATAGATGTATGGGCTGGCGTCAAATCCATTTGAAATCAAATGCTCAAGGCACACAAAAAGATTAAATCACATAGCTTAAGCATAGTATGCACTATAAACAACAGAACACGAGTTGGATAGAACATACAAATATGGTCGTACTGTTTCAAAAACTTAACCGTCGATCTTCTCGTCCTAGACGAAGTGATCAGCGAAGCGTCTCTCTTCGGACATACGATCTAGACGAAGTCCTATACGAAGTGATCAGCGAAGCGTCTCGCTTCGGACATACGATCTAGACGAAGTCCTATACGAAGTGATCAGCGAAGCGTCTCGCTTCAGACATACGATGATCTGTACGAAGTCCTATACGAAGTGATCAGCGAAGCGTCTCGCTTCTGACATACGATGGCTGTCATTGGCCTGCGGGTCGACCTCGATAGCCTCCACTTCGGTACGGCAGCAGATCATCATGATCGCGTAGCTGCGGAACTTCTTGACGCAGACCAGGAAGAGGATTGGATGTATCCATAAGGTGATCTCGGCGAACAACGGGGCGACCATGGGTAGGTAGGTGGGCATCTCGGTGGGGTCATTGGAGATGACGTACAGGAGGAGAACGCTGTATGGAACCCAGGAGAGCACGAAGACGACCACGGTCACGATGCCGATCTAAGCCGTTTAATACAATAACAAACAAAAACTTCAAACTAATTCGCCATTATGATGATGATGATTTCGTTTTAAAAATACTACCACGGTTTGTTTCACCGATGCTTATTAATGATTACACCATTTTTGGTTTAAATAGTGCTCAATACATGGACGTTATCTCCAAATGCTTTACATATTTATAATTGATATACTCCGGTCATTTCAGGCCTGCCCGCGCACAATGTATGCACATTCTTCACTCCCTGAGGTGCATTCAAGCCAGGCACCATCTTACATATGCTGATAATGCTGAGCAAACGACAATTTCGCATCCTGACAGAGGACGTTATTGCCCGGCTGGGATTTGAACCCTAAACCCTTGGATCGAGAGACACGTGAATGAACCACTTTACCACGACATGTAGGCCTATTAAGTTCCCTAAACTTTATTTTTAAAGCCCCACTGTACTACTTGTAGTTACATGTACTTGCTCCCTCTACATAGAAAACAATGCCTAATCGGTGACCATTGGTCCCCCATGATCCTCTTTTTCTTATGTTAATTGAAAGCAGAGTTGATGTGATAACCACCTGTCAGTGACCACCCTGGATGATCTAATCCCTCCTAGCCAAACTAGTACAGACCGGCTTTAACCAAAAGGAATGACGCTTACATTTTTTAGAAGTTAACTGTTTATCGCTGGCTATATACTTGCTAATTCACTAGAGTATATGGGACACGAGCGCCTGATCGTAAACAAAATTACATTTGATACAAATATTCGTTCATTTGATTGTTAGTTAATTAGCCAGTTAGCTGTTTTTCGTAAATATCTTTTGTTTTGGTTTATTTATTTATTTATTCATTCAGTTATTTATCAATCTATTTATTTATTTACTTACGCACTTAATTATATATCTATACATTATGTATTAATTTTATGTTTAGATATATTTCTAGCCCTCCATAATATGATAAACTTTCTTCTATTTTCTTCTTTTCTTACCCGTCAGATATCAATGCTTGTGCCCCCCCCCCCCCCCCCGCTGATAATCGTGGATACGCCAATACTTATCATTTCAGTTCTCTAGCAGTATTGCTTCAACTCACCCAGTGCGCCTCGGGCTGACTTGCCCAATCTACATCATTAGGTGATGGTTCATCGTTGCGTGTAGGATCAGCAGCGAACTGCCCCTCCTCAGCCTCCCCAGCCTCCTCCTGCCTTGTCAAAAAAGCACTCACGTAACAAAACACCATCAACGACAGAGGCAGTACGAAGTTGATGATGAACCACGACACGATGTAGGAAACGTAGGAGAGGTCGATGCGCTGCCAGTCGACGAAGCACGATGTCTGGAGAGGGGAGTCGATGTCGTACCGACTCCAGCCGAAGATCGGCATAAGAGCCCAGAAGAGACCGTTCACCCACGCTGACATCGCGAAGTAACGGTAGTGGGAAAACGTAAGCTGCTGAGCTGTGTTAAAAAAAAAAAAAAGATTATTAATTAAAACGATTCACAAGATACCTGCTGCATTTAATAATTTCACAATGACATAACATATTTTACGTCACATAATATTGGGTGTCACTTACTTCATTAAAAACCGCTTAGTCAACCACTTTGGAGGTTCCGATCTAGAAAAGAAAATGACCGAAAGGGGCCATATGACAATAACAGATAAAGATAGGTGTTGCTGTTTAATAATCACAAGGAACATTAAGATAGGACACAAGTTTGTTTGCTTTAGGTTTGTCTTCTTCAACTTTAGGACTTTGTTTTCAATCAGGAAACTTGATTTTCTTGCGTTTTATTTATCGATTTACTTTTTCGTCAGGTGAAATGGAAAGATAGTAAAAGGGGGATTAGAGTTTTCTGAAGAAAAAAAACTCAGAAATTAAACAGATATGGCAAAAGTAATGAAATAACTACAGGGGGTGGGGGGGGGGGGTGTTTCACAAAGACTAAGATCGACTTTAAGTTGGACTTAACTATGGCAAGCCGTACATGCCAATGTTTGCTCTCACCATTTACTGACATTGGTCACTCAAGGGACCTATAAATCATGGTCACAAATCTACAGAATTTACATTTTGATAATTCATTATGGAAGGAAAAGTATTATCTAAAGATCATAATGGTGAGAGCAAACAGTGGCATGAACGTCCTGCCATGGTTAAGTCCAACTTAAAGTCGATCTTAGTCTTTGTGAAACACTCCCCTGGTCACATAAATTGTGTGTGAAATATTCTTACCAAGCTCACTCCTGCAGACGATTAGATACCGGCTAACTGCTAGTGTGACAGTATTGCCGACAGTTGTTAAACCAAAGAACATGAAGAAGAACCCGTAGAATTTACAGCCTTCCCAATGAAAGGGCCATCTCTGGATGAAATTTGCTGTGGTTGAAAGAGGGATACAGCATATAGCCATTCCTAAAGAGGATAGAGATAATGGTATCAAATAATAATTAATAAATCAACTTTGGCCTTCAAGCAGCGTATTCAGATACTGGAGGAGGTGAAACTTTCCCAGACGAGAAAAGGGTTGAAAATTTTAAATCTTCTTCTAATGTCAAATATTACTCGTTATTATTTCCCAATATTTTTCCCCACTCTTTTCAATCGTCACCGTTAATCATGAAAATAGTGTCCTACGTTTTCAATTCGATGTCACCATCACCATTACCATCGTCATCATCATTCTCATCCCTGTTAATGCTCTCCCTTCCTTCCTTCCTCCCTCCCTCCCTCCCTCCCTCCCCCTCCCTCCGCCTTCTCTCTCTCTCTCTCTCTCCCCCCCTCTCTCTCTCTCTCTCTCTCTCTCTATCTTACTCTCTCTCTCTTTACACACTAACCTAGGTTAGCTAAGCCCAGACTAAGAAGAAGTACATTGGTTGGACTGCAGAGCTTTCTGTAGCGGGCAAAGACAGCGAATAAAGTTGCATTACCAAGCACCCCTGCAGCCACTTTGGGAATGAATGGAAACAGAGAAAAAAGATAAAATTGTTATTTATAGACAATATTTTTTATTAATTCTTATACTTCAAATGTAAATGCTGGTATCATATACTCTGATGTATCAGACCACTTGCCAGTTTTTGTAGTACTAAATAGTGCTCAAAGATGTTATGAGTACATGTATGATAAGGGAAGAAATAAGACAAATCAATGATAACACAAAGAAGTCATTTTTCTGCAAGTTATCTTCTGAAGAATGGACAGATGTTTATAGAAGTAAAGATCCCAATGTTGCCTATGAATTTTTTTCTCCAACTTTCAAAGGCATTATAATAAATCTTTCACTTTTGTTAGGAGTAATAAGAAAAACAAAAACAAAAAGTTATGGGTATCATTAAACTTGTTGACAAAAATAAGATTGAAAAACAAACTTTATAAAAGGTTTTGTTGTAATCCTACATATGAAAATGAAGAAAAATATAAGAAGATTAGAAACAAAGTGTCATCTGAATTGAGAAAGGTAAAAAAAATGTATTTTTATTAAAGGTTTAATGATTGTAGAACTGACCTCAAGAAAACATGGCGATTGATTAATAGCATATTTAAAAAAAGAAAACCCATCTTACCACAACACTTTATACACGAAGGAAGAACACTAAATGATCCGCAATTGATATCCAGTGTTTTTAACGATTATTTTAACAATATTGGACCAAAACTAGCTTCTTCCATTGATGCAACTACTTGTACAGATTTAAATTTCTCCTCTTTTATGATACCTCCGATAAAGGAAAGTTTATTTCTGAAACCTATTAATGAAGACAAAATTTTGAAAATAATGTACTCATTTAAATGGAAAGTCGTGTGGATGGGGTGATATTAGTCTAGATATTGTTAAGTATGTCAGATATGTTATTACAAAACCTTTAGCTTATGTTTTTAATCTCTCTCTTCAAATGGGAATAGTACCCTCACAACTAAAAGTATCCAAAATTATCTCAATCTTTAAAAAGGGGGATAAGCACACTATTGGTAATTGTCGTCCTATATCACTTTTGTCATGCTACTCAAAAATCATGGAGAGATTAGTCTATGATTGTATATACAATTTTGTATTTAAACTGCAAGAGTGCACCAGAATGGCAGAAGATAGAGTGGAATGTAGAGATGTTGCAATCAACTTCCGAACCGGGAGAAGATACTTAAATAGATAGATAATTATTGTCAGCTGAAATACAATGTAACTTAATTTGGTAGTAATAAATGAATGCATGCATGAACAAATGAATGAATACTATGATAATTTTTCAATTATACATAATACAGAAGGTTTGTAACTTGATTTGTTTACAATTAACTATCAAACGCAGGTTTGTTTCATGAAAAGCACGAAAATCATTCACATCTTAGTTAATCCTAATTATCCATTATACGGCCCCAAAGGAAACAAAACATAAAATGTATATAAGCAGATATAAATAGACAGATAAAAATAGAAAATTAAAAATAGACAGTTAAGACTAGACTAAGGAAAGGTATATAAGAATAAACATACTAAAATAGACAGATTAAAACAGATGGGTAAATATAGAACGAGGAATACAAAACAGATTAATATATATAGTAATAGTAGGTACAATTGAAAAGATCCCACTCGAGGCCATTTTGCATATAGTATTTGTCAGTTTCAGTGAAAACGGAATTGATGATTCTTTTATGTTTTCCTCTTTTTTAGCATAAAACCTTATCCAGGCTGACTTGATAAATTTCATGCTTATTAACGCTGCATAAAGTACTTCAGACAGTCATGACAGAATGCAAATTTTCGATCGGCCAATGGTCTCCCAATTCTTGACATCTTGTTCATGTGCATTGGATTTAAAAGCATTCCTCGTTCTGCCTTTTTATTCCCTCGATGTAATAATATAATAAATAATAATAATAATAAATTACATTTATAAAGCGCTTAATACATTGTTTCTAAGCGCTTAACATACATATAAACAATCATAACTTTAATCAATTTACTTTAGTGCCTTAACCTGTTTCTTCTTCCTCCTCTTCTTCTACTTCTTCTTTTTTCTTCTTCTTCTTCTTTTTCTTCTTTCTTCTTCTTCTTTTCTTCTTCTTCTTCTTCTTCTTCTTCTTTTTCTTCTTCTTCTTCTTCTTCTTCTTTCTTCTTCTTCTTCTTCTTCTTTCTTCTTCTTTTTTCTTCTTCTTCTTCTTCTTCTTCGTCTTCTTTTCCTCCTCCTCCTTCTCCTCCTCCTTCTTCTTCTTCTTCTTCTTCTTCTTCTCCTCCTCCTTCTTCTCCTCCTCCTCCTTCTTCTTCTTCTTCTTCTTCTTCTCCTCCTCCTCCTTCTCCTCCTTCTTCTTCTTCTTCTTCTTCTTCTCCTCCTCCTCCTTCTTCTCCTCCTCCTTCTTCTTCTTCTTCTTCTTCTTCTTCTTCTTCTTCTTCTAGATCTTGTTCAATACATGTAGTAGTAGTAATATTAGTATCATGCCCATTCGTCCTTGTTTCCTTGTATATTAGTGCCTTTCATTTTATTCGTTTTTACTTGTCTCTGTTTCCTTCTTTTGTCGTTGTTTTTATTCTTGTCCTTAGTGTACATTAATTGTCTCAACCTCTCCCCTAACTTATACACCATTGTAGGAAATTGTAAATACCTTACTTGCATGCATTACATAAAGTTCGATGACACAGTTTCAAATTTATTTGATTCGGATGAACGTGGACATCTAAAGCACAACACCAACATTTCCCCAGTCTGCTTCTGCATATACTCGCGCAGTCTCATTCAGTATTGGTCTGTTTATGTGCAGTAATGTTAACATTCCACAGTTGTATAAGACTCTAGCAATAAACAATTATAGCTATATATGTTCAGAATGAATCGAAAAGAATAATTGAAATAATTTTGTTCAATCACTTACACCACACGACGAGGACAGTTCCAACGGCCAAATGGAGTTGTTCTATTTCAGGACTAGTAGTATCCTGTATACTGTCCATTTTGTATCCTTCCAAGTTCGATATATCGCAGTTTCCAGTAAAGACTGTTCCAATACAACACCAAAATACTAAATACCTGTCCAACAAGCAGTAAGAAACAGAATCAAACAAACATTATGTGCTATTAAATCGTTTTTGGTTCAGCGACGCTTATCAAAATGGCGCCACCGTTTCTTTACACCTCACCATGCTCACAAAGCACACAACGTTTCTGTCGACGCCATTTTGGAGTCAATAGTTGGAGAAGAGAATCTGTACAAGATCCGCCGATTGTAAGGCTGAGGTTATAAAGGAAATGTATATATTTGTTGGAGCTTTGTTTTTGAAGATGATGCGTTACTATGGAGATAGAGGAGGAACAAAACACGAATATGATAATTATAGATGTTTTCAATTATCACAGAGATTAAGTTTATCTATTGTGACTTTTATGCATGGGATGTGGGTTAGTGATTTGTTACCTTCATTCCTCTTATAAAACGGCACACTCCTACGACCTACATAACATGTTATATTTATGAACTCACGGTCTTTTACATGTTCCTGGTATTGAATTATTATCTTATGTTATTATGTATATATTTATGTATTATGTTTCATGTAAATCAGCTAGTGAGGAGAGCTTTTTACTAAACTCGATTTCTATTGGTAATAGGGCCTATACGGGCATTAGTTGATTGTTTTTTTTTTTTTTTTTTTTTTTGTTTTTTTTTTTGGGGGGAGGGGTTATTTGTTATTGAACTTCGTTTTCTTGTATTCCGACGTTGTTATTGTTAAACTACTTTATGTTCCTTGACATGAATAAAATAAAAACAAAATAAAAATTAGACCTATAAACATGTAGGAGCATTGCAATAGGCTATATAATAGTAGAGGATCAAAGAAGGGGCGCGTGTCCCCTCCCCGTGCAGAATTGTGCCCCCCTTCCCACCCCTAGAGAATCCTGGATCCACTACTGTAATACAAATCGAACGCTTTAAAAAATATTTTTTACCTAGCTTACCCCCCCCCCCTCTCTCTCTCTCTCTCTCTCTCTCTCTCATTTCCTCCCCCAAATATTCATAAGGCCCTATCAATACATTTTGTTGTCAGTTTCCAAGGGAAATAATGATACAGAGAGCAAGCGTTAAATCGAGATTGTGTGCGTGTGCGTGTGTGTGTTTTCTACATTCTATAGCTTTGTATTTTCATCCCTTGTATATACAGTTACGTTACATTCTATTTTTTCACCTTATTGTTAATGTATGTATTTTGTTGACTATATAGGGCCCCCGCTCATGCACAAGCTTAGCTTCTAAAGGGGTCCTAAAACCATTCATTTTATGATGTGATCAAGTTAATATATGATGATTAATGTACTATTACCAGTCTCTTTTTTAGGTAAAAGATCATATCATGTTTTGTGTGGTTTTGAATAAATTGAACTTGAACTTACCTGATCGTAAATACTTTAGCCCCCCCCCCCCACACTTTTTAAAACTTTTCGTGGGGCCTGTTTTGTATGTTTGTATGCAGTTATTTCGATGATAGCCTACGATCTACAACAGATAGAGGTCATGAAAATTACGTATTCAAAAGTGAATTCCATGACATGCATGGTAACTACACAATTGAAAGTATTCTTTTCAAAAGGGGGAATCATAACGCACCGCTATCACATTAGCAGCGATTATTCTCAAATCTCAAAATCTGTTGGAAAATTGGGGTCATTTAAACTCGTACCATGTGTCAATTACAAATCGGTCTATTGGTAGAATCAGCACATGGTAGAATACACAAGTGATGTGATGTTTGGGGGATTATAGAAGGGTGAATCTGTGTTTGTCTCATGGCAAATCAATACAACATTCCAATTCAACAGATTGTGCACATTGACGAAATAAGGGAAATACATGTAAGTCTATTATGCGGTCTGATAGTTTGAAGATTTTAATGATATCAAAAAAGAAATATTTATCACACTTTGCTCACTTTCTTCTTCTTCTTCCTTTAACTGTCTCCTCTGACACCGATTTTGTTTGCAGGTTTATTGTTGCGTGTCCATCAAAATGAAAGAAAGACGTTCACGTCATACGGGGCACACTTTACTGATCACCCATGCAGGAGCACAATAGTATGTCCAGTACATGAATGCTCTATCAATCAACAGCTGAAGACGATAGCTTCAAGCAATTCCTCTACAAATCAGACGATAGAAAGTACGAGGTTCGCTGGAATTCCAACATTATATTAGCATGACAATAGATTTTTAGCACGGTGGGCTCAATAGCATGACAGTTATCACCAATATATTTTTGGAACCCGTTGCCATTATTAAATGCCTTTGTGGGTGAATGTGATTCGTTCGTCTGCTCAAACCACGTGATGCATTCACAGAAACCGCCCGCGCAAATCGAATTTTAGGTTTCGTGTAAGATGAGGAGCTAAAAATCTGCCTGTCTCTGCTAGATTCTGTCCTAGACAAGTCGCTTGGAGATTTTTACTTAGTTTTTGCTTCGTAATTGAATTCGTCGTCGTCGTATTGCTTAGTGTCATAATGATTGCTGACCGGTACAACGATTTTCTCACGAATTGGACCCCTCCCCTGCCGGGGGCTGCCTTGATCCGCCCCCGATTGACGGAGACAATCACAATGAGTTCGTTAAGAAAACGATGAATGTCCATCCGTAATAGGTCCATGCTTTGCATGAGTGAATGCACTGAAAATGTTAAATGTGATTCGTTCGTCTGCTCGAATCACGTGATGTATTTCAATTTAACACATGCATTCAAAGAGACCGCGCGCGCGATGACAATAGGTTTCGTGTTAGATGAGAAGCGAGAAATTTGCCATTCTCTGCTAGATTCTGTCCTAGACAAGTCGTTTTGAGATATTTACTTAGCTTTTGCTTCGTTCGTGAATTCGTCGTCTTCGATTAGCTTGCTTAAACCACTGTTATTTCACTTGTGTAATAATGGTCTTTTACGGCAACAAGTTCACCGGGAACTGTGTGATGAATACCCAGGAGGGTAGGCGTTGTAGGAGGAAGGCACCCCTGCCTGTTGATGAAGGCGATGAATGCTGGCAGCACCGACAGTATGTACAGAGTTATTTTCTAAATTAAAAATGAATTTACCAACCATCGATTGCTTAATACACGCAGGATCGACCCTTCAGTGAGTTGAAAGTGATTTAATTTAGGGTCACTCTTTGTAATTACTCTATCGAATGTGTTTAAATTGCAACATAGGTCTATGCACTTAATATTCGCATCCTATTATTGGCAATCAAGTTGTAGTCTAGTCCTAGTAATAGTCTATGTCCTGTTTTATTTTTTTACTTTTTTACAGAAAGCCAGCCGAGGTCCAGCTGTGCTCTGCACATATCGGGCTTCATGGGAATGGCAGACGTTGCAGCCGGCGTGGACGTCACTCGCTAGACGAAAACGCCGTTGAACTCTACTGCACGCAACACGGTATGCATTTATTCAAAGTAAATCTCTCACAATTAACTTACATTTTAAAATGGCATCTTGTGGACCAAAGACTATATATGTATTTGCCCAGACCATTAGCAGATCCGGAATTTTCCAGGGGAGGGCCGCATTGCCATTGGTAAAAATAGTAAAAATGGAAGAGTAAATATTGATTCATGATGAAAATATTTTGAAACTAATTACACTGTCCCCCGCCTTCCCCTCCCCCACCCCCTCCCCCTCCTCTCAGTGTTATTTAGGATAGGCGTATATATGCATGTTCCTAGCTCCCTTTGAAAGCACCACCTATCTCCAGGGTGTGTAAAGTCAATTAATACGGGCCAGATTTTTGTGTATGTACAGCCTTACTTTGTTGCGTGAAAAGTAGCCTACCCCTTTACCAGAGATTTTGGGAACACAAACGCGGTCCGTCCAAACCTATAGCTGTATCATTGATTGTGTACGTTGGTACATTTACAGGGGGTATACTAAAGTATTAATGGAGAATCGTCTATTTGAATGTGATCTGTAAAATGCCATTCATGTAGCATGTCCCCATTTATGTTTTCGTTTGGTTTATACAGTCAACAAGTTGCATCGCGAGAACGGTCGTGCGGAGGTCGTTCCTGCTAATCGCCAACAGCAGGATGAACAGCGTAGGAGGGCGGAGGAGCGTGAGCAGCTCCACCCAAGACGAAGGTCACCGCGTCTGGTAGAGCGAGAGATCGCAGCTGCCGCCGCTGTTCAACTCGCCGCTGAGAGAGAGCAACGTCGTGCCGCCAATCGGGCAAACCAGAACCTGCGGAGGTCGGCCCGGATTGCCGCGAGGCGAGGCAATGTGTGATAATAGCCTGGGTAAGTTAATTTATTTCTATGCTTTCCTATTTTTAGTATTCTAACAATTCCCACCCCCATAACAAAAAATAACTAAACAGATGAGATGAGCAATCTAAATATATATGTACCAAACACAAATTTTAATTAAGGACTTGACAATGTGCCAAAACTTTACAACATAGCAGCAACTTTTAATGATCGGCGAGTCAAAATGAACTGAGATCCTCCAAGGTTTCTAAATAGTCTGACCGTTATTTGTCACAATGATATAGGGGTTTTCAAAATTAATTTATCTGAAAACATAATTTTTCAAAATTTATTTTTAAAAAGTTTGAAACAGAACCATCTTGCTCATAATGAAATTAAAGGGGAAGCCCACCATGATATTAAGTGATGAATTTTTAAAGGTGCAATCAATTAATGTTTCAATCAAATAACACCCTTAGTATTATCATTGCAAGTATGGTTTTAAGCAACCCCTGTATGATACGTATCTATTCCGTCATCAATATATAAGAAAATTAAAATTTATGAAATTGTCTGTAGCCTACAGAGCAAATTGGAGATGAGCTCACATGATGTCACATATATTTCACTGATGACAGGTTTAAAATTTGTAACTTTCATATTTTTATTTTCATGCTTTTATTACAGTCAACTTAATACAAGGGTGGACCTTCCCCTTTTAGTATGAATGATTTTTTAAACTCACTTCATTCTCCTTTCCTACAGACTGATTCGCAGAAGCAGCAGGGGGGAGACCGAGGGGTGATACTGGGTCGAACACTGCTGAGGTTCTCGGGACGTAAACGCCTTTCTATAGGAGTAGTAGGGAGGAAGCCGAGACGGGTAGTGCATGGTCACTCAAACCAGGCCCGCTGCACTATCGTGGTCAAGAAAGACTGGGTGTGGTCAGTCGGGGTAGACGCCGGAGGCCATTCTCTTTCTTTGACCGCCTGTAAATTATTTCCAAGAAGGTATGTGTACTGTTCATTATTAGGTTTCATACAGTGTATGTTTGAAATAGTAATTAGTTTTTTATAACATTATAGCAGTACATGGTGAGTCTTCATGTTTGCTTCTGTTTGCATATGTCCTCATCATTTCGGAGAGTATGCAACTGCTATGTTTCCTCTATTTTATAATTAGTAAATGTAGGGCCGAAAGGTGAAATAAATCTATTTTGAAATGAATGTATAAACTTGCTATATACTATACCTAACAAAATGTCATAATTTGTCTTCGAGTTTTAAGATTGTATCTGCCCCATCATATTTACTTTGAGATGCCTAATACAGCATTCTGTTTACCTCTTTATTCCACAGATCAGGCCTCGCCGTGGGACGCGCACACACTGGTATGCAGGTATTTCAATGTCTACCTTGTGACAATATGTTCCTATTCACCAGATCTGTTTACCCCCATACCTCCTAATGGGAGTCATGTATATATATATATATGAGTTTGACACGTTGGTTACTAAGTTGAGAACTTGTGAATATTTGGTCGAAAATCTTTTTGAAATATACATTATATTGTTTTAACAAAGGATTCAGAAGTTGTCTTCTTTTGTAAGTCTTAGTTATTGGGTTTTGCAATCATCCCTCTCATAAAAGCAGTTGTACTGATATTTCAAATATCTTGTTGTAAGAGCTACACTTGGCAAGAGTTGTCCAATTACCCAGTTCGTAATTAGCACGAAATATCCACTGAATATCTTAACATGAAGAGACCCAACATGATGCTTAAAGTGGAGGGGTCACGTGAACGTCTTTTATCTCCATTTAGAGACAACTTTACCTGTGTATCATGAAATATCAATGGTGCATGAAATAAAAATTAATATTTGAACATGAGCATGTATCCAGTATTTTTGTCCACATTTTTTTAAAACCAAAAACAAATTTAGACTGCAATTACAAACTGGCTTGTAGGATGTGTACCGGTACTTGTGGAAAGATTGTACTTTCATGTGGAATATCAGAAAATGCACAAAAGAATTAGAAAAGAAGATTCCAACAACTAATGATCTTATACGAAAATGGTTTCAAACTAATAAAATGAAATACTATTAAAAAATATCCAATTAAAAAATATAAGTAAAATTAAGAATAAAAATATAAAATGAAAAAAAAAATGATTCAATTGAATAGAATACATTCTTTTTATAAAAAGGGTTAGAAATGCGAAGTTTCAAACAGTAAAACCACTTTAATCATGAAGCATTATTGATCATAAAATTTTTCCAGTCCATTGAAACAAAAAAGTTAAATCTCAGCTTCTAATTGCAATTACTTGATTCAAATTTCTTTTACATTATATCCAATTTATGCATATATAGGTTCTACTCACTTATAACTAATCCCATTCTGTTTCTCTTTTTGTCGCGGATTGTTCTCAATCCTATCTTTTAAAGGGGTGCATATTCCCGACATCTTACAATTTGAAGAAAAAAAGGAATCATTAATCTAAGTCGCCTCACACCTTTATGTGTGGCTGGGTTAAATAGTTGTCCATTTATAGTTGAGTATTAGACAGTATTTTAATTTGTTGATTTTAGTATATTATTCAAAGTTACCATAATACGTAGTAGCATGACATCGGACACAAAATATATCGTGTTCACTATTTTCAGGTATACGGCCCCAGTAAATCCCATGTGCGGTCTCTAATGGGATTGGTTATACTCTCTGTGAAATGTAATATTTTTATCCTTTTTCCTTCTCCGCTAATCTTTACAGTTTGTCTCTTCAATCTTATACAATTGCTTTTATTGTGGGTTGTTTTTGTTGTTCGTCTAGTAGCATAGGACTCCTTTTACATGTCTTTAAATATATTATAAACTTTTTTCTGATTTTCTTCTCAATTCTCCACTAAATAAATTAAATTATTTAATACAGTAGGCCCTACTTCAGATTTGTGACAAAAATACCTTCAAACACACCCTTTTCTTTTCAAAATGACCTATCAAATTCTCACTTGCATGTGTGAATATACTAACTCCCTCCCATCTCCTATAGATACATCCCCCTCCCTCTATAACTCTTTAAAAAAAATAAAAATAGACAAATTAGTATTGCAGTGTATATAACATCTACGAAAGTTGTGATTCCCTCTTTCAGTCTTTTGTTATTATCCAACAATTCTCAGTATGTTTTTAACAGCTGTTTATCTTGTCCCATGCTCTCTTTGATTTACCCTTCTCTCCATTGCAGCAGGGATGTTTCTCGATATTGTAGAATTTTCTAATAGCTCCTTACATCCTAACAATATTGAATCTTTTAGGGTCATTCCATAAAATTGAGACAAAAACAAAATCAAGATTGAGAAGGTTGTGAGGAGATCACGAAGGTTAAAGAGTGAAGAGTAAAGAGTGAAGAGTAAAGTTCTGAAAAGACCTGTTCGGATACAGACAGTTCATGTTATTTTATATCATTCTTTCCTCTTTCTGTATCATTTTATCTTTCTATTTATTTTTATTTGTTTATGTCTTGGTCTTTATTTTTCTTCTTTATGTATATCAGCTCTAAATCAAGACCCATCCACTGTTCCCCTCTTTCTCCCTTTCTATCTCTCACAATTTCTCCCACTTTCTCGCTCACTATTTAAGATTATGACTTATCAAATCTACATTTGCTTGTTTGAATAGGATACATAAAATTCAAAGCAAGACTGCCTTCTCCCCTTACCCCCTCCCCTCCTCCTCTGTCTGTACCTCTCTCTCTCTCTCTCTCTGTATATATATATATATATTTAGGATTTAACATTCTTTGTTCATGGAATACTGTACATCTGATTTAAATTAAATATAGAATACCTAGTGGAATAATATTGCATATCGCATTAAAAGCAGGAAATGTGATTCCTCCCTTATTTTTCTTTACATTAATTTATTTTTAAATCTAGATTTAGTTATTCGAATACTGTACCATGATGAAACAGAAGGGATGGGAACACTAATTAGGTGAACAGCACGCCTAGTCAGGTTTTATAGTTTTATTTCATTTTAAGACATTAAATTGTATTTTTTTAGTATTCATAGTGTTAGGTTAGGAAATTAATGGCTGGGAGAAGATGGTGACCTGTGAATGATGAGCCTCCGGTACACAGTCCCTTAAGTTGTAGGTAAACGGCACGCCCAGTCAGTTGCTATTTTTCTTTCAATTTCAGACATTAAATTGAATCTCTTTTGGTTATTCATGTTGTTAGGTGTAGGTAATTACTGGGGCTGAGAGATGGTAACCTGTGAATGATGATCATACGGGGCACTGTCCCTTTAGTTGAAGGGGGAAGGCATCCCCGTTTAGGTGTTAGTTTTCTTTTATTTTAAGATATTATATTTTTGTGTGTGTGTGTGGGGGGGGGGGGATTCATGGTGCTAGATTAGGTCTTCACTGACTGGAAGATGGTGACCTGTAAATAATGAGCCTATGGGGGCACTGTCCCTTAAATTGTGGGCGAACGGCACGCCCAGTCATATGCGCTAGTTTTCTTTCATTTTAAGTCATTACATTTTTTTTTTTTGGGGGGGGGGAGGGTATTCATGGTGCTAGGTTAGGTCTTCACTGGCTGGGAGATGGTGACATGTTGAATTATGAGCCTACTGGGCACTGTCCCTTAAATTGTGGGAGAACGGCATGCCCAGTCATGTTCTAATTCTCTTTTATTTTAAGATTTTACTTTCTTTTTTCTTTCCTTTTTTTTTGAGGGGGGGGGGGGGGTATTCATGGTACTAGGTTAGGTCTTCACTGGCTGGGAGATGGTGACCTGTAAATTATGAGCCTACTGGGCACTGTCCCTTAAATTGTGGGAGAACGGAACGCCCAGTCATGTGCTAATTTCTTTCATTAAGACTTTACTGTTTTTTTTTTTTTTTTTTTTTAAGGGGGGGGGGGGGAGGGTAGTCATGATACTAGGTTAGGTCTTCAATGGCTGGGAGATAGTGACCTGTGAATGATGAGCCTACTGGGCACTGTCCCTTAAATTGTGGGAGAACGGCACGCCCAGTCATGTTCTAATTCTCTTTCTTTAAGACTTTACTTTCTTCTTCTTTTTTTTTTTTTTTGAGGGGGGGGGGGGGGGGGGGGGTAGTCATGATACTAGGTTAGGTCTTCAATGGCTGGGAGATGGTGACCTGTGAATGATGAGCCTACTGGGCACTGTCCCTTAAATTGTGGGAGAACGGCATGCCCAGTCATGTTCTAACTTTCTTTCTTTAAGACTTTACTTTCTTCTTCTTTTTTTTGAGGGGTGGGGGGGGGGGGGTAGTCATGATACTAGGTTAGGTCTTCAATGGCTGGGAGATGGTGACCTGTGAATGATGAGCCTACTAGGCACTGTCCCTTAAATTGTAAGAGAACGGCATGCCCAAGTCATGTGCTAATTTTCTTTCATTTGAGATTTTACTTTTTTCTTTTCTTCTCTTTTTTTTTTCGGGGGGGGGGGGGTATTCATGGTACTAGTTTAGGTCCTCACTGGCTGGAGATGGTTGCCTGTAAATTATGAGCCTACTGGGCAATGTCCTTAAATTGTGGGAGAACGGCACGCCCAGTCATGCGCTAGTTTTCTTTCATTTTTAGTCATTACATTTCTTTTTTTGGGGGGGGGGGGGAGGGTATTCATGGTGCTAAGTTAGGTCTTCACTGGCTGGGAGATGGTGACATGTTGAATTATGAGCCTACTTGGCGCTGTCCTTAAATTGTGGGCGAATGGCACGCCCAGTCATGTGCTAATTTTCTTTCTTTAAGACTTTACTTTCTTTTTTTCTTCTTTTTTTTGGGGGGGGGGTATTCATGGTACTAAGTTAGGTCTTCACTGGCTGGGAGATGGTGACCTGTGAATGATGAGCCTACTGGGCACTGTCCCTTAAATTGTGGGCGAACGGCACGGCCAGTCATGCGCTAGTTTCTTTCATTTAAGTCATTACATTTTTTTTTTGGGGGGGGGGGTATTCATGGTGCTAATTAGGTCTTCACTGGCTGGGAGGATGGTGACCTGTGAATGATGAGCCTACGGGCACTGTCCCTTAAATTGTGGGGAGAACGGCATGCCCAGTCATGTTCTAACTCTCTTTTATTTTAAGATTTTACTTCTTTCTTCTTCTTTTTTTTTTTCTTTCCTTTTTTAAGGGGGGGGGGGGTATTCATGGTACTAGGTTAGGTCTTCAATGGCTGGGAGATTGTGACCTGCGAATGATGAGCCTACTGGGCACTGTCCCTTAAATTGTGGGAGAACGGCACGCCCAGTCATGTGCTAATTTTCTTTCATTTTAAGATTTTACTTTTTTTTTTTTTTTCCTTTTTTTTTTCAGGGGGGGGGGTATTCATGGTACTAGGTTAGGTCTTCACTGGCTGGGAGATGGTGACCTGTAAATAT